AATTTCTTATTAACTAAATTTATATTTTAAGGCTTTTATAAATAGCTAGTTCCTCTATAATTAGATAAGGACTTCTTATATATATTATTTATATTCCTCTTTGCTTACTAAGAATATTAAGATATTATTAAGATATACTACTATATATAGGAGATCTTATAATTAATTATTTATATATATCTAGAATATTACAGGTGTATTATAGAGTCTAAATAGTATTATGAGAAATTTATATTTCCTAAAGAAGGTATTAAATACTATCTTAATAATTAAGTTATTTATTATCTATAATTACTAATATCTTAAGAGAAGATTAATTTTTAATAAGATCTTTATTTAACTAACTTAATTAATTAACTCCTAAATCCTTAGAAGTAGATAAATATTCTTAATAGTAACTTTATTAAGTACTTAGTAATCTATATATATTTATTATTTTTCTTCTAGCTTTAGGACTAATACTACTAGTAAATTCTACTAGCTTACTAAGGCCTAGATTACTCTTTTTTATAATAGTTCTTCTACTTAGTAGTAGGTTTTCTTAAACTTCTTTAGTAATTAGGGATAAGTATTTATATTAGTTAGTTTGGTATTACTAATATTAATAATATAGTCTACTCTTTAGATAGGTAGTATTTCTAGGTTAAGTTCTTCTTAGAATATATTCTTAAAGTCTTTTATTTATTTATTATAATTTATAGTTATTAATTTCTTTTTACTAATTTAAAGAAGATATAATTATATTATTAACTTTTCTTTTTATAAGATCTACTTTAGTTATTTTATAGTTACCTACTGTACTAAGTTATCTTTATAATATTTAATCTTATATTAGGGGTTAATAAGATAGATAAAGTATATTCTTCTCTTATTTTAAAGGGTTATCTAGCTTAATTACTAGTTAATCTATAGATTAGTAACTTTTAGCTAGTTATAACCTAAGATTATCTTATATTTATTAGTATTTAAGATCTATAACTTAGTAAGACTAGTTTATTATCTAATTTATATTAGTATCCTTACTTATTAGTAAGTATTTATTATAGCTTTATTTAATAGTTATATAACTAAGGGTATTTTTCTTTTATTATAAGGAGGCTCTATTATACTAAGATAACTAATAGTTATTTATAATATAAATAAGTAACTAGCTCTATAATTAATAAGAGCCTTAACCTAAATTATTTATCTCTTATTTTATACTTCTATTATATAATATATAGAGTTAATATCTATTATATTTAGATATACTTTAGTAATTTCTTATAGTAATTAAAGATTCCTCCTTTTAGGTAATTCTTCCTTCCTATTTTTAAAGAGATTATACTATATATTCTAATAGTTAGAGGCTTTCTTTATTTAATTAATAAATATCTCTAGATTTATTAATCTTTTCTATTTTTTATTATTTTTATAGGGTATGATTAGAGATATCTAGTTTTACTATATATAAAATATATTTTATTCTAGTAATATTATAGTTTCTACTTTAGTAAATCCTTATTTAGTTATAAGAAGTTTCTCTTTAGTTAGAGAGAGCTAGTAATTATACTTAGATTTATTAGATTTTTATTATATTAATTAAATTATATTTTTAACTATAGATTACCTCTAAGTTATTAAATAGTAGCTAAGCTATTCTTATAGAGAGAGAAGTATTTAACTATTTTATTATATATTTATAGTTATATTTAGTTCTTTACCTATCTTTTCCTAAGCTCTAGTTAACTCCTAATAATAAATTTTTAAATAAGAGAAGCTTTATATACTAGGGGAGAGATATATATTATAGCTTTATCTAAGATAGTAGTATATAGCTATATAAATTATAAATCTTAGGTAAGGCTTTTATATTCCTTTTATCTTTTATTATTTATATTATATTTCTTAAAGTTCTTTAGTAGCTATATATAAAAGATTTCTATATTAGTAATTACTAATATAAGATTAATCTATAATTAGGTTTTATTTACTTCCTATTTTTATAAGTATATCCCATAAGTTTCTACTTAATAATAATAAGATATTCTAGATTAGAGGAAACTCTCTCTATTACTAGTAAGATATCTTTAAAATATTTCTTAACTCTTTTTTATTATTCTTAGGTAGTATCCCTTATATATATATCTTTATATTCTAAGATAGGAGTAAGGTTTAAGACCTTAAAAATAAGTAATAATCTATAATAATAATTTATCTCTTATAATCCTAAGAGTAGTACTTATTTATTATATAACTTTTAATAAATATTTTAAAAAAATATATTAATATTAGTAAGTAGTGCTCCTTAAGCTATTATCTTAAATAATTTAATAAAGACTTATTTTATATCCTCTAGTAGATCCCTAGTAGGATTATTTACTATAGATAGCTAGTTATTACTAATAATTCTAGTAGGGAGGTTTAAGGATATTATCTTATAGGGATTATTTTCTATTAAGACTTATTTTAATAACTAAGTAATACTTCTCTAGCCTAGAGTTACTATATCTTATTTTATTTCTATCTCTCTTAGTAAGGCTTAATAAAGAATTCTCTTATAATAAAAACTTTTTATTAAGTATAACTACCCTACTATCTTTTAGCTTAAATTTAGTAGTTACTTATAGGGAAGAGTAGTAGGTATTTATTAAGATAAATATAGGTCTAGTAGAGTAAGAGTATTTAATTTCTTATTATTTATAACTTTAGATATACTATTAAATAGAATTACTAAGAATAAGATAATATTACTAAGAATAAAAAAAATAGGCTAGGCTAATGCCTCTTTACTTACCTAGGGTAAGATCTTCTATTTATATCTAGCTACTAGCTATCTATCTAAAGATAAGTTATAGATATTATAGAGATTTCTTAGGTTAACCTTAGTAACCCAGGGTCAACCTTAGTAATTATTGATCTACTCATGATATTCATTCACTGATATCACATTATAAAAGATAAGTCTTTAAGCTTAGTCTTAACTTAATTAGTAATATTACTAACTCATAATAAGATATAAGGAATTAGGCCTACTTATAGATATATTACTTAATATCTTATAGATATAATTTAAAGAATATATATAACTATATCTTCTTAAGATTCTTTATCTCTTCTATAAGCTCTAATCTCTATTATTTTTATTATTATAAATACTAAAAGTTTATTTTCCTCTCCTTAGGCTTTATATAGATTATCTAGTTCTATATCTTATAAAGAAGATTCTTAGAATTATAAAGTTATTATTTTAAGAATTTATAAAACTCTTTTTATTTATAGTCCTTATAGAGTTTATATATATCTAACTTCTATAGATCTGTAAGAATATACTCTAAATATAATATTATGAACTTAATTTTCTCCTTCTTAGTAATTTATATACTATCTATATATAACTTATTATTAAATATAACTTATACTTTATAGGCAGCTTAGTTAATATTATAGAGTACTTTATAGATAGATTATCTATAATATTTATAATTATTATTTATACTTCTATATAGATAGAAATAATTTATCTTAGATTATCTTTATTTACTCTAGAAGGTTAAGCCTCTATATAAGAGCTTTATTATTTATATATTTTAGGTTAGAGATAGAGATACTAGCCCCTTATTCTCTATTTATATCTTAATCTTAGTCTTATAAAATACTTTAGGTTTCTTATTAAACCTCCTTTCTTTTTTTTTATAAAGACTTAATAGGGCCTATCTCTATAGCTCTTTTTTTATAGATTATTTCTAAAGATCCTAAATATTCTTTATAGGCTTTATAAATTTCTACTTTATAGAGGGTATCCTTTAATCCTATAATTTTTTAGGGGCTTATAAGCCTACTTTATTAGCTATTATCTTTTCTAATAGATTAGTTATAATAAATTAAGTATTAAAATTATAAGATTATTAGATCTTATATATAAAATATAACTAGTATAAAAGAATAGATACTATATAGCTTAGATTTTAAGAATTTAGATAATTAAGTAGATTAATACTAGGTTAGGATTCTTCCTCTATAAGGGAGAATTTACCTAACCCCCTGCTTAGTAAGGGCTGACTAAGATGTCCTCACGTAGGTAGGATAGATATCTTACCCATACTATTAGGAGGCCTTACATATAGTCTATAGAGAGAGAAGATAATTATTAGAAATAGTACTAGAGAATAATTCTATTAAATAAGCTAGGTAAGGTACTAAGGATATACCCTAGTAAATAATAGGGCTAGTTTAGCATATAATAGCCTCGTATAAAACCTCACTGGCAGAGGAAGATTTCATAGTCTAGTAATTAGTTCTCCTATTAATAGCAATATAACCTTGTGATCCCTTCACACTGATCTAGTACCATCTTCTATCAGATATTATACTGGTCTTACATGCAAGCTAAAATCTATTTTAGTATGGTAAAGGGTAGTATAAGCATCACATGACTTATTCTTGTAATTTACAGATTTACCACTCACTGGAGTAAAATTACAAGCTTATCCAACCTGCAACCACAGTAATGCGCGCGGGTGCGCCACAGAAGTCTGAGCGATGACCTCACCAACCAAGCAGGGAAAAACAATACTCGACATTAAAGCTGCAGCTCTCGCTGGAGGCTGATTGCTGCATCCTTTTTCATCCCTAATTCCATTGATATCTCCTACGGAATACGCCGAGCGCGTTACTCCACGGCGAAATCGTCGTGTCCAATTGTACAGAGAACTCGAATCGCTTAATATTTTCCCGCCAAGATTCAAGAATTCGTCGCGTCAGCGTCTGGATCGTTCCAGAGGAACCCTGAGAGGCATTTCTTCCATTGTCCACTCTGCTGTATATCACGCCTAGAAGCAGCCCGATTCACAGACTCACAGTATATCCTTGGGATGTGTTTCCAATGATTGAAAGGACCTGAAACGACATCTACCCAGCATAACTTTGGTTAGAGGAACGCGTGAAGCCTGTAGTCATCAATAACGGAATATTATTATCATACGACATTCTTCAGCTAGAAAGCTGACAGCGGCCATATCATGGCACCGTCAGAGAATGGACATGTTTCGGATGGCACAGATAAGGTGTTGGTGGGTCGTACTCAGTTGAGAAAGGCGAATCCTTTCCGATGGACAATTGGCCTCATAGTGCGGTGCGTTGCTCTCAATTGTTTTTGACTTTGTGTGTGGTTTGAGCTGACAGAAGGACTGCTGGTAGGCTTTGTATATGGTATGTCTTGCTGGCGCCAGTCTTTAGATGTCCTTCGAATCTGTCAGAATTGAACGAATCGTCTCCCCGAGTCTGCAAACCCTACCTCGTCGTGCGGTCACACGTTGAACCGTATGTTCAGCCATATTACGATCAATACGCTGCGCCATATGTCGATATTGCTCGGCCTTACGCGCAGGTTGTAAATGGGCATATTTACGCCCCGGCTGCCACCATTGCGAGACAGGGTTATGATCAATACGGCGCTCCCGCTTTGAAGCAGGCTCAAACTTTTGGCCAACAACAGTGGGATGCACAGGTTGTACCCCGCCTACAAGCCACAAAGGACAGGGCGAGGGGACTGTACGACTCCCAGGTTGCCCCCTACGTGCAGCACGCCAAGGATACATTCTCTCCCTACTCTAGGAGCTTGAACCGAGTCATCATCAAGGTGTGGGATGGTTATGTTGCTCCCTTCTATGCGCGGTCGAGACCATTTATTGGTAAAACGTACACTTCTGGTCAAGACATATTAGTGACAACGGTAATGCCGTACGCGCAGAGTACTTGGTCGTCTGTCATCTACTTTGCGAATAGTGCTTTGTGGCCTAGGCTCACAGGCCTCTATTCCGAGAATGTTGAGCCTCAGTTGGTCAAGATTGGTCAGCGCCTGGCTACTTACCGGGAGGGCAGGCGACTACGGAAGGTCGTGGCTGAAGCAGACAGCTCGATCGAGCAACAAGCGCGCTCCACGCTTTCGTCGGCGGAGACGACGCAGGTTCCTGAGCCTATTGTCACACCTTCCACAACCGTTGTTCTATCCACCCACACTAAGCTCTCGCCTACGGAACAGACAGCACAAGCTCGTGAAAAAATAGCAGCAGACCTTCAAGCATGGCAGAAGAAGTTTGCCACAGCTGTTGAAAAGGGTGCCGAAGATCTCGAACAATATGTGGAAGAGATTGTTAATAGTTATATCCGAAGCGGAGTGAACACTCACGGCGAGAGCCTCGTCACAGCCTTGGAGGCCGTCGTGAACGATGAGGTATCGGCTGTCAAGCTCCACATAAATGAGATGGCCGAGTCACTTCCCACTGAAGATGCACCCCAAGATGAGGAACAGGTTCAGGATGCACTTCTAAAGGAGATCAGACGCGCCGCTGTGTCTATCAGAGATCGTGCACACGCGATTCGGCAATGGCGTAATTCGTTCGATGACGAGTTAGTCAGACGTACCTCGGCGGCAGTCAATTCGACGCTCAGTGTGTTGGATAGTGTCCGGGATCTGGGTCTTCAAGAGATTGGGATGCGATGGGCATGGATGGAAGAAGTCACGTACAAGGATTGGGCCAAGTATCATGCCCTCAAAGCCCAATTCGAGGACTGGAAGAACGATATCTACGATGTCGGAATGCAGCACGCGAGCGTGGAGGAAGCCAAAGCGTTAGCAAATGACATTCTAGGCCGTGGAATGGAGGTCGCCGAGAATGCTGCAAAGGAACTTGCTAGGCTGAAAGACGTCGGCAGATGGAAGATCGCAGCTCGGGAGGTGAGCGATGATTTCGAGACAAGAACAGGACCTCCACCTCCGCGACCAAAGCCAAGCAAGGTTAATGAAGGATTTGACGGTGAACAAAACGAGGCTACGAAGCATTCTGAAGCGATTCTGGCGCAGAGATCGGAGGATGAGCTAGGCCTAGATGATGATGCAGTTGTACCGCATGATCAAGCGAGCACCCTCCCTCGAGATGAGCCGTCTTCAAGTCAGTCTGCGCAACTCGGCAGTGTTCATACAGCTGCTGTGGCGTCGTCGGGTGAGGTTGAGACTGAAAGCCCAGAGCCTGTCAAAATAGCCTGGGGTGTCGCAGCCGCCGAATCAGTACCGCAACACGATGCATCTGATCAAGGTGTTCCCGAACAGTTGCAAGCGCTTGTCGACCAGGCAGATGATAAAATCGCTCTGGCAAAAAATACTGCCGGCCAAGTTTGGTCTGAAGGAAGTGTGGCCTCCCTGGCTAACCAGGCAGCCTCCAGCGTTTCCTCAATGGCAGCAGAGATTACGCCCCTGTCATACATCTCTTCTGTGGCTTCCTCAAAATTAAGCGAGGGCCTCAGCTTTGCCTCTGCGCAGCTTGCCGAAGTCAGAGCGACGGCGACCCCTGCCACAATGGCCGGTCACAACCCTATCATTCTCGACGCCCAACGCCGCTATTATGAAGCTGTTGGTATGGCACATGATCATTACTCTCTCTTTGTTTCCTCTGCCTCTCAAGCAGTATATGGTACTCCCACTCCGACAGGCGCATTTGAAAACATGGCTAGCAAGGCGTCAGAAAATTGGGAAAGTCTTGTTTCCACAGCCAGTGAGTTCTACGGCTCTCAGACCCGATATGCAGTTCCGACATTGGGCAATGTAGTTCCTCGATATGATGCAATCGAACGCCTGGTGTCCGAACTGCTTGTCGGCAAGGAGCCTTCCTTTACAGAGAAGGCAATCAGTAGGCTGCAAGCCATCTACGAAACACCGTATCCAGCCTCCGCACTGTCGAAGGCGTCGAGTTATATGGTTGGTGACGGGACCGCTGCATTTTCTGCCCCGTTCGGATCGATCACGAATTCTCCAGCCGTCGAGAACATTTTGGAAAATGCCAACGAACAATTTCAGTCCGCTATCAATGCGGTGAGCGTACAGTTGTATGGGACGCCCAAAGGTCCCTACGAGAAAGCTACCTCTACCGCTGGCGGCGCCATGGCAGCCGCTTCGGCCCGAGTCAGCGAAGCCCTATATGGATCCGAACTTGGATACATGGAGGCTGCCCAGGAGGCTATAGAAAAAGCCTACGAGTCGGCTCAGTCCGCCATCAGCAATGCTGTCTTCCGGCCCGAGTCGACCCCCACGGAAGCCGAGCAGGGGGTATTTGCCAGCGCTACGAGTAAGCTGGCAGCAGCCGTGGAAGGCGCACAGGGGCAACTCGCGAGCATGGCATCCAGCGCCAGCAGCTATGCTTCTGCTGTTGTCGAAACAGCAACGTCGAAAGTGGTGGTTTTGACAAGCGGTGATGATACCGCAAAGGACGAGTTATAATCTACAACAGCACGCAGGTGGAAAATCTTATTCTTGTTGCAACGGTAAACCTCTGCAATCTCCCCTCATGCGATCAACCTCTCCAGATGACGACCGCCTTGTTCTCTCTTCTGGATACTTTCCGCATGTTACTTCTCGAATGGGGCATGATGACTCTGACTTTGCGAAGCACTATTCCCCACATAGTTTTTCAACGATTGTACTACTGTCTATGATTTTAATCCGAGTTTCGGCTCGTGTCTACGCTCTTTGGTTTTGGAATTATGTTTCTTTTCCCTCCCATCCCCCGCCTTTCTGTTCCATCTCTTTTCCTCCCCCTCCAACCCCATCTTGCTTTGACGCTTGCACAAATGAACATGTACCCGACTTTTGCTACGCGACGCGAAAATATGCCTCTTGTCCACTCTATGTATTTGTACATTTCTGAATATAGTAACTTCACGATCAATTCTACTCATGACATCATGTTTTTCTCCGCCGTAGGCCCAACTCTCATGAATCGGGGGAGTAAACACCTACTGCCTCCCACCAGCCACTATGACCGGTATTGCATCCGCTGTCCTCCCCTCTTCTCCATCTTCTTCTGCCTTTTGCTTTCAGCGACAGGCTCCCCTGTTCCACCACCCATCCCCGCCAACCCGCTGCGCATCCCGGTGAATGTGGAATACGCCAACCAGACGGAGTATACCGGGATGACAACCCATAACCACCACGCGCGATCACCAAACAGACAAGCGGCGCCCATGCAGCCCCAGGTCCAGTACAGAACATCCCACATGTACTCAGTCAACCCGGAAGCTCCGAGGTCTTCCCCGGGGGATCGCAGGGACCCATCGGCGGGGTTGTAGCTGGGGCGACCTAGGCGCTCCAGGTAGAACTCGATGGCGAGGGTGGGACAGGCGAACACGAAATAGGGGGTGAGAGACCGGGGACGATTGAAGAGCCAGTGCAGGAGAAGGAATGTTGTGTGGAGACCGAGCGTGATGAGGTGGGTGCGGAGGAGGAGGGAAGTGTTCCGGGCCGCGAGGGTCTTGGCTGCTTTCTGTGGAGAGGTCAGTAGTTGGTTTAGGGGCAATTGGTTGTGTTGGGATCTTGGATTTGGGTTCTGGGGGGGTAGAGCAAGTAGGAACAAAGCTGGTATGGGAGGATTAGGAGGGGACGTCTGTACCTGCGCCATGGTGACGGAATGTTCTGAAGGGTGGACTCAGTTGAGATATGTATGTATATAGGTGTTCTTTGTATGTATGTAAGATAATTGACTGTGGGCTAGAAAAATAGTAAAAATCGATCAACACCACATATTGTCGCGTGCAGAGGCTAGAGTGTAGTAGGAGTAGAACAGTACAGGCTACAGAGTACTCCGTAGTAGAATAAAGGGTCCTCTGTTGTAGCTCGAACTGCTGTCCACAAACGGATAAGCGCCCGCGCCTCCAGAATCACCAGCCACTTTTCCGCCCCGATTCAGTTGCCATGAACACAAGATCAAAAACATTGACACTGAAGTTCTGAACGGCACGACGAAGATAGAGTATTGAGCACTACTGCCGGCGAATCACCCCAGACAAGCCTCCTTTCCCCTGTCTCCACCCTCTCTGATCTCCTAGCTGCGCGTCTTTCGCGTGCCCCCTCGCTTCTACAACGAGTTGCTCTCCCGATAATGCGCTTGGATTCTTTGTAGCCCTGTTGCTTTGCCTCAAAGGGCGTCAACGAGTCGTCTGAGACGTCATTTACCCCGGCTTCAATACGGCTTCAGTTTCGGAACTCGACCTATTCCACTCTAGGAACAGTGAGAAGATAATTGATGAAAGCATTCTGAGACAGACTCCGAAAGTGTTTACCTTGATCGGTCGCCCTTTGTGTTGTGCTCTTTTTCCTTGTCACAGTTGCATCGCTTTGTCTCCGCAGTCAAGGGAAACTTTCGCGTCGTTGTTTCCTCGCCTTGGGTCATCGCGACCACCCGAAGTACTTTGTCGAAGCAGCACGGCCGAGATTACAGGCCGACCTGATGCTCGTCCACCGATCGAGATTACTAGTACCTCCCGCATACTGAATCGGTCATTTGTCTCACTGCCACCCCCTCTCGCTCCGCTCGTCGTCCCACCGTACTTCTATACATCCATATCCTCGATTCCTATCGATCCTGAAGCCACCTGACTACCACACGCAAGCATGTCGCCATCAATATCTCATATCTCCAGTCAACTTCGGCAGCTAATATATTACCATCTCGACAACAACCTGGCCCGCAACGCGCTATTCCTTGCCGGTCGCTTGCATGCCTACGAACCTCGAACAGCAGAAGCCTCCTACCTACTCGCTCTTTGTCACCTTCAGAATGGTCAGGTAAAGGCCGCCTATGATTACAGCAGGAATTTTGGGTCGCGCGGTACCCACCTTGGCTGCTCCTATGTTTACGCGCAAGCGTGTTTGGACCTCGGGAAATACTTGGACGGAGTCACGGCGCTGGAGCGAAGTAAGAGTCTTTGGAGTTCTAAAAATCACTGGAGTAAGATGCTTTGCCCCTTTCGCGTCGTATGGTGGACAGCCACGCGCTCTTCTGATCCCGGTTTTGGACTAACACGTATTGCTCCTCTAGGCAAACACAGTGAAACGCGGAGACAACACTTGCCAGACGCGGCTGCCGTGCTGTGTCTCTTAGGCAAGCTATGGCATGCGCACAAGGATTTCAACAAAGCAGTAGAATGCTACGTTGAATCTCTAAAGCTGAATCCATTCATGTGGGATGCTTTCCAGGGCTTGTGCGAGACGGGTAAGTCCTGGAAGTGAGCTATCTTCTTTTGCGCTTTGGCTAACTGTTGCTATCTCTGCAGGGGTCAATGTGAGAGTATCAAACATCTACAAATTGAACCCTGAGCTGCTCGCGGTATTATCAACGTCAACACCGGAGGAAGTTGATCCCATTCCCGATAAGGCGGTATCTACAAACGGACCCCTGCAGTCCCAGCCGAACATCAACCCGAGCTCAGACCCTTTTGCATCCACAACGTCTCGGAGTGATTCAGGTACCAGCCATGGGAGCTCTGCCTTGTGGGAGAAACTAAACGGAAGCACAGTGAGCGTGGCGTCTTCGGGAGCACAACAACCGGTCGTTCATGAAGGAACAGAGACACCCAGCGGTCCCAGTAGCGGATCAGACGAAATCCGTCTGGCCAATGGAATCAATGGCGTGGATGCTGCATGGGAGCCCCCCTTGGCTCCTGCGAGGAAAAACAGGACGATAGGCGGCGACTATCCTATGGATCCTCCACCGAAGATGAAACCCACAGGGATTCGCCCCAGAACAAGAACCAGAGCCGAGCCCGAAGAGCACATTCCGGGGCAAACGGAGCGCGAGGCCGCGATCGGATCGAGGGTGGGGGATCGTAAGCGAACTGTCTCTGGGCAGGTCGCACACTCTTCCACTGCGCACCCCGTAGAGCCAGGGGCTCCTCAACGGCGAAGTGTACGGCTCTTCAACCAGATTAAGCCCACCACCAGCAAACTCTCAGGGACAGCGTTGGGTATCAAAGATGGCCGGGAGCTGAAGAAGGTGAAGGCCACGGGTGCTAAGGGCCGAACAACATCGACAACGGTGGGTCGTGTCGTAAGCAGCAGCCGGAGACACGCCAGCGAAAATCACGACGGCGATGGCAAAGAAAGTCGATCTGTGTCCTCGGCGCATACGCACGCCGTCTCGAAGGGAACTGCGTTGGAGAAGTCCAAAGAGGTTGAAGCCCTGACTTGGCTGCTGGAGCTTTTTTCCAAACTTGCTTCTGGTTACTTTGCCTTGAACCGCTATAGGTGCCAAGAAGCTATCCAGATTTTCAACTCTCTTTCGCAAGGTCAGCGGGAAACCCCTTGGGTTCTCGCTCAGATTGGACGGGCATATTACGAGCAAGCAATGTATTCCGAAGCCGAGAAATACTTCTACCGGGTGAAGACGATAGCGCCATCACGATTGGAAGACATGGAGATTTACTCGACCGTCCTATGGCATCTCAAGAACGACGTCGAACTAGCCTACTTGGCGCACGAGTTGATGGAGATTGATCGTTTGTCACCACAGGCGTGGTGCGCGATTGGCAATTCGTTCTCCCACCAACGAGACCATGACCAGGCTTTGAAGTGTTTCAAGCGAGCCACGCAGCTGGATCCTCAATTTGCCTACGGGTTCACTTTGCAAGGACACGAGTATGTTGCCAACGAAGAATATGACAAGGCATTGGATGCATACCGTCACGGTATCAGCGCTGACAGTCGACACTACAATGCCTGGTACGGGTTGGGAACCGTCTATGACAAGATGGGTAAACTTGACTTTGCTGAGCAACATTTCCGCAATGCGGCCAGCATCAATCCTACCAACGCTGTGCTCATCTGCTGCATTGGTCTGGTACTGGAGAAAATGAACAATCCCAAGGCCGCACTTGTACAATATGGACGGGCATGTACCTTGGCGCCTCATTCCGTGCTCGCGCGATTCCGCAAGGCGCGTGTGTTGATGAAACTGCAGGAACTCAAATTGGCGTTGTCCGAGCTGAAGATTCTCAAAGACATGGCTCCCGATGAAGCCAATGTTCATTATCTCCTGGGCAAGCTTTACAAGATGCTGCATGATAAGGCCAATGCCATCAAGCACTTTACAACTGCTTTAAATCTGGACCCTAAGGTATGATACTGTTGATTTTCCATCCCTTCTGTTCGCAAGCTAACGCTCTCAACCACAGGCAGCACAGTACATCAAAGACGCTATGGAATCACTCGACGATGACGAAGATGACGACGAAGACATTGCTTAACTCGCCCTCGACCTCTTCAAATTTGCTTTTTCCCGCTCTCCACGCGTTCTTTTCTTTCCTGATCCAAGTCTCGCTCTTTTGAGATCAGCAAATTATGAGGTCCGGCGTTCGTTCTTCTCTTTTGGATTTGGGTTTCGCAGCATCAGCATTCTAGGGCGTTCGCAGGCCGGGTTGGTTAGAGGTGCATCTTTGTTCTTTTCCCTCCTGCATCACCGAGCCGAGGCTCTGGTTTTCCTGTATTTTAGCGTGGGTTGGCTTTGTCGTGGCTGGTCATTGGCTGCATATGAGAGACGAAGACGCCTGGGCGACAGATTCATGGACATAAAGGTCTGTCGTGCAAGGCACTTGCATCTGCGATTATTGTTACGCATATCTTTAAACACTCATTTCCTCGTTTGATGCGTCCAAGTGCTGTCGAAGTGTTGACCTTGTAATGAAAGATATTCGATCTCTCTTGCGACTCGAATCCTTGTTGATACTTACCTGGGCTGGAGTATTGATCTTGTATCATTCAGACCGAACAGGTTAGCCTCATCTTCGCCAAAGACAAAACAAACATCTTCGCGACTTGGGGAATGTATGGAGCTAGTATTGAGTATGCTTTGTGATGAGAACAATGACCTAGGGAACTGTCATATCCCCAACCATCTCTCTCAACACTCCTTGCAGGAGGAGAAGAAAAAAAAACAAAATTTCCTGTGAGCTGTCCGGCTAGAAACGTCCTGTCAAATTACCCTTTTATCACTACCAGTTAAAAAGTAAAATCTAGGCACCTTTTTAGCTGAGTGGTGGGTATCGCAACACGTCCCCATTAGGACGCACCGGACAACTATGACGGAGATCCAGCCTGATTCCCAAGCAAAAGCCAAGCATCAAGATGTCGCGTCGTCGTCACTCAATTCCAACAGGGCAATGATAATCTCGGTGATGGTCGGTCCTGCAAGACAACAGATCAACATACAAGAGCAAATTCTCGTCGAGTGTCTATCTACCAGTCAGACTTCCAGACGAAACTGACTTGATCGACCGAGCTGAAATTGCCATATGCAGATGCTACGGTCGAACCCGCACCGGAGTCGAGAATCCCCATGCTGACCGGGCTGTACTGGCATGGAGGAACCCAGAGTCGCAGAGATCAGCACTCCGACTGGTGGACTCGCGTCCTCAACTCATCAGCCTTGGGCCTCCCCCTCCACAGGTTCGGTGGAGAAGGAGATGCAGGTGGTGCGTTTGAGAGCTCGCGGCGGCTGCGGCTTATGGTATACGGAGTAATCCCCATCGTCAGCACTAGATAATTGGGGACTCGGTCCTTGAGTCGAGTCCGGGGTCGTGGTCGCCTCTATTGTGGGCGGGCAATGGGATATGCATCTCCGCACCCACGGCTGCGACGGTGGGGGGAATACCCCATTGGATCTCTGCATCTCCAGGCCTTTTTGTTTGATCACATTCCGGTCTGACAGGTTGTGGCTTCAGCCCCCAATGTCTGGAAATATCTATCTATCCCGTAGTGGAACCGGCACATCTCGGTGTCAGTGTCGTTTGGGAGGTGGCAAAGAAGCAGGTGGTGCATGTTGTTTTTTTGTCCTATGACCTCTCCGGTCAGCCTATCCTTTACCGTCAGATGGATGTCCATGTATGCTGTACAGAACCTGATTTGATGGAGGAATACCCGCAGCAGGAATGGGGGACTCCTTACATGGATACGAGCCAATCATCAAACTACACTCTGTTTGGTCCTGGTGGTTGCTGATCTGATCTGCTATCCATCCGGTGGTCCATACTCCATCCTCAACACCTTCGATGGAAACGGGACGCCTGGAACATACATGCTTCATGCCGGAGATTCCCCGTTGTCACGGCGGGATCTAGTTCCTCCTCCCCCTCCCCCCACAGCTGCATGGGTTGCGCAATCCAATGTGGGGGTGAGGTGCTGGGACGAAACGAATTTGTCTCCTCGGCCGAAGCGGCGATGCAGGTGGTCTGGAGGTATTTGATTGACATTTGGTATGAGCAATGGAAGTGGAATCAGGGTGTCTGTTCTTCAAGCCTATGCTAGTGCTCATCTAGTCCAAGCTGTCGAGGCGTTACGTCCGTCCTCGGACTAACCCCTGATTTCACCAACAAGTATGGATGACATCCAAGGTCGCGTGTGCCTGGTGGGGGGATTACTCCGTATGTTAGATACAGACTACAGTATCCCAGCTCGTGCTTGGCAATCGCATTCTGTGCGACCACAACTGGAGCTACGAGTACCGTAAATGTCCATATCAGGCTTATGATCCTACAGCCAAGATAGTGTGTGGTACAAGGGGGTTTGATCTGGCTATCTGATGTATGATGTATCTCCTGATTCAACGCCTTGTCTCCAGTCCGGTGGAGTGTAGTAAGCAGAGGAATTGTCTCATAGAATGTATAGACCAGTAGCTAGGAAAAACTGAGTACCAAAGATGCATCAAATGAAGAGACTTCCTCAAGGCAGAGCAGGGGGATGCTGACAACAACTTCAACCAGGCGGTTGAGGCCAAGGAGAACGGCGTGGATGGTCATCCAACTGAACAAAAAATGGTTGCGGGCCATCCGATTGGACAATTCAATCTTTAAGCTCAGTCCAAACAGTGAGGCTAACAGCCCTAATAACTTAACATAGTTAGTTATCAAGTAACTACAAGTCTAGATGACTCCGGGCTAGTGCTTATGCTGATCATTCGATGATCGACGAGAGAAAAGAGAACTTGTATGAACGATGGAGTAGGGATGAAGTACCTTGGCGACGGAGAGGAGAAAGTAAACCACCAATAAGTTTGGTAAAGGGGAGTACAGAGTACAGACATCATCATCATTCCATGCTGATCTGGCCCCTCCGAGGTATGATGATATATCTGGGCTAACGTAGTACAGTCAGAAGAATATTCTAATTCCAATTCAGAAGATCTACTATGCTGCTGGTGCTCCATGATCATCATGTGGTACGATGCCGATCCAATCCACACTATTCAAACTTATACGGAGGACGCTGCGTAGACCTGTTACTACGTAGTAATGTCTGTTAGGGCTTTGCAATTGCTGCAGGCCGTGCAACCACAATGCGTGGCTGAGGCTCTAATTCAACCCTATCAGGCGGATTATACCTTATGGCATGGTTTCATCCCCGCAGCTCGCTCACATCAGGCATGAATCATGCCCCTCCCCTTCCCCTTCCGAGATATTGTCAGCGGGAAACCAAGTCTGGACAAGTTCCACTGGCCAATGGCTGAGAGCAAGAGGTTCTGCTGACAGCACAATAGCTGATCGACCATGCAGTCGTTGCGCCTGCCCATGCAGGAATTGATCAGTTCTATCCTAAACGGTCACCGTCGTTCTGCAACAGGGCCAACGTGTGATGTCTCAGACTGCGTCTGCAGGTGGGCATGCACTCTGACCATCAAGGTAATCCAATATCGAGGCCGAGGGTTGACGGATATTCTCGAGTCGTGGGCTTCTGTCCAGCCGTAGTATTAGCATCTCTCTCCCTTGTGAGAGAACGAGTACCTCTCGTCTATAAAAGGGCGCTGGCAACCCAGGATTTGGGAGCATCAACAGCAACAATCCTCCAGCATACTCTGATCTATCCAACCCATCACACAACCGCCAAAAGCACAACCCCCGCCGCAGTTTCATCATGAAGGTCGTTTCTCTCGCTTCTCTGGGTTTCGCCCTCGTCGCTGCCCTTGGCGTGGTAGCCAGCCCCGTGGATGCCGATTCTCTCGCCGCAGGTGGTCTGGACGCAAGAGACGAGAGCGCCGTTCAAGCCACATACGACGGTGTAGGTCTTCCTCTTCTCAATCCAGCTAGCGTCTGCTCGCAGTTGATCCCCAATTAACCCCCCATTTTTTTTTTCGTATCAGAAATGCTACAAGAAGGACAATATCTGCAAGTATAAGGCACAGAGCGGCAAGACGGCCATTTGCAAGTGCTATGTCAAAGTGGTAAGCACTTTCCTCCCCCGCTGGCTGAGGAGGCGAGGCTCTGTTGCTGATGTCTTTAGTGCCCCCGAGACGGCGCGAAGTGCGAGTTTGACAGCTACAAGGGCAAGTGCTACTGCTAGATGGCTGGAGCTGGCGAAAGGGCGGAGTGGGCTGGAGTACCTTACTCTGCGGATCAGACAAGTCATTCTTTATTGTAAAGAGACGTGGGACTAGTATTCAACATACCAACTCATGATCTAGCCGTGAATTCTATAAGCAAAATTCATAAGTTTGCCGTATCATCAACATATCATATGGTAACCTTGCTTCGTTGACCGGTTTCCGGAAGTACTAGTCTACTGGGCAGTAAGTAAACAGTTCTGCGGACAGGGGGGAAGACCCCAAAAATGAGGAGAGAGCATTGCATCTAGATTGTAACAGCCGTGCATAGAATCTGCTGGCTATTCAATATGGTTGCCTAACACCTTGCAATCCCAGTTAGATGTGGCGTCGAAAGACAAAGAGAGGGATTTGTCAAATCAGACCTGTGTCACGCCTCGAAGAGCAATTGGGAGGTCGATCATGGCCCTTATAAACCCAAGTGTCTCTCCTCCAGTTTCCTCCTTTTCCTATCCATCCTACTTGTCTATTTCACGTTATTCGAATTCTTGTATCAATCTCAACCTCTCAACCTCTCAACCAACCGCATCTCGTTCAAAAATGGAAGGCTCCAAAGAACTCTGTCCAAGCAGGCCACCTAGCAGAGAAATGCACGCTTCGGGATTGGAAGACTCCCCTAGCTTCCGGCAGTCGCTTCAGGATGCCATTGGTAGGGGTGAAGCTGCAGAAATTAGAGATACAATGTGGAACAAAGTATGGTACATCACCATGAGATATCGCCATGACGGTTATTCTACGGCGACATTCGAACCTCAACTGCATGATTTCTGGTATGCCTGCTATCAGGCAGGCAGGCACATCTCGCACGAGAGTGCCGAACACGATCGCTTGCTGCTTGACATACTCCGGTTCCGCGCAATAGGCCCTTTGAAGAGACCAGCAAAGCACAACCACCAGGACACCGAGTTTGCCAAGACATCAGCTGGGGTCCTGTGGAAAGATTTGCCTTTCCTTGTCACAGACATGACAGACTACTGGGTTAATGACTGCGCAACGATGAATGCTACTCAGCGCTGCAACGTTGCCCGTTTTCTCGCCAAACTGGCCTCAGCAGGCGTCAGCAGTGATGGGCTTTTCCAAATCGCTCTGTTGACTATGCGTGATGCACTGGAGACCGCGCGGCCCCTTGGCAGCCTCAAAAGCCCTAATGAGGATAATGCCAACCGCACGATGAAGGATCTGACCGTTGCTGATTTACTGCCGGCGGTACACGCCTGGTTCCAAGAAGCAAGGTACAAGATAACTCAACTCTCAGATGAGTTGTGGAACGACTGTTCTGATGATTTCGGCCGCGGAGGGCCCACCTTCCTTAAGTCGGAACTGGGGAAAAGATCAAATTCGGGATTTAGTCACTGGAGATGGATGTTCTGGCTGAAACGCCTGGAGGATATCAAACAAGAAGCCAAAGAAGCTGGCGAGAAGGACATTGCGGAGTTAGTCTCAGAGATACATGAAAGTATGACGGGCCAGCTCGAGGATGGAAACCGCCAGGTATTCGAAAAATTTGAGACTGCAGGAGAGCTGATTCCAAACCGGAAGGACTTCAGCATCAGACATCTCATCGATAGAGTATTCGACGAGTGGAAGCAAAGCAATCCAGAGGACGACGATGGCGCTCAGGAGGCCCAACAATCTCTAGAGACTCTACAAATTCGATCGACGGGAAAGACTCCATAGACGCAGACCGTCTGGGAAAGTATCTTCGGAGAGTACATGAAGTCAAACAGCTGGGCAGTCTGGTTCAGGCGGTGGAGGAAGCTGTTTCATTGGTGACGCCAGAAAGAAAGAAGACTTGCGAGGTTGTTGCAGATTGAACATCGGTCAGGCCATTCAGTTATTTTGTAGTCAAGTACTTACAGTATGAGAGATCTTATATTGATGTCTTTTCCCCCCCCTTTACCTCTATAAGGGAAATGATCATCTACCTTACATTGCAGTTGTTTCTATGGAGTATGGAGTAAGTCGCAACTACTCTCCGCTAAAGCGGTGAGCAGCCCAACAAGTTGCTGCCCCAAAAATCAGGGGAAAAAAGTCAGAGGCGGGATACAGAGCCGGACTTTCCAGTACCTGCACCACGGTATATCATTCATCCCTATTGCTTATTCCTCTGTATTTCTTTAGAATAGAGACTCGATTTGCTAGTCACTGCACCTAGATCATGGCCATTCTCGCCATCATCGCTTTCTAACCTAGTTTCCTGCGTATCCTCGTTCTGACATTTGACCGAACCCCCCAATCAGCTGCCTCGGGACAGCTAGATCGGCCTACTTGACCCTCCTTCCGATTAACCGATTGAGAAACTACGAGACTTTCCTCAAAATCACCACTGCGCTCTATACACCCGTCCCGCGACCATGTCCGTCTTATCATATATCGCCACGGGCATCAGCTCGTTTGTCGTCGTCACGCTTTCCCTCTTCGCGCTCGGCCAAAAAGTCCCTCGCGCCGCATTCGTTGCTCGGTGTTTGGCCTCCTACGGCTCCCTCCTGCTTTGCGCGACCTATGGCGTGATTGCATCTATTGTTCTCCGTCTGGTAGGCTACGGCCGGGTCTCCCAATGGGCCACAGCGCGCAGCTTCAAATGGGTCATGCGATATACCACCGGTGTGGAATTCGACATCACAGAAGGCGTTGAGCACCTCTCCACCCGGCCCGCTGTCTTCATCGGTAACCACCAGTCCGAGCTGGATGTGCTCATGCTCGGCCACATCTTCCCTCCCTACTGCAGCGTTACCGCGAAGAAGTCGTTGAGAAATGTGCCCTTCCTTGGTTGGTTCATGGCGCTGTCGCGGACTGTCTTCATTGACCGGGCCAACCGCGAGACGGCTGTGAAGGCGTTTGATAGTGCCGCGGAGGAAATGTGCGTGCACCGGCAGAGCGTGTTCATCTTCCCCGAGGGTACGAGAAGTTACTCGGACAAGCCGGAGCTGTTGCCCTTCAAGAAGGGTGCGTTCCACCTCGCCGTCAAGGCGGGCGTTCCAATTGTGCCTGTCGTCGCCGAAAACTATTCGCATATTCTGTCGCCTCGCAACTGGCGGTTCAACCCTGGCGTGATCAAGATCAAAGGTTCGTACGCCATGGGATCACTCTATGGGCGGTGTACTGATTCGTTGTAGTTCTCCCTCCCATTAGCACCGAAGGCTTGACAGCTGCGGATGTCGACAGACTGACCAAGACAACGCAGGAGGCGGTGCTTAAAACTCTCCTCGAAATGTCTGACAAGAACCGAAATGAGATAGACTCGTCCGTCAACAAGGCCACCTCCACTGCTATCGAGATCTGATCGTTTGCGCGACCATCCATGATTTACGATCGGTCTGCCAACTAGCTTGGTATGACTATAATGACAGGCTCAAAACCGTTAGGCTGTGACGGATGCCGCAATGCCCATCTGTCTTCCGTCCGTGATAATTGATACTTCAACACCCCATTTTGCTTTGCACGGATTGGATTCTGGTTACAATGGTGGATTTTTTGGAGTAACGACGTCCCGATTAGAATCTGTGCCTCAGGCACTATACTGAGGCTCTATCCTTCTCTGATTATAAGTTCTGCGACTTTGCATGAATCCAGGAAGACCTCCTGGTCCCTCTACTAAAATGTACATAGCATCTTCCCCTAGGAGGCATGGGTATTATTATGTAGTGTTTAGTGTGAGTGATGATGAATAGATATGGATATCCTATACATTGTCCTATATACTTGGGAGACACCGTCTCTCGCAGGCTGTTTCGAGACTACGTCTTCAAACATTGGCAAGTCTTCGTCGCACAAGGCCCGATATCCTTCTCAATATCGATACTCTCCAGATGTTGCCACGGATCAGCAGGAACCTGCTCACTCCCAGCCCCGAGCCCACCCCCTCTAGCCGCCGTCGCAAAAAGGTAATCCTTCTGAAACGCAACAACCTCAATCCGCACATCCTCCACCCTCTTCCCATACAGCCAAGTCTTGATTCCCGTGTACGGCTCGCCCCACCCCTCACTAGCCTGCGCCGGCGGTTCTGGCGCAACAACATCCGTGAACTCCAGCTCCCGCAGCCACGGCGCCAGAAGCGCCTCGCCCGTCATCTTGATATATGCCTCCTTGAGCGCCCAGTACGTATAGAACAAGCGGGAGCCATACTCGACCGCCTCTTTCTCTCGAACGCCGTCATGCGCGGCGAATCGCCCGCCCAGGTCCTTGATTGTCGCCAGCTCGCGCGCGGAAAATACCTCGGAGAAAATGTCGATGTACTCTGCTAGTTCCTTGCGAGTGGATGGGGCGGAGCTTGCTGGGCCACGCCGCTCATCGACGCACGTAATGTCAATGCCCACCTGGGGTACGGACGGCGCTGGCGTTGCTGAGGGGTCCGGGTTTGTGAATACGGCGGCTGTGGCGGTTGATGAGGTCTCAGGGTCTGGGAGAATCGTCCCGGCGATGGCTATCAGGGATGCCTGGTGGCTTACGTTAAACTCGATGCTGGGGATGGGGTAGCCGGTCCGCTCTGCCAGTGCTGGGGAGGGGATGAAACAGGGACGGCGGTGCGGTGCTGGTGTTCGACTGATGCTGATTTCGGTCCATGGGATGCGGCAGGAGCGGTGGATAAAGAAGTACTTGAGTAGGTTTGAGGCGAGTGACATGTGTCTATCCTTGAGGTGATAGAACTTCTTGACGGCCTCTTGGTCCGAAGGTTGGAGGGTCTCCAGTAACGGCAGAGACGATGTGGACTCTGTCAGAGAACGGGTATCAATATACCATCTCGTCAGGAGCGTAAGGTTCTTGTCAGCTAAGGAGCCCATTTTGTGAAGATGGAAGCTGGTTATGACAGAAAGATAGTTTGTCTTGAAGGTGCGGATGGAGAGGTGGGTGGTCGTATAGTCAACAAGCCTTGTATAACGGCTAAATCAAGAGTAATTGCAGAGTCATTCAATGTCATAAGCCATATTCATCATTTATCATGAAAGCGCCCATGTCACAATCCCGAAAAGCGACATACATCAGACATCGAGGCCGAAGTAGGACAGCCAACGACCTCCGATGCCAAACGATTTGATTCGTTTTCACTCTCCAAACAATCTTATCAGTCAGCGGGGTAGCACGTGCCGATAAGCATCGGTTGAATGTTGGCCCGCTTATGTAATGCGGTCAATGTATACAAGAGGCGCACCGCATGACTCAAAATGTTTCTCTAATCAACCAGGAATGCAATGACCAGCATCACTGTCGGCGTTCTCGCCTTACAAGGCGCTTTTTACGAACATATTCAGCTGCTGAAACAGGCAGCTGCCAGTTTGCCTACTGTACAGAGCCCTTCTGCTTCGCAATGGGAGTTCATTGAAGTGAGGACCCCGCAGGAGCTGGAACGATGCGATGCGCTGGTTCTCCCTGGAGGCGAGAGTACGGCCATTTCTCTTGTTGCTGCTCGATCCAATGTCCTAGAGCCTTTGAGGGATTTTGTGAAGTATGTCTCTGTTACGCAAACACTGTTCTCTCAATGCAACTAACACTCGTCTTTTCTAGGGTTCATCGCAAGCCGACATGGGGCACATGTGCCGGGCTGATTCTGCTCGCCGAGTCTGCTAATCGGACTAAGAAAGGTGGACAGGACCTCATTGGTGGTCTCGATGTTCGCGTAAACAGGAACCACTTTGGTCGGCAGACGGAGAGTTTCGAGGCGCCACTGGATCTGCCGTTCTTGGGCGCGGGCGAACAACCTTTTCCCGCAGTCTTTATCCGTGCGCCTGTGGTGGAAAAGATCTTGCCTCACCAGGAGGGTGTCCAAGTCAGCGAAACACAAAGAGATGATACGGTGGTGGCACCGTCTAGACAGCCAGAGGATCACGCAGCCAAGGCGGCGATGGCCAATGAAGTGGAGGTACTGGCGAGTCTTCCCGGAAGAGCCGCGAAACTAGCCGCCTTGGTCTCGAACATCGATGCAGACAAAGAAGCTGGCGACATCGTCGCGGTCAAGCAGGGCAATGTCTTTGGAACAAGTTTCCATCCCGAGCTGACTGGTGATGCTAGAATCCATTCCTGGTGGTTGCGCCAGGTGGAGGAGTCCGTGAAGCAAAGGAAGACCGCTTGAGCCACGATAGGCCTCGCGGATTCGTGCACATATTTGTTTTCTGTTTGACTTGATTGTTGGGTATCTGGTAGAATTCTCTTTCTTCAAAGAGCCGGTGTATTCTACCGGGATGATAGAGACGACTTTTTTGTACATAACGCCACACATGCGCCAATAGATTCACGCAAAGACAGTCCATTCCAGAATTATTTACCTTTTCCGTATTCCTCCTCTTCCCGCCTGCGCTGATCATCTGCATATGCGCGACCATAACCACCACGGCCAGGATCGTATTCTTCACGGTATTCGTCACGCACTTGGCCACCGGATTTGCCGCGTCTGCGTAGAAAGTTAGATTTTGTAAAAAGGGTCTTGTTTTCGATAATACAGTTGCAGACATACCCATATTGCCGTCCCTCCTCGAAGCCAGGGTCAAGATCTGTACGGATGATTCTCTCATCCAGCTTGGTACCTCCAATGTACTTCAAGCAATCCAAGGCGTCCTGATGGGTATAGTATTCAACGAAGCAGAAGCCACAAGGTGTTTTGTTGAACCGGTCAAGCCCCATCACAAGGCGCTTGACTTCACCGCACCTGCAAACGCTCGTTAGTTCGGGTCACTCGACAGAAAACTTATCCGGGATCGCTGACTTGGAAAACAATTCGTGGATTTGTTCTTCTGTGGTGTAGAAAGAACTGCCAAAGTCAATACACGGAACATCGCGGTTTAATACGAAGCACATGGATGGAATCACATACAGATTTCCAACGTAGAGCGTTGTGGCATCCTTCAGCTTGTCTACTGGATCCTCTTGTCTCTCGGGTTCTTCCTGACCATACCTGCGTCTCTTGCTCTGAGCATTGAGAATTTCCCAAGTCAGCAACAGCCAGCAACAAGAGTACAGCAGACTTCCAGCGCACCTTTCCCACGTAGTAGGCGCTCGGCCGATCCAGTCTATCGACTGTGTTGTGGACTAGTGCACTCATACTCGAATGTCGCAACTCTGTGTATAATCTGGACACTATGGGAGGATGACGATAACTCCACGAAAAAAAATAGTTGAAGCCGTTTGTGATGGACAATTGGTGATGGCGATGGCGTGGAACAGTCTACTCTCAGAGAGCTCTCAAGGGCGGAGCTTTAATCACTTCTTGGCGCGCTGCAACCAAAAATTCCCCGGCCCGGTGTTTGTTGCTATCACTCTGCCGTCATTTCTTTAGCAGTCGCTTTTCTTGTCTTTTTTTATTGCCTCGGTGGTCCTGAATATCTGCCATGAAGGCCTATTGAGCGTTAATATAGTCTCCTCTTTCAATAATATTTCCCTGCGAACCGCCACCGAAATGCCGAAGCTCATTAGCTACACTCCTCCCTGGCTGTCGCGCCCTGCACCAGGCGCAAGTCTCTTCTCAACCACATCAACCAAAAAGCCAAGCTATCTCCCAGAAAATGAAGCAGAGTATACTGGTCCGACAAGGGTTCTGGCAAGGCGGGGAAATGAAGTGTTCACGGTGGTGAATAACCAAATCCGCTGGGCGAACCTCACTAGGTTGAAGGACCTATGGCAACAGCAGTCCAAATCGAAAAAAGGAAGTTCGGGTCAGCAGCCAGATGAGGAATCCTCAGAGCACTATAGGGTATTGGTGATTGCATCTGGAGTCTATATTGGCGTGGCTGACAACTATCCAGGTCTTAATTGTACCCGTTTTTGAGCGAATCCGGCAGATGATACTCTCCCCGAACGGTGCTTTTATGGCGATCGTGACAGATCATACGGTGTACATTGCCGTCCTACCGGACTCATCGCACCTATCCGGCACGGACCGTGGGTCTATCCGCCTCAAATATTATCAACTCGGCCCTACTACGCACGTTATTCCCGAGTCGCCTGTCGTCTCCGCGCTCTGGCATCCGCTGGGAGTACATAGCAACCTTGGAGGATGTCTGATTACTGTCACCGCAGATGCTGCTGTGCGTGTTTGGGAACTCGACCGCAATAATCATTGGTCCTTTGACCGACCTACGCTGGCAGTGGATCTGAGAAAATTGGTGGACGGAACTTCTTGCGACCAAGATTTCTCGCCGTCGGGCTTTGGAAAGAACAAAGGATTCTCAGCGGACTTCTTTGATATGGAAGTCGCTTCCGCTTGCTTCGGCGGTAGCGGAAGCGAGAGGGAAAGCGCCTGGGCACCAATGACTCTGTGGGTTGCCATGCGACCTGGTGACCTCTATGCTCTTTGTCCTTTGTTGCCCACCAAATGGCAAGCGCCTTCAACGACTATTCCATCTCTGTCCGCAGCGGTCATTCCAAAGTTGGCAGCAATGGAGGAAGATGCCACGGAGTTTGCGGATGAGTTGACAGCCTGCCGACAACAGTATGACTGGCTATCAGAAATCGACAACCAGGATCCGTTGCATACAGTAGCTGGGTCGGAATCCGTTCCTGAATCGGAAATTCTGACACGACCCGCTAACCCAAGCGCTATTCCGAGGCTACAGGGACCGTTTCGCGTCGATACAGGAGACGAGCTCGACGATTTGGAGCTCTGCGATCTCCTTGTGGTTGCGCCTAAGGTTGACACGGACGCTCTCATGAGCGGCGAGGAGGATGAGCTGGCAATGGATGACAATGATCAATTGTCAGCGACTGTTATCTGTCTTTCGACCCGAAGTGGCAGGGTCCACATTTGCCTTGAACTGGACGGTGTTGAGGGACAATGGCTTCCCAAGGCCAAGAAGAATGCTTTCACCACTCCTCTTTCCGAGCCATCCGACCTAATTCTGGTTGAGTCCTTGGATACAGTCAGAGAAGAAGATCAGACTACGAATAACTGGCCGACATTCACCAACGATGTCATCTCCCGATACAGCTTCTTCGTCACAACCGCGACTAATGTCACATCCATCTCTTTGAGCTCCTGGGTGCAGAGGCTGGAAGCAGAGCTTCAATCAGAAGACACCGCTGGAACTGCTTTCCGCCTGCAGGTGCTTTGCGAAGGCACGGCCTCATTACGGGAGCGGATCATTCAAGTTGACGAAAGCGATCGGGTCGTCAAAGACCAGCCAGACCATTTAGCATCTTCTCTAGTCTACTATGACTACGACCTTGGCTATTTATTGTTGACCTACCACGCTTCCCACCCATATGCCGCCGTCATGGATGCGCCAGAAGTCACATTTGCAGCAATCGCAGATGTTGGGCCGATTGGAGGTCTTAAAGCGCCCACTACCCCTGTCCCACCACCCAAGAGACCTCCTTACCAAGTACCTTCCATTCTATACTCCGACTCTCCGTTGGAGTTTTTCGTGGACAAGCACGTTCCTCACCGCCAACGCCAAGCACTCAAGGAGCAAGTGCGATTATCCCCAGCAACACTGGATCTGGTTGCCGCTGCACATCGGATACTGTCTGCTCATACCAATGCTCTTGAGAGAGCGGCATCAGACCTTTTCCGTCGCTGTGAGCGTCTACAAGGGGAGATGCAGGAGCAATTGAAGCAGCTTTCTGATGTGGCCGAGCGCATCCGGGGTGTATCAAGCGATATTGGAGAGGACGGCCAGCGACGGGAAGGCGCGAGAAGTGACGAGGCACTGGACAAGAGACTCCAGACTGCAAAGGACAAGCAGATGCAATTGGTTGAGAGATACGAGAATCTCCGTAACAAGGTCTTGAAGTCGGGTGGCCGTCCGCTCAGCGAGAAAGAGAAGTCATGGCTATCGGAAGTAGAGACATTATCCGCCTCGCTTGAAAAGCATGCAGAGAAGAAGGAAGAACAGGAGAAGGATGAAACCTTGCCTCAACGCCTGGAGACTGTATGTTCAGAGACCCTGGTTATCGACGTGGTGATGCTAATGAGTACTATAGGTCAAGGAGATCGCAGCCGATCTGCTGGCAGAGGCCAAGTCGGTTGCAGCCAAGTCCCCTGTCGCAGCTGAGCCTGGGACTCCGTCATCTCCGTCTGCTGCTGGGCCACGAGTTCCGCAGAGACTACAAAGAGCGAAGATCTCCGATGCCATGAGAATGGTCGAGCGAGAGTAAGATCCTTTTTACCATGATTGGTGTCGCATATACTAATCTATTTCAACCAGGTCTGCTGTTATAGAGGCTATCACGTCTCGGTTGAACCGACTCAATGCAAGCATTTAAAACCGCTGTTATCCGTCTAAGTTAGATTTTGTCCTATATTTGTATGTCTACGACCAGTGAGGCTAGCTCTGTGTTTGAAGAAATGCGCCGCATGTATGAAGATACGCACTAGCGATGATGAAACTACCGTTCCAATGTACCGCGTCCTTTCTCTCAGTCAGAATCCATCATATAATCCACCACTGGAGGGCCATTAATCCGTAGCATTTCCGCCTCTTCCTCCAATATCCACCTTTCAAAAACCCGCACCTCCTCCAATTCTCTCTTGCCCGGAGGAACAGCATCACAGACTCTTGACAGAACATACCGGGGTTGCGGCGGAGTCTTCTTCTTTGTCCCTCCGGCATGGAAAGATAGAAGCTCGTCCACAAGCCGGCTGACCCGCTCATTTCCCGCGAAGACTTCCATTGTGACTTGATAGTATAGCTCCAGCCAACACGGGTCGCACATCTTCTCGCATTCCATGTGGACTAGTGTATGTTGATAACACCATTTGCGGTCCGCGCAGCGTTCCCAGGAGTCGTCCCAGATGCAGCCGCAGATGGTGTATTTGCAGATGTAATCGATACACATATTGGATTGGGACTTTGGATAGGCGTAAGTCGATTCGGGGTTCTGGTTTGACAATCCAGGGGTTCGGTGGATAGAGAATGGATTGAGGAAGGCTATCTGGTTGTAGTACGTAGAGGTATATATAGTCGTTCCTGCTACAATTGTTTCCTGTTGGACAAAGAGATCAATGAAGTTGTTAATGGGACCGGCAGTAACGACGTGAGACATCAACCGTGATGGTCTTTGTAGTACTTTCTTCATTCATTGTAATGGACTACATTGATTTCTATCTATGCCTTCTAAAGCTGCGACACAGAATTTACACGGCTACCAGGATGATGGAGAGACAGTTTAAGGATCATCTACAGTGATTCTCTAAATCGCCTTGACCAACAAAATGTTGGATAATTATTTTTCTGCCCCACTGCCAAGGCTTTAGTCTGAATAGTTTATTGAGCCGCCAGCTCTTTAGTTAACAAGAGTCACTGTAATTTTTCATTTTGTACAGAACATGCAATATACTCAGCAAAATTACAATACATAACGGATTGGAGCAGATTGACGAACTGAGAGACCCGGAATATTTCAAGAACTGGGGTGTAAAATAGGGTATTGCTTGGTGTTTTGTCAAGGATATACTGTGTAAGGTACTGGGTTGACAACTACAGTTGCAATGTGGGTGAGTAAGGAGACATATCTTAAGAAGCGCTTGGTTTACTTGATGTGTCTTAAGCTTCTTGCTTGGTGCAGTATACAGTGATTGCTTTGTAGTGGAGGGTATAATGGGGCCACGTGCAGTTTTTGGTTTATCCTCATCCTGAGCCCAAGAATAGACCCAGTGTCATGTGATATCACGTGCATGTGGTTCAGGAATCATGAACCTCAGCTACCCACTTCCTATAGAAGACTTCTATTCCGTCACTGTGCATTTTTTAATCATTATTTAGGTCTCCTAGACTCCTACTCTCTATACTAAGTCTCTTCTGAGTTCAGGAATGAGATATTCCCATCAAACAATTCCCGCCTAGCCAATAATAATAATGTCAGCGAGTTGAAAGGGGCCTCCTTCCTTGTCATTTATTGGGCGCATCCAAACCAGTCAATGACAACCTTCTGTACCGGTGTTTGACGCTTCTGGCGATCAAAATCCTTAAACATATTCAACCTCGAGAAGGAAACATTCTCATGTTGACTAGTGGACTATGTGTTAAATATGGGTGCCGTGTATATTTATCTGAAGCATTAATAATGTGTTTCATATCATAACATATATCTCTCCTGGTACCAAAAGTTTTATATGCATTTACTCATTTTGGGTGGACGTACATCCTGATGGAAAGGATTAAGGGAGATATAATTAGCAGTGACTAGGTAAAACAAAGTGAGAATTTAAAGGTGAAACTTCTTTCACAATTAGCAAAAATAATCTGTGAGATGCGAGACCTGCAGCCCCCTGAAGGCATGAGGGTTGCTTCTGTTGATGGTGGATTACTTTTTAACTGCCATATTCCAGGCCCTTCCTTGCACTTTGGTCCCTTTGATACCACCCAGGACTTCCATCAGCATTTATGCAGGGCAATGGAATTTGATTCAAGACTCAACCCTGAAATCCAGGAACTCATCAAACAACAGAGCAAGTCTTGGCCTTTGGTGATCTTAGCAGTCTCAACATTCTTGTTCGCGGAGATGACATTGTTGGTATTATTAATTAGGAAACTGCTGGTTAGTATCCATCATACTGGGAATATACTTCTGCCCACCAAGTCAACCCACAGAACTCTTTTTGGGTTAATGAGATTAATAATTTCCTATAACCAATGCCCGAAGAGCTCGCGATGGAACAGATCCATTAAAAATACTTTGGAGATGTTTAAGCAATCCTGGTTTGTAACTTATATAATGATCTCCTTCCGCTCCATCAAGTTATATATTGGAACCTTTCTTATATCAAAGTTGCCCTGGCCATCAAAACAGTGCTGATTTTTTTTTCTGCTAATAATAATTCATCACCTTGTTACACACCTTTTCCCACTTAATGATACTCATGCCTAATACCTTAGAATTAACCTTAAGCGTGTCCAAAGCCTCCTTCACCCAGAAGACATAGTTCCAGCCTGGTTGACCTTGTCGAATAGGCGTATTTCGCAAAATATTAACTAGGCGATTTCCATCCGCTACCTTTCCAACCATGATACGGACAAGCAACATGCTAGTGGGGGCGAGTGGACACTTGCGCTCCTCAAAGAACCTATCGTGCTTACAGAGCTGATTGTTAGGGAATCACCATGTTTCATGCTAACAGAATATTACAATGGCATTTGGCTAGGGAGCAATTGAGCCGCTGGCTGTATCCTGACGATTGATCAAAGTCATGGACTCATGGTTGTTATTTCTGACTTGTTAGATTGAAAATCACCCACCGCTAACAAAGATAGGGTGGAGATCATCCATACTCCGCCGCTCGTATACATAGATCATTAACTTGCACTAATTTTATGACTAGATTTTGTAGTTCGCATAGTAATGGGTAGGAACGAATGAGATGACCCATTGTGTTACGTATTGCAATTTTGCTGTACCTACTATATTATACGTTCTGTACAAAAAGAAAATTACAGTGGCCCTCATTTTAGAGCTGATAGCTCAATGAACTTTTTAGACTAAGGTCTTGGCAGCGGGTCAGAAAAATAATTATGAAATGTTTGTTGGTCAAGCCAATTTCGAGAATGACTGTCTATCTCATACGGAATAATAAAAGCAATGTACTGTTGTGCTGATACAAAAAAATCGCATTATGAAACATAACCCATCCTAACTAATACAAAACCTGCATAGACCACCCAACTCCAAATTGTTGCTCACAGTGCGAGTGATCAATCATCCTCCCATGAACTCTTCCACGACCCCCTGCTTACCGATAGAAAGCACACAGAAAACCGTTGAACAAGGCGCGGCATGAAAGCACCGTAAAACTAAAGATCATTAGCAAGAACCCTTCAAAAGTACGAGGTAGAGCAGCTCAAGGCGACCAACCGCAGCTGATATGGAATGTGTTGAGGAGATGCTCAGGCTCCTCAACGTGCTCAGTGATGGCGTCCCTTAGTACGCCAACGCTATCCTCCCACAGTGGAAACAGCAGGTCCTCAAGAGGAGTGAGGTGGTCCATGACCTCCGCCACGAAGATCTTCCACTGGTCCAGCCACTCCCGTTTGGCAGCTGGCTCCATCTCGCAATCCTCCACGACCCTATCCACGGCATCCTTCGCGCCAAGCCACATGGGGTAGTAGACCTCCATATGTCGGGTGAGGGTGATGTTATACAGCCTTGCCGCTTCTCCATAAGCGCGGTGATTGAGATGGAGATGGATGGTGTCGGCCGGGAGCTTTTCAATAGGAGGAGAATCAGGACCTGCTGATCTCTTCTCGTTCACCTTTTCGAACAGACGCTTGACCGATTCAATGTGCTTGTCAAGGTCCAGAGAGACATCGGGGCACATCGCATCAAAGCGTTTGGCACGCTCTTTTTCGAGCATGTTGTGGTATTTCAGCGCATTGCCAGCCGTGCGCAGAGCTCGTATCAGGATTGGGCGCTCATTATCTGGTACAGTATCAAGGAGACGCCTCGAGACGGCAAAGGCACGTCTCAAAGGGTGGTAACTGCGGCGAACGTAGAAGGTGGGCATCTTGTTGAAGAAAAGGATAAATGTAGTTGTGTCTGTTGGTTTCTGGGGAAGTAGAGTAAGATTTAAACCGTGATGAAGGCAGTGACGTTGATTGGCAGAGAGAATGATGTTAGTTGAGAGTGAGTAGTCTCGAACAGAGGGAGACGAGGCTATAAATATGTGCCGTGAAGGAAGCTCAGCAGGCACAGGCGATGTGCCACTCATCTATTGTCACGGAACATACCGTGTCCTTCACTTCGTATGTGATATAGCTGAGACATCCATCACTCTAGACATGTATATAGAGGCCGTTCTGTCTTAGAAATGGCCTCCTGGAGAGCTCAATAGTGACGTTGGACTTTGAAGTGGCATAGTGAGGCATCTTCAATAGATAATGACAGTGATAAGTGAACATATAGATTGTCTTAAAAGCAATAATTCATAACAGATTAGTTTCTGTAGATACTCACAATTTCTGAGACAGAGGCTGCTGATGCATAGTATATCAAACTGCATTGGAAACATCCTGTTAGATTTCTGGAAGATTTTTTTAAGACAGACTATCTTTGTAGGCCATGGAAGACAACCAACAAAGCTCCTTTGTTGGGAGATACTACAATGAGCATAAAGGACAATTGAAAGATCCTTTGTGGTTTTCTAAGGGATATTTAAATTTTCCTGACAATTGGATTATTTATTGGACACTGCACGAAGGTTAGCACAGTGGTCAAATTGGTTGTTATGTAGAACAACAGAGACAACATACCGTTCAATGAGGTGAACCCCAGAAGCTGTCTCGACAATGCCACTGACCTGGCCCGGCTGTAGAGCAAAGGCCGCATCCTCGAATTCCTTTTGCATCTCGCCACGTCCAAAGAAACCACTTGTATAGAATTAGCATTTAATACGGCAGTAAGGGGAACTACAAAGACTATAGGCAATACATACAGATCTCCCTTCTTTCTAGCACTGCTACAATCAGATTCCGAGACCGCAATATCACCCAGGCTTACTTCTCCAGACTGGATGCGCTGTTCGTGACCGCGAAGGATCTCGATAGCCTCCTCTTTCGACCGGGTGATCTCCGCTTCCCTCCAGCTACTCGGCCTTCTACTATCTCTATGCTTGACTAGGAGATGGCTGCAACGGATCTTGCCGTCTCCTTGGCTAGGAGCATCTGGTCGCCCTGCTGGGGCACTGTGGTAGTTTGCCATATACACCGTAATAAGCTCGGTGTCGGTGCCGGCGGGAGGCTCCCATCGAGATTCCTTGGTCGAGGGATTGAAGTAGTAGGGGAGATTCTTGGAGTTGGAATGGCGAACCTCCCACCCTGCTGGAAGACCTGTCTCTACCTGAAGGAAGACGATTTGGTTAGTGAGAGTGGACATAGGTTTAAAATCGCGGGTAGATGATATACCATGATGAATCCTTGTTTTCTTCAGATAGACAAATGGATGTTTCAAATGCGCTTCTAGTTGAAAAGACGAATATGGATCTGGATCAAGAAGATGAAGCTGTCGACTGTTTCCTTGTTCTCGTATCAACACCGAGTCGTTTCTAGCAAACTGCGGGGGAAGCAAGAGGGAGCAGCAAACAGGGCAAACATCCCACTTAAGGTTCCTGTCCGTGCTTTGTCTTTGCTCCGATTGGGTCTACCCTTCTTCCACCTAAGCCTCAGGCGCCAATCCAGCGCTTCTGCTTCTTCCAACGACTTCTTTGCCTCTTTTTTTCCCTATCGATCTTTCTCTATCTTCTCAAACTATTCTTCGGATCCCTGTTGAAATCCACAAAAGTCGCATATCAATTAAAAAAGGTTCATACACGCAATATTTTAATCTTACCACCGACGAACTTTCGACTCACACACCTTATCGAAATGTCTGCCAGCCCTTCTCCATCCGCCGGTGGCGATAGCAAGCAGTCGGATCAGATTCATTTCCGTTTCTGTCGCGAATGGTACGAACCTGCTCCTGATGGTCTTCTTTGGTCTCGCGTTGCGCTAACATGTCAAAACAGCTCCAATTTACTCTATCCCAAGGAAGATCGCGTCAACAACCGTCTGATGTTTACGTGTCGAACCTGCCACGTCGGCGAGCCCGCGACCTCATACTGTGTTTATCAAAACAACCTGAACAACCAGGTTGGAGACACTGCTGGTGTGACCCAGGATGTGGGATCCGATCCAACGGTTTGTCTCCCTGGTTTCTGTTCACACTGCGGGGAAGAGATTACTTGCTTTACCTGTGGGCAGCTGCCCGATGACACACTCTCGGATTGGGATTCTGAGGATTCCCTGGGATTTTAAAACCTGCACCCATCTTCACCGTCATGGAAACATTCCAAGAATTTCTGCTTGAGATTTCCGTGGCTGACGTATTCTCTTGCTTAGCTTCCTCGATCCAATAAGCCCTGTCCGAGCTGCGGTGAAGCGGAAGCAGTCTTCTTTCAATCTCAACAGCGATCAGCGGAAACTGGAATGGTGAGACTATCTACCTGTGCTATTCCCATGCAGAACATTTGCTGACTTTTTGGTGTTCTTCCAATAGAAACTCTACTATGTCTGCTGCGCGTGTGGTAATGTCTTTGTATGATCGTTCTGTTGCTACAGCGTCTTCGGATACCCTTCGAATTTGTTTTTTATGGCATTTGTATGGAGTTATGGTAGAATTTTTGGCGATCAGGAGAGTCGGATGTTCAAATGGGTTCTATTGATACAGAGTATTTGTCTGGATGAAACAATTTCGCTTTCAAAATGGTATATTACACATGCATAGGCGCCAGGGACAGAATCTTCGACCACTGCTTTCCTCGTAATTCCGTAGCAACGACTCCTGTAGTCAGAAGTCAGTCGTGTATCTAACAGTCAGATGAGAACTCGCCAATGGACGACTCACCGTTCATTCTTGTCCCGATTGGATCCCCCGACTTATTGACCAGCACGCAAGCGTTGTCGTCAAACTTTACGATAGTTCCATCTGGTCTCTGCATTTCCTTTCTGGCGCGAACGACGACGGCATGTCGGATGTCTCCTCGACGGACCTTGTTTGCAATACCGCTGTTGTTTGTGCTCTCGGGACCGAAGTTTCTCTGTTTCTGAACCACAACCACAATGCGATCACCTATTCCACCAACCAAAATGGCATACGTTAGCCCTTGAAGGTCGTAAGTCGTAAATATTGCAGTAGAGAAATGACCCACCGACTGTGGCCGGGCGCTTCTTCTTCAAGACATTCACGCATTCGACTACCGCGGCGCCGGAGTTGTCGATGCAGTTGAGCAACGTCTGTCAGCCCGTTAGTTGTCTTCTTTGAATTCCCAGTAGGAAAATCAAGAATTGGATACTCACTTTTAATTGAATCATTTTGACTGTCTAGCGCAACACAGCGGGTATCATCGACAAGACGTGCTCCTCCGCTGGGCTGGCCGAAAGATTTCCAGCTCCGGCCCGGCAGGTTTCGCCGACCACCGACCCCGGACCAAAGAAAGTATAGCCAAACGGCCAAACTATCCGACCATCGTATGGGCAACGCAGCCGCCAAGTATCTTTATGAATGTCGCATTGAAAGCAAACACCACCAAAAAGCCCCCCATTCCATTTGCGCTAAATCTCCTCTGGGAGTCTGGTGCCTTTTCATTATGTTAACTGTATTTGATTTGAATTCTTCTCTCATTGCATTCTCATAATTGTCGAATTACACTCGTTTAATTGTGTCAATCCTTGGTATCAAGATCCGCACTTCCGCTTGGGCCTCCCTTAAACGCACGCTGAGCCGCAGTATTCGCAGCCTCGCAACCCTACAATTCATACGCAATACAGCAGGTTACCGACCTTGCATGTCAGATTGCCGGTTCTGTCATCGCTATGCCCTCACTCAAGGGAAGGAGTAGTCCCGCCGTCGAACGTCGCGATCGGTTGACACTTGCGAAATTGGCCAGCTACGATGATGTCGCGACAGATGCGCTGGTCGATCGGGTACGATTTCTGAATGGCCTCTGCAGGCCTCATATTATTTATTGACTTCTGGATCTTGTAGGCATACTTCTGGACAAACACTCGAAAGAATCGAACCAAATACATCCCCATCCGGGGTATTGTCGATGATCAGGTCGCTCGCATACTCTTGCACGATGTAATCGTTGCAAAGGATGCCTCGAAAGCCGAGCGAGAGCTCCTTGCCATGCCTGGGTTGAAGAAGTTTATGGGAAAGCTACGCAATGACCGAGAGAAGGACTGGTTTCGTCGACATCTGCGCAAGTACATCCAGATGTACCTCCCGGACTCGCCGTTCGAGATTACCACGACCAACCGTTACACTATCACAGAACACGAGGCTGCAGTTTGCGCCCGCAAGTTTATCAAGCAGGGACAGGAGATCAAGTACCTGAGTGGGACGCTTGTGCCAATGACCCGCGAGGAAGAACAGGATCTCGATCTGAAGAGGAAGGATTTTAGTATCGTGATGTCGAGCCGGAAAAGAACACCGTCTTTCTTCCTTGGTCCCGCTCGTTTTGCGAATCATGACTGCAACGCAAACGGGAAATTGGTGACCAGGGGCTCGGAGGGTATGCAGGTTGTGGCCACTCGGGACATCTATATTGGAGAGGAGATTACCGTATCCTACGGTGACGACTATTTTGGAATCGATAATCGTGAATGTCTCTGCCTGACCTGCGAACGACTGGTCCGCAATGGCTGGTCCCAAAATGCTGCGTCTGAGCTTCCGGGTGCAGCGTTGATTCCGGCCGTAAACGAGGATATGTTGACTGTCGATTCCCATGTCTCGCCCAAGAAGCGCAAGTCGGCGCCTGATTCTGAGACCGAGCTTTCTGCTCCGCCCACACCATCGAAACGCGCGAAGTTCATCCGTCAGAGTTCTAAGTTGAGATCTGAGGTCTCGTTTCCTGAATCCACCAATTCTATCGAGCAACCTGCCGAACAGCCATCCCTGATCAACAACGCGATTTCCAATGGCCCTGTAGCTGAAAGCGTGAAGAATGACCCTTTGGATTCAAATCTTGACACAACGACGGTCCACACTCAGCCTCCCTCGCCTGATGACTACAAATCCCCATCGTCAATTACCGCAGATGAATCTCAACGTACATCGACATCGACGTACGTCACGTCCGTGTGTGATACTGGATTAAAGATCAAGGTGGAGCAAGTTATAGAGACGTCTGTCGAGAAAGTCTCATCCACCATTGAGAAGAATATCGAGTTCTCCACCACATCCCAGCCAGATCTCGAGCGGCGTTCGACAAGCAGTGAGAGGGACGCGCAGTCAGAATTATCAGATCCGCCGAGCACTATGGATTTACTCGAAACGCTTGTCACTGAAACGAAAAAATCCAGAACATCCCGTCGGAAAAACACCATTGTTTCATCTGTGGAAGTGGAATCGCAACTTGTTCGTGTTCCCGGGGATTATACAAAGACCTCCAAGCTTCTGGCGCAAACTTACGATCGCTGGGTTGATTGTCACACATGCAATACCTGGTTCGTTCAACAAAACTCTTACTTGACCCGGAGAGAATGCCCTCGATGTGAGCGCCACTCCATGCTGTATGGGTACCGGTGGCCTAAAACCGATCGAGAGGGGCCTCAAGACGAAGAAGAACGGGTGATGGACCATCGTACAGTTCATCGCTTCCTTTATCCTGAGGAAGAATCTCTCGTTTCGCGCAAGGCCCGCGGAGTCAGCTTCGGCGTGACGCCCACCCCCGAGCTATCTGAGTCACGTACAGAGACGGAGGGGAGTGATGGGGGCGATGACCGGCGGACTACTCGTGCGAGCCGGCGTCGCACTCGGTCTATTCGAATGACGATGTGATGAGGCGAGTCTTATCCTTATTTTCGTTTCTTTCATGGTATCTTTGTATAATCTTGGTACGGAGTTTGGGTGACAATGTCTGGGATTTGGGATACAACGGGGCATGGCGCATTTCACTAGAGTATCTGATTTTATCTGCATGATCTCATGGATGGGTTGATACGTTTTCAGCAGCTAGTCTGGTGGCTATCAGGGACAGTCTTGGTCTGCAATACGTAAGAGATGTAGGAGCACATCCAGCACTTTCAAATATTCACACTCTTATTTATTCATTTATTTTATTCTATTCTATTCTCCCCTTTGAACGAAACTAAAGAACAGAATTTCCCTCTACAGATTGCTGAACGATCAATCCTGTGTGTTTCCCCCGCATCGGCACGTCTTCTTCGCGATCTTCCTCAGTTATGGGAAATATATAACTGCACTAATCGCGAACAACCTCCCCCAGACTTTCCCTGCTACTTTGATTCCATCCCACATTGATGCCCCGGATTCGATAGTAGAACTCGGTGTATTGTTTACCGAGTGTGGTTTTTTTCTAGACATGGTGCCGTAGAATCGAGCACAATGCCCATTACTTTATAGGCTCGGTATCCTACCTAACTCCCTGGTAAGATAGTCGCCAATGACCATGATATTATCAATGGACACTATTCGTACTCTGTGCATCGTGTTTCTGACCATTTCCCTCTGCAGTGCCTACGGAGACCCTGTTGTCGACCCTCGACTACGGAGAGTTCCAGGGCAAATATGACTCGACCTATAATCTCTCTTACTTTCGCAAGATCCCCTTCGCAGCACCTCCAACAGGGGAGAACTGATTTCGAGCGTCTCAACCTTCTGCGAAGATTACAAATGGCATCTATGATAGTAACCAGGACTGTGACATGTGCCCGCAACGCACTGTCAATGGCTCAGAAGATTGCCTCTGTTTTAACTGAGTTGGATTCATGTCTATGGTACAGTATTATACATATGTCCGGGTCCAATGGTCTATATACGGTATTTCATGTCCTTCCTTAGGCCCCCCCTCGCCCAAAATCCGAACGCCTTTCCTTGTGAAATCCAGGTAAAAGTAAAAGGTTATTACAAACAAGTCTCGTAAAAATTCCCTTAGATCAGTGCCTGACCGCGGAACATACCCTCCCGAACCTCCTTGACCACGTCCTTCCGGTCTTTCTTGCCTACCAGCACAACACCGCGGCCTCGCTTGCCCATGCGGCCGAGACGGCCGAGCCGGTGGATGAAGTCAATGGTCGTGTGTGGTACATGGTAGAGAATGACGGTCTTGACTGCTAGCGTATCGATACCTCGGGAGGTCAGATCAGTCGTGACGAGCACCTTGGTGTTCGGGAGCCGGCGGGTGGAACCGCCAGAATTCGTCCGTTTGGGCATTTCAAACGGAATCGGGTCTTCATGGCGACGCTGTTTCTGAGCCAGCATAATTTCGTCGGGGCTGGGTGGGGGTGGTGCCTCCGTGAATTCAGCCAGTATCTCCTCTTGCTTCCGGGCGCTGGAATCGCGAGAGAGTGAGTGTGCGTCTATACCCTTCGACTGCAGGAATTGGGCGACTTCATCTGCCTCTTCGCGCTCATTGACAAAGACTAGAATCTTCTTGGTCTTCGGCTCGAGGAAGGAGGAGTATGGGCCCGAGACTTCAGAGTCGCCTGCTTTGCCGATTGACCATATCACATCCGCACAAGCCAGGCTTCGGTTGCCGCGATACGGATCCTTTTCAATGTCCACCACACCTAACTGTACGCGACGAGGAATGGCATGCAAGTTTGGTGTTGTTAGTCGTTTGATGTCTGGATAGCGCTTCCGTAGGAGGTTGTCAAGGCTGCGTGGGATGGTGGCGGAGCACAGAATCAGTTTCTGAAGAGAAGGAGCCACCTTGCTGATAATCTCCGTGGTGGTCGGTGCGAAAGATCGGTCTAGGAGGGAGTCCGCCTCGTCAAGGACGAGATGACTGACACGACTGAGCAGGTATGGCTCTGTCTTGGCAATGGACGCGAGCAGATGAGGAGTGGCAACGAGGATGTCGATACCATCAGGATGGAACAACGTATTCTTGATTCGGCGCGGAGTAAGGTTGGATGAGATCATACCGGAACGGTATTTGACTGTGTGGGACAAAGCCTTCACCTTCACGCCCACCTGAGCTACAAGCTCGGAGGTTGGGACGAGAATGATTGCCCGTGGTCTACCCGCATTCGAAAGAGGGGGAAGTTCTGGCTCGATATCAAAAGCCTTATTCTTCATCTTCTCCTCCCGTTCTCTAGCTTTCTCTTCCTCTTCCTTCTTTTCCAGTTCCTTGTCTACTGCTTCCGCACGCTTGACCGCGTCGACAACAGGGAGAAGATACGCCAATGTCTTCCCCGAACCAGTCTCCGCTGCGAGAAGGAATTGGTCGTAGTGAGGTTCGTCATCGTCAGTCTTAACCGGCTTCTTGTCCGGCTTTGACTCTTCCAAAAGTTTTGGGATGGCGAGACGCTGAATTGGCGTCGGTGTCACCTCCATCAAACCGGGCAACGCCTGGGAGACGATCGAGTTGCGGACGACAGGCAGCAGGGGAAACTGGTCGAAGCTCGTGATATCGGCAATCTTCGCCTTAACGGCCGTGCGCTTGCCGTAAGGAACGGGAGCCAACGTAGTCTGCATCTTCAACGCTTTGTAAAGGGGGCTTTCTTTCTTCTGAGCCTCTTCTTTTGAATCACCCGAACGTTTTAGAGCTGCTTGAGATCTTGTTCTTGGAGTGTCGCGGATGCGCGCTTCTGTCTGGTTCATTGCCGCAAACGGCCCTGGTCTTTCCCTTTTCTTCCGATCTTTGTTCAATGACGGTTTGGCAACGTCCGGAGATAAAGCCATCCGGGAGACTTTGCGGCGGAGGCGAGCGGTGGCCATGGAGCGAGCAGTCTGCCATGAGGATGGAATAAGTGTTGTTGTACGCGTTTGGCAGATCAAACAGGCCGGAGACCGAAGAGGCAGCGACATCCTGCCTAACCGATTCATTGTGACGGTATCAGAGGAAACCGACGAAATGAGGGTGATACAGAGGATCTATCTATCAGCTATCGTTGCACTACGGATGGAAAAAAGATGAAGAAAGCCTTGACCAGCTCCAGAGCCACGCTAGGACCAAAGAGGATTAGAGTGATCGGAGGGCGAACCTTGGGAACAAGGCCCTAAGGCCCCCAGGCCCCCAGGCCGCAAACAGTTGCTATGGAGACTCCCGCCGCGCGAAATGTCAACATCCGCTGCCCAGAATCAAGTTATCGAGGTTATCCCGATCCACTCATGCTTGCTGATCCCCATCGGATATTCTTCCCTCTGTCATTTCAATCCTCGTGCTGATTGATTTTATCTTCCTCCTTCTTTTCTTTGCGTTATTCTCCGCTGTCTTGTTGACTTCCTCGTGTGTTGTTACTTTCCTCCTGGTCTGCTGGTGGATGTTGTGGTGTATCAGTCTCTTTCTGCGATTCATCGTCCCACACATATCTCGATCTTTGACGATCTCTGCTGATATCCCTTCGTTATCGGAATACTAGCAGTATATTATCTTCCTCTCTTTCTCCCCACTAGCAAAGGAACAGCATCGAAGAAGTAACGATTCGGCGATCTCTTATGAATCTCCTTTGCCTGTGACGAATCTCGCAACACTGCCACGAATTATACGAACAGCTTTTGAAAATTAACCCAAATCCATATCGTTGCTTCTCAAAGCGTCCCCTCAGCATTTTGTTATTGTTTATCGGAATCAGGTATGGGCGCATTCCCGGTGCAAGGGATATCCTGGAGATGCACGGCTCATCTCTTTGTTATGCTGCCATAACATGACATCTGCTGATACATCCACCACACAGCGTTGCAATTTATTCCTCGTCATTCTTTGTGCTATTTGCCTTCCTTTGCCTTTGAGTGATCATTAGCTCCCCGTAAGATGGGTAGTGGCTCGGCGCAACGTCCTCTATCCGAAGTGAGTCCAGTGGCTCAGAGACGTAACTCCCCTGTGTGGAATCAGACAACCAAGGTAAGGAGTCCTCCCTGCACTGAGAATCTGTCTGAAGAGAAGCTGACTCGTCGCCACACAGATGATGAGAACTAGCGACGCCTCGAACCATGAGGTCCCGAACTCACCCCGCCTTTTCTGGCAGGGCCGCGAATCTGGCTCCCCCTTCCAGAGGAGCTCCGAAAACCAAGCCCCCTATGATCCCGATTCGCCGTACTCGGCGACTAAGCGACCATCCCTGGAAAATCTCAAGCGCGCATCGCGTGTGAGAAACAGTAACATGCTGCGTGATCGTACTCAAGAATATGATCCAGCACATGCATACGTTCCACAAAGACCCCTGGCGACAGGGAGATCTCCACAGAAACCGGTCCAAAGTACATCTGCAGCTCAAGAGACCAACATCCATGATGATCGCCAGATAGGACCTAGACCTCCATCGCCGAGTAAGGATCAGGTCTCACCAGCCAAGTCTTCCCTGTCCCGCGCAAGCCGTTTTGGTGTCAAGGGCAACGGCTTCGATCCCGAGAATGAGATTTGGAATGATTTCGATAGCATCGGCAATCGCCATCCCAAGAGTGTGACCTTCGACGCCGCGCCTCCTCAAGTCAACGAGTATGAAATGACAACCCCGGACCCGTCCTCAATTGCATCGGAGTCTGGCGATGGTAGCTATGACTCGGAAGAGGATGAGAATGATATCAGCTTTGACCGCGAGTCCTCCCTTGATCGCGACGATAGCTTCGATGCTTCGTTGGAGGACCTTGAAAAGACACCTGTTGTGCTGCCCGAGGACTGGCGCTACATGAGCCCGTCTACCGCCAATGACAACCTCGTGAAGGAGGACGAAGATCCTTTCACTGAGGATGATGAGTCTCACAGCCCCGGCCCGACGACTCCATCGAAACAGGATCTCCCTCTTCAGCATTCTCGTGTTGAGTCACTGGATTCGAATGGTGAACGCCGTCCTCTGCCACCACTGCCTGGTGCAGGCCGGCAATCCTTTACGCCTCGGCCTTCATCTCCTGGTAAACTCGCTGCCGCATTTGAGCTGGGAAGCGGTGGTAAGCGAGTCCTCCCCTCGCCCCCCGCCCCCGCCTCCTGCACAAAATCGGATATTAGTGAATTAAGTCGCGCCTCTATGTCCCTAGAGGACCGGCTTCGTCTAATGATGATTCGCAAGGAGCAACGGAGTGAGAATGACCATGAGCACGCCAATCACGATGATCCTGAAACAAAGCCATCTGAAGGGTGTGCAGATAATCAGGAGATGAACAAGAATGAGACCAACGAGGCAGAACACAGTGATACTGATGCGCTGGAGATCCCCATGCCGCGTATCTCAAGGGACTCAATCCTGAGGGATCTTCGCAGGAGCGAAAGCTTCTTGGATGATCCTTATGAGGACTCGTCCCAAATCGCCTCCAGCCCTGACCACTATATGAATTATGATCCAGATGTCCCAATCCCCTCACTTGAGCATGACAACGATGACGACGAAGATGATTTTGATGACTCGAGCAGTATCGTGATCAAAGAAGAACATCACGACGGCGATCTCTATGATATTCCCGATTATTATGAAACTATCCCGTCTCTCAACTCTTCTTTCAAAGATTTGAACGTCAAGGATACTGCGGATGACAACCAGTTCTTCCAGCCCGACAACGACGTTACCTCTGGCAAGCGTCATTCCGAAGGATCAAACGATGGACAGGCCACTCCTGTGCCCATTGAGCGCCCTCAGGGGCCGCTCAACGGCGGTAGCTCGGATAGCGCTCCTGAAGGACTCGACAGCAAGCAACCGTCGGCTCCCAAGATGGCTACAATCACTGAATCTTTGCGACGCCCCATGACTCCCGAAATGGATGACCAACATTCAGAACCATGTACACCGGAATCGGTGATCCGTCACCCTATCGATGAGGAAGACGACGGTGCCCTGTCCTCTTCGGACGAAAGCATCCCGGATCCCGTTGCCACTATCAAAGCGCCAAATGGACTCAAGACCCGCCCTTCGTTGACGCCGGCGGATATCGAAGCTATGGCTGCAGTGCGCCGCAAAGTCAGCGGACAGCCGCCACCATCCATGCCAACCCTAACCAAACAGAAATCCAACGAGTCTGAACTTTCATCTCCCGATGGTTCAGCATCGGAATCCGAGGAGAAGCCACCTCTCCTGGCGCCATCCTCTCTGCCCGATAAGGACCTAACCCAGAGGCAGACTAGCTTTGTGAAGCTGGATATCCCATTTAGTATTCAAGAAGAGAGTCTCGGAATGGGACTCGATAAGGAGTTCGACCGAGTTATTGAATCCCAAAAGGTGGCGTTTGAGAAATCCCTAGCCCAGTTGTTTGCTTCCGCGTCCACTTCAATTTCCCTGGAATCCCACCGCTCTCAGGACTCCCAAAACCCCATTCCTACACCTGAACCACAAGCTGACAACCCACCCCGGAAACAGAGAGGCTATCTCATGAGGCACAATACCAAGGTCGTCATTGCTAGCAATCGCAATGACGAGGAGACTGTCCCTACCCCAGGAGAGCCCTCCGCAGATGCACGGTCTGTGAGATCCCCGGCTCCTTCGCCACGCAAGGGAAGCCAACCGACATGGATATCCGTACCTTGGAACGGACAACCTCGCCGTCCTAGTATGCGAATGTCTGGAGGGATCCCGAAGAAGAAGCCAGTTGCAGGTCCCGTGCCACCACTCCCGGGTCAACAGAGCAATGTTCAAGAACCGGTTGCTCCGATTGAGGAGAACGAGCCCATGCTGAACGGCGCCCTGGAGGACGGTGAGGAACGTGGCCGCCTCTTTGTCAAGGTCGTCGGAATGAAATACCTCGATCTTCCCCTCCCCAAGGGTAAGTTTTTACCCCTACTGGCGGACCTGGCTAGAAGCTGTTTGCTTAAAGACTTGGCTGCTGACTCACATGGCAAGGCGAACGATCCTACTTCGCTCTCACATTGGATAACGGTCTCCATTGTGTTACCACAGCCTGGCTTGAGCTGGGGAAGACTGCTCCAATTGGACAGGAATTCGAGCTCATTGTTCAAACCGACCTGGAATTCCAGTTGACGCTCCAGATGAAGGTTGATGAAGATAAGCTCAGGGTTCAAGAACCAGCCCCCACTGCATCCCCGGCACGACAAAAGGCATCCACATTTAGCCGTGTCTTTGCCTCTCCACGGAAGCGAAAGGAGTTGGAAATGAAGCAGCAACTTGTTTCTCAGCAGCAAAAAAGCAAGGATGTCAACGCGGGTGTCTGGGATAGACTTAGAACTCTCATTGCCCGCGATGGCAGCTTTGGACGCGCATATGTTTCGCTCAGCGACCATGAAAAGAATGCGTACGGTCGCCCTTACACCGTCGATGTCGCATGCTTCAATGAGTGGGCAGTGGACGAACAACCAAGCAGTGTAAAGAGCAAGAAGAGCACTTCCAGCGCTGCGTCTCAGCGTCGACCTCCTTACAAGATTGGCAAACTGGAGCTGCAGCTGTTGTTCGTTCCCAAGCCCAAGTGCGGAAAGGACGAGGACATGCCGAAAAGCATGAACGCATGCATTCGGGAGATGCGTGAGGCTGAGGCCGCCTGCGCTCGAAGCTGGGAAGGATACCTTTCTCAACAGGGTGGTGACTGCCCGGTAAGCACCATCAACCTACAGTAGCTTGTATTGACCTTGCACTAATTGACTTTCCCACAGTACTGGCGACGACGTTTCTTCAAGCTGCAAGGCTCCAAGTTGACCGCCTACCATGAGACCACTCGCCAACCCCGTGCCACAATCAATTTGTCCAAGGCCGCAAAGTTGATTGATGACAGGTCGTCCCTAATCCAGAAAGAGACGACCACAAGAGGCGGCGGCCGTCGTAAGTCCGCCTTTGCTGAAGAGGAGGAGGGCTACATGTTCGTCGAAGAAGGGTTCCGAATTCGTTTCGGCAACGGCGAAGTGATTGATTTCTATGCGGACAGTGCGGCGGACAAGGAGGGGTGGATGAAAGTCCTTGCTGACAGTGTCGGCAAGGGCTCTTCCTCTGGTAGCAGCCAAATAAAGCCTTGGACAGAGCTCGTCCTCAAGCGTGAACGAAGCATGAAAGCCAAGAGGGAGACCACCGACCGTATCATGAACGGCGTTCCTCCCCCTCCACCGCCAGTCAAGAAAGATACTGCTCCCGCTGCGGGACAGACGGCGCCGGCGCCGGCATCCCCGCGGCCACGGCATAAACACACGCAGTCTCAGCCTGAAATCCGCAATGCGGACGTTCGACGTCAGAAGGCGCGTTCCTTGATCTTCTAGTTCTATTTTGAAACCCAATTTGTTCGTTGCTTGCTGTCTCTCTCGGTACAGTTTGCTCTGATTTCTTGTCTTCCACCAAAGCCCCCTTCATTTCGACTTGTGCTTGATTAACTGTCCTTACATTCTTGTTTACTCCTGCGATCTTGTTCCTTTTGACCTCGGGCTCCTTGGTCTTGGTGTGCCCTTTGCTGGCTTTTCTTTTGTTTCAATTGGTTTTTCGTCCTGCTGTTCTTTCCCTTGGCTTCGGAGTCGGGTATTGTAGCATCCCTTACTAAGAGTCTGACCAGCAACAGCCTGTATTCCGTGCTTTATTTGACTTGATTCTTTCGTACATCAATGATACATAGCGCCTTTTTTCATGCGTTCATAATTGAACACTTTTTCTGCCTCATTTTCACCTAGGGTTGCCCTGGATTCTTGGTATATGAAGTGTTGCCCCATTTCTTCATGAAGGCATTCAGCATACATTCACATCCCCGTGAGCCGAATTCAGCGAAGATTCTATTTCACAGTGGTGTGTATGACCAAATTTGCCAGTACGATCCAGCTAATAGTCCTTTGATATACAATAATTCAGGAAGTTTCTCCTTGAAAATTGCAGAAGTCCTCCTGAGTACTTAGAGGACTTGGGATTTTAGATGTTATCCATTTTTGATTTACTTTGTACAAGGACTTCTGGTTCATAGCCTTTGATTTGAGATGCAGAGATCAACCCCCCTCTTCACCGTTGGGATTCGCCTGCTCATCATCTGATTCAGCTTCCACGGCAGCCAGAGCTTCCTTTCTAGACTTCGTGGTTCCTTGGCCGACCTCTTTCTGTTCCGCCTCTGTTCCATCAGTAGGCGGGTTTGGCTGTGCCGAAGCCGCCACGCCCCCGGATGTGACGTAGAGGAATGTCTCTTGGCTGAAGTGGTCGATGTGGTTGAAGAAAACAGAGAAGCTGGGTAATAGTTAGCAACCACTGTGGACGTTTAGGGTGATGGGGGTTAGTTAACGTACGCATTTGCTTGTTCCTCCTCGCGGAAGATCCGATCGTAGATCTCCCGCTGCTTGAACTCATTGATTTCCTTCTCGTATTTGCTAAAGTCGATGGGGTCTTTGCCCAGCGTAGTCGTCGCCTTCTTGTTGTATCCGTCGAAAATGGGACGTTCCAGCAAGAGGCCGAGTCCCGGTGCCTTGGGGACGGCGATCTTAGTTGGGCCGTACGATTCTACGATGCGCGCGGGGTCGCCGCCAGCCCGCACGAGCATGGTGGCCATGGCGACCATCTTGCGGATCTGGTGCATCATGAAGCTCTGGCCGTGGACTTTCAGGCTGAGCCACTCGGTGCCGTTGATGAGGATCGAGTTGCGGTCGACCTGGAATGTCTTGATGTACCGCTTCGCGGAGGGATCACCGTGCGTCTTCTGGATGGTGTAGTTGTAGAAGTTGTTGGTCCCGATGTACTTGTCAAGTGTCGCCTGCAGGCGGTCCAGGCGAATGGAGGGGATGCGGTAGGCCCGCTTGGCCTCAGTGTAGGCGGTCTTGACTTGCTTGACGGCTTCGTAGATCCTCCGTCTGCGGGCTTCCTCTTCTGCGTCTGTCTCTGCCGTGGCGGTCTGGCCGGATGTTTGCTGGGGTTCTTCCTTTTGATCTGCCGACTCGCTCTCTGCGGCCTTTTCTTCATCGAAGTACAGGGCCTTTTCGACCAGTTTGCGGATGTCATCTGGCAGCGATTCGAGGATGGGCTTTATGCGTTCGTTGTCTATATCGTTCCAGTAGGTCGCAACCTCCTCCTGCCTAGCTTTGAGGCCTTCGAGGTCCCCTTCTTTCTCGGCAAGCTCTACGATCTTCCTGCCCAGATAGGTGCTGGGGTGCGGTGGCAGGAAACAGTAACTGGGGATAAGATACTCGTAGACGCGAGAGTCGCACATCTGGTAGCAGCTGAATCCCTTATTCGTGACCTGAACATCCCAAACTCGAATCTGGGGACAAAGCTGCTCGTTGATCTTTTTGACAATATCCGGATCTTCGACGATGAGTTTCAGGGAGACAACGTTACCCGCGGCGTGAACTCCCTTATCCGTGCGCGCGCATCGGACCAACGAGGATTTCTTGGGGTCGGCCGCGTTGGCTTTAGAGATGGCGCCTGCTGCCACGAAGGCAGCAAAGAGGTCGCCTTCAATGGTCTTTTCTTTGTCGCTCCTGAGCGAGAGTTAGCTGCGAATGGTCATAGTCATAGTCCACTAGGTTATCTTACAATTGCATTCCATGATAACCTGTACCAGCGTATCCGATCAACACGGCAACCTTCTTCTTTGGCCGTCTTTGCTCGCTCTCGATATCTTCTTGCGAGAAATGCGTCGCATAGATGGGAGCCGATACTTCTTCACCGTTCTCGAGCTTGCGCCGCTTCGTTTCGTTCTGTTCGTCATTTCGTGCTCTTTTATCTACCATTTGCCGACTTGCCAGGTTAGCCGACGACAGCCACCTTTTGAGTGAATCCAGCTCCTGCAAGAACATACCTCCACTCTGCCCTTCCCATATTCCTCTTCTTACGCTTGTGATCAGCATCTCCGGATTCCTCAATTCTTCCTGCGTTATTGTCCATGGTGACTTTCGTCTCCACCAGTTCCGTAATGGTGCTTGAATACCGAAATGCCGCTGCAAAATGGAGGAGTCGATTAACCGAGTCGTCCGAGGCGATTGACAAAAGACAGACAGGTTTCTGGGGGAAGCATTCAACCCAGACAAGCACGGACGTAGAGAGCTGTAGGCGCGCATGAAGAAGCAGGTCTGCGTGGAGACTTCTGCTGCAATCGAACCGAACCACTTCATTCTTTGCCTTTTTTTGACTTTTTGGCCGCGATTTGACATTCGAGATGCACTATGCTAGATTAGGACTAGCGCATCACAATTCCACTAGACTAAAGTCGGATGGATAGCTGAGGCCTCAGGCATCGGGAGTGGATGCCTCGAACGGACTCTTCAGTCCAGCCTTTCAGCTTCAACTTACTCCAACTTTTTTTCCTTTCACCACATTCCTTTGTTGTCTGCTGCGGTCCTTCGATTCCCAGCTGCACTTAAACTTCTCCCCTTCCTAATTCTTCCTCTAGTTGCACTTTCGGGCCCATTTTCGGCTGTCTGCACTGAGAAGAATGTCACTCGTCTTTCGCTAGCTCTAACCGGAGGTCTCGAGATTTCTCTATAACAGCACGAACCCCCGCGAAGTCCATATTTGCCTTACCATCGCTAGGACAGCTTCAACCTGTCATCTTTAGCTGATCAACCTTTGACAACATTCGGCCATGGATCTTGCGAATACCCTTATTCGGAGCGTGGTCCGCGCATTCTACGAAACCCGCCACATTCTCGTTGTCGATGCGCTCTTCATCCACTCAGTGTATGTCCTAGTCTGGCGCAATTACTCTGGCGATACTGTTCGACGTGGATGTGCATGACTGACACCCAGCCCTCATTTCCTGGCATAGACTCCATGCGGAAGATCTCGCATTCCTTCTAGGGATGCAGCAGAAGGACCTTCGGAAACTTTGCGCCAGACTGCGCGAAGACCGTTTGATCTCAGTGTATGGCTCGCTTGCAGTACCAGATGGAATTGGACCTGCAGCTAGGCTGACATGAATGACTTCTACTTCTTTTCCCCCCCGTGCAGTAGCACACGAGCCGAGATTCGAGATGGGGCCACGCGCCCTGTCAACCGTGAATACTACTACATTCCGTTACACCCGGTCATCGACGCGATCAAATACAAGGTGTCCAAGTTAACGTCGACGATCAAAACCCAATATACGCCCAGCGAAGAACGAAAGGAGTACGTCTGCTTGCGGTGCGGCGCGGAGTGGACGGAGCTGGACGTCCTGAGCCTGTACTCGGACGAGGGGTTCGAGTGCCAGAACTGCGGGGCCATCCTGGAGCGAACAGAAGACGTCAAGGGGACCGAGGGGATCGATCGCACAGGCCACGAGAAGAACAGCAAGCTGATGGCCCAGCTAGACATCATGCTCAAGCTACTTAAGCAGATTGACTCCGTCGAGATCCCGCCCAACGACTTCGACACCGCATGGGACCACAAGGTCGACGTCCTCCGCAACCAACAGACGAACCCGACCCGCGCGGCCGTCATCCTACCCTCAAAACAGCAGGAGGCCGTGCGCGGCAACCTCAAGACCGACTCGGCCGCGCTCGAAATCTCCCTCACCTCCAGCGCGGAGAAGAGCGCCGCCGAGCAAGCCGAGGAAGCCGCCCGCAAGGCCGCGTTCGAGAAGCAGAACGCCCTCCCCGTCTGGCACACGCATTCGACCGTCTCCACCTCCGCTGGCAACATCAACCGCGTTAAGACCGACCCGGACGCCGCCGCCGCCATCAAATCCGAAATCAAGGAGGAAGAGGACATCAAGCCCAAGATCGAGGACCTCGACGACAAAGTCGCCGCCTACTACGCAGAGATGGAGCGCGAAAAGGCCCTTCAGGCGCAGCGCGATGCCAGCAGCGCAGACGAGGACGACTCCGACGACTTCGACGAGGAGTTCGAGGACGTAGGTGGCGTCTCCGCCAGTGACACGGCCTCCCCGGCCGCAATGGGCGCGGGTGTCGGTGTTAGTGTGGGTGGTCGCACCCCCACGAGCGCGCCTACCTCCGCACCGCTCGGCATTAAGCGCGAGTTCGACACAGATTCTGGGACGAGTGCGCCCCAAACCGCCGTAGGAACGCCGGTCACGCCCGCTGACGAAGGACCGGCCATGAAGAAGGTCAAGCTCGAACCCGATGTGAAAAAGGAGGAGTCGGATGAGGATGATGAGGAGGAGTTCGAGGACGTGTGATGGCCTCTCTCCTCTTCTGATCCCTTCTACTGATCATGAGCGCGGGCGTTCGCGATCAACCAATTGTGCCATTAAAGACGATGCGAGACGGCAAGAAAGACAGGACAAGAAAAATGAATGGCTCGTGGTGCTCCAAGCGGACATTCCAGAATGATATCTACATTTGTATAATAGAATTTTGTATCAAAGGTAGCTTGCGCGTGCCACGAAGGCTAGACCGTGGAGGGCCACCCCCCTGGCTGTAATGCATTTCTTTATTTTCGTCTAGAACTTTTGCTCGTCCAGCAGACCCAAACCCGTAGATATGCCGTTTGACGTCCCATCTGCGCGCGATATCTGACCTTCCGTCTCATAAATGGCATGTGGTAAAAGCCCGGCGCAGCAAGCAAAGATATCTCAAGGCGTACCGTGTCATTACAATGTCCTCGAAGAATCGCCCACCAAACTGTAGAAACTGGAAAATATGTGAAAGGACAAAGGCCAAACTCCCAACCACAGATGCTGAAAGAAAATTCATACAGTCAACGCCTGCTTCTACTCTCTTTTTGGCACAAGGGGGAAAAAAGAAAGAAAAAAAAGAAACGCCAATCGATGCAGTCTGCTGATACGATGTAGAACTTGGTCATAAGGTCGTCATCTCGTATGTGATAAAATCACAGCGTTTCATGAGGCGGTTTCACAGATCTTCTCATGGAGATCCTGCCACGCCCATCTCCGAGTCGCTTGGTAGCATAGAGTTGTCTTCCCATTCATCTGCAGATGCTACGTCAGATTCTGACATCAATTGGTTAGACGATAATAAGGGAAGAAAGAAAGAGAGGTACCATACCGGAAGCTAATTCTTCAGGCATATCTACAGATAATTCATCAATGGCTGCGCTAACCGCTATGTCACAGTTAGCAAATTTCGGGGACGAGGGAAACCGCCGAGGAAAAATGAGAGCCAGACATACCTTGTGCTTGACGAACAAATTCCTGATCCTCCTCGCTGTCGCCAAAGTACGTAACCAAGCAATGATCAATGACAGCTTTGACGCTCTCTATGACTCTGCCTTCCACGTTATTTCCGGGTGCAGCTAGGAATGTCTTCCTCAGCTTCTCCACACTGTTGTGCACGAGCTCTTTGGCAATCTCAGCATGACGTGCCTGAGACTCAGGCTCCATGTCTTCTGCTTCCGTGCTGAACAGAATCTGGTGCAGAAGCGCCAAGGTCATGCTCCTGACAGTTCTATCCGGGTAGATGAGTAATGTTGGAGCCCAATCTGGTATCTTTTCCACAGCCTGTGACAGGAACCAATTCTTCTCAAGACCAAGTCGTTCGTTGCGGCTTGCGAGCAAGCCCGTGAAGAAGGCAAGATGCTCTCTTCCTCCACTCTCGTTGATAGAGTCAACTCCTTTGGCAACAAAATCGACCAAAAACATCACTCTGTCCTCTTCTGGGCTCCTTTGGCAGAAGATCAGACTCGCTTCCAGATACGGAGCACATAGCTCAGCAGGCTCGACTCGAAGTCCATCCTCCAAGACCTTGCATATCGAATCCATCAGGCCAGCCTCTGGTTCCGAGTCCAAGAAAAACGCAACAATCTCCATGGATGCGTTGGAATTGCTGGTTTGTTGAAGAACCCTTCTGAGCAGTGACAGCTCATGCTCCCTCCCGAGAGAACAGACGAAAACATTCTCTGTGACAGTAAGGGGGAATTTTCCATTAGGTAGAGCGCGGCGTTCATCATCCACGGTTGGGACCATGGTGAGGTCAATTTTGCTCAGAAGTGCCGCCAGGAATTCCATAAGTTTCCTGTGCGAGAATTTTCTGCCCTTTTCGAGGAGTTTGATATAGGTCAGGTATTGACGTCGCAATTTCTTCGTATCCTCTCGGTCAATCCAGATAATCTCTAAGCACTTCAGCAGGAATCCGCTATTCAGGATTGTTTCAGCCTCGTAGTTACCGAGGTTGAGAAGGGACATTAGAAGCTCAAAATAATCATCCCATGAGCGAGGTGCCGTATGCAGAACGGGCCACAAGTGCTCCAGAGTGGCAACCACATTTTCGAATCCATCTAGATAACGCATTTGCCATCTTTCTTTGGCACGTTCATCGGATTCCGTTTGATCACACAAGTCACGAAGTTTCTCAAGGGCACGCAGAATGATTCTGATCGAGCTTTCTCGGACAGATGCATGTGGACTTCTCAGAATGAGATTGCGAATGCCTGCGGATCGCTCAACAACCCACTCAAGAACCCTGTGGGCTCCTTTTGGTAGCTCTTCGATAGCTCTCACAATTTCCGAAACAATCACATCAAGCCCCAAAGGCTCTCGGGATCTTGACAGCAATTGTTCCAGGGTGTCCAATGCGATGAATATCACATCCTGATCCAATTTAGGTGTCATGTTCGATTCCTCAAGTTCATGAAGCCGGGAAAGGAGATATCTGACGAAAAAGACATGATACGGGTCCATTAGACAGTAAGTCCGTATGAAGAGCTCGTTTTCCATCGCAATGTGGTTTGCAAGCGAGATCGGTAATGGGACGTGCACTGGTCGATCAGTACGGCAAAGCTTGTATGTCAATCTTTCTGCCTCCATGCTCGAGACACGCTGATAGAACAGCATATAAGCGTTCCACACCTTATTAAATCGAACTTGATTCATCTGGGCAGATTGGCCTGAGTCATTGTAACCACCGAAGCATTGGTCTGCAATCTTAGATTGCTCAAACCTGCTTACATCCGAATCATTAAACTCCACCCAGGAGCCTCGTGCGCCAGCAGCGGGTCTTTCCCGGATGTATGAATAGTAGTGCCCTGATTCGGCGGTTCCGCTATGGACCAAGACGCCGACAAGTTGAAAAACGTCCTCTTGAACCTCCGAGGTTTGATCGGACAGGTATTCAACTTTGAAGGGGCTCATATCGATGTGCTCGGGAAACCGAAATTCATCGTTGATCTTGCTTCTCAGCATTGTGACCATGTCAAAGTCAAAGCGCTTAAGATGAAAGATCAAGTTGTCGGGGACTTCCTTCAAACAAGCCCTAAAAAGATGCAAAGTCAGTATAACGGGAGGCTGTCGACAGGAAATGGAGACTTCAAATCACCTCTTGACAGCATCGACATGGCGCCCACAAGATGTACAGGAATATTTGTTATCTTGGAATGACTATCAGCACGATGAACAATCAACAAGCCTTGGCCGATGAAATTCTCACCTCCTTGCATAATCTCTCCTTCGACGTATGCCTGCAAACTCTCCTCGAGGCTTGCATTACCCTTGATATCGCATTGGATGGCGGAAAAGGGTTCTAGGCGCTCGGAGATATGAGGGCACTCTTTCGACTTGATCTGCTGGACGAGCTGACCGCCATAGAAAGACCGAAAATTCTTCTTATCCTCGGAATTCAAGATCTGTGCCTCCCATCTATCAAATAACAAGTTGTAAAATTCGTCCACGTCCATCTGTATTGTCACGTCAATGGGTTCATTATCATAGGTGCGAATGGTATCAACCAAGCCCTGAGGATCCACGCTCTTCAGCCACGTTTCTTGCATGTAAGCAAAGACCTTCTTTGTCTCGGCGAGTAACCGTTGAGAGGCATCTGGATCCGAGAGATGGAGTTGCAGCATGAAGTCGCGGAAACGTACATTCATGAAGAGCTGGCTAAGGAGGGAATTCAGATAACACGTGTTGGAAAGATTCTTGAGTCCGGCATAACCTTCTGGGGAGCGAATCATCTTATGACGGTCAAAGCTCCAGCCAGGAGTGTACGTATAGTCTGAAGGATTACCGATGATTAGCGTCATGAAACTGGGGCTGCCCTTAGCATAGAACATAGGGTGAACTAACCCGCAGGAATGAGGTCCTTGACATTTTCGACCACCCTGCAATAGTTCTCAATGTCTTTGCTGAGTAAACTAAGGATCCCATAGAGCTCCTGGCGTGTTTGGGTGTGCATGACGGGGACCTGAGGAACGATGGCACTGTTCGACTCCTCGGAGAGATTAGGGAAAAGATAATTGTCAATCAGCTTTTCAGTGAGGTCGCTGCGGAAATCAGTATTAGTGAAGAACCAATCTCGAGAAAGTGCTGTTCCAGAACTTACAATGTGTCTATTTCCATGCCATTGGAATCTGCCAGGTCCAAGCATGATCTCAGAAGTCGACAAAAGCCCAGAATCAGAGGGTCCACGGGCTCTCGTCCGACAAACTTCGAATATATTAGTATACAAGGAATCTCCCAAGAGGTGTGCTACTAACCTCTTGTGTCTTATGGCGCAGCATGATACCACTCCACTGCTTCAGGTATTCGCCGTAGATAAGGTCACCTGGAGACTGTTCGGCAATTGAGTGGAACACCAAGTGAGCGATATCGAAAAATTCCTGGGATTGCTCGGCATATCTCAAAGTCTGCGGCATGATCTTCACGAAAGCACCCCAGAGTGTCGCCAACATATCAACCCTGACAGGATTTTCAGCGGCCTGGGTGTCCGAAGAAGTTTGGGTCTCGCCATTCACAGCCTTCGTCAGCTTTTTCTGCAGCTTTGACGGGCTACACGCGACCGCGATATTCTCAATTATCTCTCTGCGGATGGACGACCGCTTTTCGCAGAGCAAGAGGGACAGAAGGTTCTGATCAAGTTGTGCATGCTCCTTGATAACTTCCCAAAACTTGGGGTCTCGCAAGGAGGCCTCGGTGAAAATGCTAGAAGAGTTGCATATCAATCTGTGGATGCGATTTCCAGGAAGATAATTTGGAGAAACAGCTCGTCCAATATCTATCAAAGCATGTAGCTGCTGCACTACTAAAGCAGGCTTTGGAATTGTAAAGGACCCATCGGCAACGGGTGGTATTACTATTCAAAAGGTCAGCACCAAAAACGCACGACTGGGGTATGCAGAGGCCACTTACCGAGGAGAGCGTGGAGTAGACAATCAACAAGGCTTGCGGCAAGCAAGATTTTGATGGGACTCTCTGCTAGAGAGTTAAACATCTCGGGGCGTGTAAGACCAGCAACCAAGATATGGATGCTGCGGGACACGAATTCTCGATCCGGAGATGGCTACAACATCGTCAGCAAACACTTAAATGCCGCCAGGTAGAAGATAGGACCTACCTCCAATGCCTCCCCTCTCAGGCAACTGCTGAGCGCATTCACGGCGTAGAGGAGGCGATAGGGTTTATCCGCCGGCAGGATATCTCCTTCGGTCACATTTGTAGATTTCACCCACTGGATCACTTTCTCTTGAGGCGGGAAAACAACGAGAAAGTCATATATCTGTAACAGAGCGATGGTAAGTATGGTACGAAGATCCTTGCCCAATGTCAAAAGAGATTCAAGGATTTGAACCCACCTCTCGAGCCAGACGGTCGTGGAGACTGAGGAGATCGTAAAGGTCGTCAAAATGCTTGAGCACCTCCGAATCAACTGAAGTCAGTGACGGGCGTCGGCCTGTCAACGTCACCTCGTGACTGTCGTCATCCTTTCGGACTAGTAGCAGCCCTGACCCTATTCTAAGCTCACGTATTGTGACGGCGGGCTGTTCAAGAAGGTCAATTCGCCGTCCGCTTGAGATTGTACTGAACTTGGAAAATCCCGTGAGCTGGACGATCTTCTCTACCAATTCGGAGGCGGTAGCCAGATCACCAATCCGTAACGTTCGAACTTTAGACTGGGCGCTGCCGCTAAATGTTTGATAACGTATTTCAATCAACTCGCCCTTCACCGGATGGCTAGGCAAATTGGGCGGAGAGTTTTGGAGCGGGCTATACTGCGGCCTAGTTCGCAGTCCTTGGAGCAACTGGCGAAGAAATAGAAGAGATCGGCTGAACCGCAATTCGTCTGACCGGTTCGTACTTTCTTTAGGTTGTTTTGCGGACGTGGCATCAGTATCAATGGCCGTGCCAGAGAACGACTTGAGATTTGCTGCAGCAGACTTAAGTTGTTCGACGCATCGATCCACCAAAGCGATATGAGTCGCCTCGACAGCTGACCGTGGCGAGCGTTTGATGACAGCGTGATCAAGATATATCTCGATAGCGAAATGAGTGGCCTCCGTTTCGATTGAGTCGGGTGGAGCAGTCAAAATGAATTCCCATATGCGATCCATCCCCGGGATCGTGACAACCTCGTTCTCCCCAGCCATCGGGGGAGGACTAAAACGAACCTCGTAGTTGACAGCCTGTTTCACAAAGGCGAGCAACTCATGGCAGTACTCTTCTGGACATAGCTCTGGGATGTATTTTTGAATGACCTGTTCGACGAAAGGATTGCGTTTTGCGCTGCGTCTCACGATTTCGCATAGCATGTCCCACACTGCGCGCCGGCCCTGATCCAGCAGCGTATCTGACATGAACACCTTTCTCCACAGAACATCAGCTAGGTCCGAAGTGATGGTGTCAGGAACTTTGTCGATGATGCGAGCAAGAAGTTGGATTCGCGAGATAAACCCGGTTTTAGAGAACGAGTCGCCGAATTCCGTTCGCCTCATATCCACGTTGTGGACTAGTTCGGCAATAACCAACCGCGTGAGGTCAAACTCTGTGGTCAGCTTTCGAATCTCCTGCGAATCATAACCAGGAAGGAGTGCATTCAGAGCCTGGATGCTCCCAACGGTGAACTGATTCATCTCAGCAATGTCTTGTATGCATCGCTCATATGTTTCCATCTTGTCTATTTCATTTAACCCAACATTGATCAACGAACTTAATTGCGAGCTCGCAAACCGCTGTAGATATGCTTTATGTTCGAGAGCGACGTCCTCAATCGCGGCGCTCTCACGGATCAGGCGGACACACAGCCGTAAGGGGACGGCATCAATGTGAGATTCATCCAGCATGTCATTACGACTTCTGTCGGCTTGTTTCTCGCGTACTTGATAGAGAAGCTGTTCACAAAACTCCACCATGCGCGCATCGAATCGAGTCAACGGTAATTCGAGCAGTTTGGCGCACAGATAGATTAATGCTGGGGAGGAGGATGCATGCATATGAAATGTCCTCGTAAGCATGCCCAGGACCTCCGATATCGTTCGAGGGTCTTGACTCTCCGTTACCGTCTTCCATATTGTATCTGTATCAAGGTCGCCGTAGCTAAAGGTAACAACCAGGAAGCCGATGATGTTCCCACTTCGACTGATGAGCTGGGGATGGGAGTCGATACCGACAATGTAATCGACAATCTTATGCTCCCTCAACAAATCGACGAGATATCGAACGATAGGATGTTCGTTCCCCGCCGGATTGTTCTGGATATGCCGACGCCAGACAGCAACGAGATCCGATTGCAGAGTCTCCATGCCATGGACCCTAAGTTCCATGCGGCCATCCATGATATGCTTCTTCAAGACTGCAAATCTCCAGCCGTGATAGATGATCGAGGCCCTGTCATCTTGCGATAGATCATCAGGAAGCTTGATTGAGAGATCTTTGGCGATTCTCTCTGTGTAACTCGGATCAAGGCTTATGAGATGATAGGCGCTTGAAATATGACGGAGGATTGGCTCACTGGTATCGCTCGTGATCCAAGGTGACTTTTTTGCGATATGGGCTTGGTAGGCGTCATCAATCTGTCGATTGAACCGGTACGCCGCATTTAAGGTGTTAGTATGGGACTCAGACTCGAGCGCAAGCTCATCCTCACTAATTTTACGCCGCTCAAGGCTCGTTTCCACGAGATTGTGAACAATAATCAGAGTCGGACCCAAGACAACAGCGAGCTGTGAACATTGGGGCTTAGTGACAATGGTCAAGAGGGAGGCGGCAAATTCCGATAGGAGATTGATCGTATCGACAGGAAGCGTGGAGATTTGGGTGCTAAGTTGAACGATAAGGTTGATGATTCCGGCGCCGTGGGCTCGTTCCATCGCGCGGTAGAAGGGAATGCTGTGTAACTGCATCATCCAGCCTAACGAGGGTATGTACGTCCTCGACATCAGTTCGGGAGGTTGAGGTTCTGTTTCGATCGGTTGCTGTAACTTCAAAGTATCCAGACGCACCAGGCGGAAGCCGAGCCGAGCAAAGTTGGTCAGGAATTCCTCCAGACAAGACCAGATCCCACGACCCTCATCTGGTTCAAGAGGCTGCCTGTGTTTGTTGAATCAGCGAAACTGTCCCAACGTGCTTTGCAAGATCGGGGTCTGAGGGTGCTTAGCTTACTCTCGACGCAGCAGGGACTCTACCAGCGCAGGAAAGTCAACCCAAAAGTCCCGGTCGCTCGCGAACGTTTCATATGTGAACCGGCCGAGATCATGTACGATGTCATCAAGCCAACTCTTTACAGCTAAGAAGACATTGATATCATGCGCAGACCCTACAGATATACGTTAGTTTAGCGGACTTCACAGAGCGTTCAATGCCAAATGACAGGAAAATCAAATGGTCCCCGGACGTACCTTTCTCGATGATCGTACAGATATCCTCCAAGTTTTCTCGCAGGTCGTCATTCACGCGGAGCTTGGGGAAGGTTTCACTCAGCGGCGACTGCCCTTGGAGCTGGACAACCTCCGGTGTGACCGGGTCCCGTAACGCTTCCTCCAACGACCGCCATGTCGACATATTGGGGTCCTGGTCCATGTCCTCCAGATCGGCCACCTCAATCTCCGGGCTCTGGGCAGGTGTCGAGTCTACCGATATGACTTTGGTGGAGTCGGTGTCGGGAGCAGCACCAGGCTGTTCCGCAGCTCCATCCATGGCGTCGGGAGCCGTGATCTCGGAGGTGGGGGATCTCACGTTGATAGTCACTCTGCTGGCGGTACGGGTCAACGCAGGCGCGTTCCGGATTGGCGAGCTGGTCGTGGCAGGAGCGGCGGCAGTCGGCTCGGACATTCGAGAAACAGCAGCGTCGTCGATGGACAACGACTCCACGGCACCACTTCCGCTGTCGAGACGCGGACGTTTCCGAGTGGACTGAGGATCGAGATCTTCCATGGGATCACCGTTTGGACGCGTCGGTTCGATGGATGGGGTAGCGTCAGGCGGGGTGCTAGAGCTGTCTAGCGGGGCAGCTGCCATGACATTTTCTTTATCCTTTCGAAGGGAACGCGAGAGGGATGTAAGATGTTGGGAGGGAAGGAAGGTCAGAGGGTAAGAAGGGTGGGAAGATTTAGTCAGTTCAACAATGGGAGTGATAAGAAAGTAGAGGATGTCTCTCCACAATTTAAGTATGATGGTTAAACCTTTTCTCAAAAGAAGAAGAAAGAGAGAAATTGAGGAAGCTGGAATTGGAAGGTAGGAAAAACGTGAATGGCAAGATGAAAGAATGGATCAGAAGAAAGAAAAGGTGTAGTAAAGAGTAGGTGAGGTGAGAGAGCACCAGGAGCAAGCTCAACAGGGTGTGGTTGATAGTTAGAGTGAGCAGGCAGCTAAGGTAGGTTGATAATGATAAATAAGGTAGATACAGTGTAGACGATTAGATAGATTAGAGTCCAGGTTGGCGGAGAGAGCAAGCAGTTCCAGTTCAGCAGCAAGAGAGAGAGAGACTAAGGCAAAAAAAAAAAAAAAAAAAAAAAAAGGCCCAGATAGCTCTGACGTTGTTTGTGGAGCTGGTGGGTCTATCTAGGTAACTACAGAGTATATCTACTTTTATGTAGTGATCTTGATCTTCATAGTAGGTGAAGTAGGGAGTAGAGATGTACTACTCTGCGAGAAAGACTATATTTACATACACTACAGTTTACTCACTGGAACTCCTATCCATTGCAGAGTGGTATAATTGTAAGTCTGTAGTCTGTACTTAAGGTAAGCTCTATCGGACAACTTCATGCAATCAATCCCCTGCATCGATTGTCCCTAATTCAATGCCACTCCATAAGTCCTTCAAAGTACGTACTGTTCTAGACCTTCTAATTCTATTCTATTGTTGATCTTTTTTTTTTTTTTTTTTTTTTTTGACCCGCTATCATTAGAGTCTTTCAATCATACCAAGAAGCCGTTGACCTTCCAATTCAGGGCGTAGCTCTGGGGGCTACTATGGGAGCTGGACATGGTTTAACCATCACCCCTAGGCAGTAGATACATAGCATCAAAGTACCTAGCAGCTTGGCAAGAATAATAACCGAGTAATTTGTACTTCCCAGACCAAATATGATCATAAAGCAGCACAGCATTTCCCCCTTGCTTGACTGGCTGTCCTACTGTTCTGCTACCTGGATCTTGTGTATCTCTTCTCTTCGTAAGAACTCAAATAACAAGACAGTTTGAGTGACCTAGCAGTTATATATGCTCATACTCTACTTTCTCAATTCTCCTTTGACACTCTATGCTCGCGAAAACATCATACTCCTGCTCACATTCAGACGGAAGGCATTCTTCAGACAACACTGCACTCCGCCTACTGCAGATATTTGATATCAACTGAATGGACTCAGAAACCCGCACATGGACTGATTATTTCTTCTCCAACTACCAGCCCTCTTTTGATCTCACGAATTCAAGCTTTGATCCGGAGACCTTCCAGCAGTTCCAGTATAAGCAACGCCACTGGCGCTTGGGAAGGAGACTAGATGAACGTGATTTCTCCTATCGCGAACAGCCCCCCGCCTTGGTTCGGCGGCTCTATGCAAAAACGAGAGAGGGCACAGTGAAATATGCAGCCAAAACAGTAAGCTATCTTGACTCCATGCTCCTTGCAAAGCTGACTTGATGCAGTTTCTAGTGTATCACGAAGATCAAGCAAGGATGCAACTTCGCCGAATTTCCTCGTCACGACACTCTGTCGATATGGTCAGAAGCCAACTGGATCCTTTCCTAGCTGAAGCGAGGGCTTTCGAACAAATAATCAAATTCTGTCCAAGCTCACGCAAGGTCTACTTTCCACGTTACCACGGCGTGATCACAAACATATCGCAGTCTAGGGATCCCTCCCCATATGAATCACGACCCCAAGCAGTCGTGCTGGAGGCGATCTCGCCAGGTTTAGCATCAAGGCGAATACTCTCGGCCGAGGCACATCTGCCAGATGAAATCCTAGTAGGCTTCTCCCAGCAGCTAGACAAAGTATGCCTGAGCCCGTTCGAGGCGAATTGGTATCTGTCACTCTTTGCGGATCGATTCCGTCGAGTAACTACACTACATGACATTGGAATCAGCCATGGCGATCTCTGGGATCGTCATTTTCGGCTCCCTGGGGATTTCTATGACACTGTACTCTATGATTTTTCCATTTCTTACACTTTCTCACCTTCCTGGCCGTATAGCATGAACTTCGGACGCCCAACGTCATTGTCTAGGGTGAAATGTCGAGATAGAAAGCTTGTAGAACACTGTATTTTGGAACGGTAGGTCATCTCCCATATCAACGTGCTCAGTCTCTAACGTGCTTCTAGTGCCGAACAGAGGGACTTCCGATCTCATCTTGCCAATTCTCTTCAACTGAGTGCAGATGTAATTGAGACACTGTGTTCATTGCCCCCGCAAGAGGCATCGGAAGATTTGGAATTGATAATAATAAAGGTCATGCATCGACCTGATGGTACGTCATCTTATAATGCATTCACTTCTCTCCTCCCCGAGCACCGAGGCATCATCTCACGAGATTCTGTTTACCTAACGTATCATCGTTTTTGAAGAGTTCGATTCGCCCTCTCTTGCGTCGGTATTCCCCTTCTTAGAGGCCATTCGACCCGAGGGACATCCGACATGGCACATAAGCCGAGCTCAAGCTCTGGATCACTACGTATCCGCATGGGTCTCCTATGCTGGGGAGAACGACAAATTAGAGAGAACTACCTTGATTTCTTTGGCAGGAGAAAAACACTCCTATTCCGACAAGCTCGAAGCCGGATTAACCTTTTATCTCATCCTGATCCCTCAGTCCTGGGACAGGAAAGAAGTCGATGGCAAACTTCTGGAAGCTTGTGCTCGACTGGGCTCACTCGGGAAGCCGGGCACGGTCATTACAAAGGTAGAGTTTGACAAAAGATGCCCGTTTCGCAGCAAAAACTAAGAATCAGCAGCCTGAATTTGACAACAATGAATATGGCAGTGGCGGGGACGAAGAGAACCATGCTGAACGGCCACCTGAACCATCAGTGACTCTATCACCTGTACCGTCTTGATTTCTTCAAGTAGATGAGATGAGACCATATTGATCCGAGAGGCACTTTTCTCGACGATGAAGATGGTCACAGTGTAATCTTGCTATGAAGCTCAATGACTGCAATGCCTATAAGCAGGAGGAGGTGTGAAAATCATAGTCATACGCAATGAAGCCAGAGTTTTGAAGTTCGCATAATGCTGAGAGCGAACCATGGGAGGCTGGTATTTACTCGCCCTCAATTCTGTTGTCTAGAGTTTTAGCTGGCTCGGGGTTCTAACTTCTAAGTTATAATCAATGTATGTGCTATGATGCACCTGAAAGGAATGCACCAGGGGTATGTCCTCTAACATAAGAGGCATCCCTAGATTCCCTATATACTTACTCTATCCAACCAACCAACATGGAAGTTACTCTGTCATAGATGTTTCAATCTTCCGAATGACCCTGGCCGGATTTCCATATGCCAGATGAAAAGCCGGAACATCCTATCCCATCGTGAGTCTTGCAAACGACACAGACAAATTTAACCAAACGATGAACCTGGACATACCTTAGTAACGACGCTCCCCGCACCAATCGTCGCCCCTTTCCCAATCGTTACCCCCGGCAAAACAGTCACATTCCCACCCAACCAGCAGTCTTCACCGATATGGATTTCTTTCCCATATTCGGGGCCCTTGATGCCATTGCGCAGGGCAGGATCCAAGGGATGGGTCCCGCTGAACAGACTGACGTTCGGTCCGAACAACGTGCGCGCTCCGATGGTCACCAGACAAGTGTCGATGATGGTACAGTACGAGTTGATGAAAGCGCCCTCTCCCACTCGCACGTTGAACCCATAATCAATGCGGATGGGGCCTTCGATCCAAGGTTCTCGCGCCAGAAGGGCTTCATCTGCCTCTGGATCTCCCCGAGGGGGCGGAAGAGGGGTTTTGTCCTCCGTGATGCTGCGCCATGGATTTAGTTGATATCTTCTGTGTGTTTTTTAATGGGCAGTATAGATAGTCTCCAGGTGTCATTGCAGATCATCAAACGTGAAATCATCAAGCATCTGAAAATGATCACAAAGTGATCTTCTATAAAGACGGGATTGTACATGGTGGAATCTTACTCTTTCCAAAGTTCAACTAACCGTCTACGAGAGACTTCGCCGGCATTGTTGAATCGATTACAGGCATGCTTACAGCGCATTCGGGCAGCTGTCAGTTCGGGGGTGTAAGCGTAGTAAAGCTCCCCTCGGAGCATCTTCTCTCTCTCCGACGGCTGTGATTCGGCAGAAGACATATTGCAATATTTCTGAGTCGATTCGATTAGGTACCTGAGAAGAGAATGAATGAAGGTGATTCGGACGATAACTAGCGTAAGTGCTGTCATATTGTCGGCCAAGCGGGGTGGAAATAACAATAGTTAGGGACAATCTAAAGATAGGCTAAAGATCCACACGCCTCCATCCACTCCAATATTGTTCTCCATCGACCTCCTCTATTATTGTTCTCTCGAAAAGTGACAACTCCCCGGCTGCTGGGAACGCATTGATAGTCGGTTATTTGAAACACTATCTTTCCAACAACCCTCGTCTTCAGGAAACTTATAATCGACCATGACGCTGCTCTGAAAGAAACAACCGGCATCTCGACCTTCTCGAAAAAAAACTCACCAGACACCCGTGGACATCCTCTCCTTCACCCACGCAGTACCCGTCCACACACTCCAAAATGTCCAAAGACGCCAGCACTTCCTCCGGCCACCAACCGAACCCCAACAGCATCACCAGCAGCCCGGGCTGGCGACCCGCGCGGCCCGCACCACCACGCTCGCGCTCTCCTCCCCCCCTCGACTCCTCCAACTACCCCACAGGCGAGAAGTCTCTCTCCGGCATCTCCCTGCGCGCGTTCCTCATCGGCGCGGGGCTAGGCATCTCGCTCCCGATCACGCTCTACCTCCTCCTGGTCGCGCCAAACCCGCTCTGGCGCGTGCCCTTCTTCACCGCCGCGCTCTGCCTCTTCCACTTCCTCGAGTACTACGTCACAGCCGAGTACAACACGCGCTACGCCTCCATCTCCGCCTTCCTCCTCTCCTCGAACGGCTGGGCGTACAATCTCGCGCACAGCTCCGCGCTCGCGGAGTGTCTGCTGTCGCACACCTTCGGCCCGGAGGGCAGCTACCTCGCGGCCACCGCGTCCGTGCGCGGCGTCAAGTGGCAGGTCGTCGTGGGCATTCTGCTGATGGTCTTCGGGCAGACGGTCCGCACGCTGGCGATGAAGCAGGCGGGCACGAACTTCAACCACACGGTGCAGGTGGAGCGCCAGGCGGGGCATAAGCTCGTGCAGGACGGGGTGTATGCGGTGCTGCGCCATCCGAGCTACTTTGGGTTTTTCTGGTGGGGGATGGGCACGCAGTTGGTTCTGGGGAATGTGGTCTGTTTTGTGGGGTATGCGGCTGTGCTGTGGAGTTTCTTCTACAATAGGATTAAGCGTGAGTGTTCCTTCCTGCTGCGGTTGGGCGGTTGGGCTATGCTAACATGCTGCAGGGGAGGAGAAATTCTTGATTTGTTTCTTCGGAGACGAGTACGTCGAGTATAGAAAGAGGACTTGGATTGGCATCCCGGGAATCTGCTGAAATTGGCAAAGCCTTTCAATGTACCGGCCAAGGTTTAGTTTCTTGGAATCAGAAGAATAGACCGTTTGTGCGCTAGAACTAGAGCTTCGCCTCCGATACAGGCTCCAATATGTATAATAGTATCAATATGTAGAACATACAAAGGAAATGGTATCAATGATTGCCAAACGCCTTCCGCTGCAGTTGTCTAATGCAATAATTCGTGATGTACGCTCCATTCCATTCAGAGCTTACTTTGGCGTGCCACATCTCCAACTGCACCACTCATATAAGGACCCTCTGCGTGCTGTGAGTCGGCATCCAGAGGCTCATTTCCGAAAAGAACAAGTTCCCGGCCGCCTTTTGTACTCCACCAGGTCACACAGTGATAGGCGCGTTCGACATCCATCTCGCCGCTGCTCAGCGCTTCCCAGAAGCGCTCAATGCAGACTTGGCGCATTGCCGGGTCCTTCATGGCGTGGATCAAATTGGCTGTCAGTGGTAGCCACTCTTCAAGGTCTTCCACGCGCAGGAAGGAAAGACCGTCAATCAAAGCTAGAGTCAAAGCTGCTTGTTCCGATAGGGGCGGTGATTGCCCCATATCGGCACCCGTTCCTCCGAGCGCGGATGGCGGCAGCATCTGATCAGATGCCTGGAGAGCTCTTTCGTGTAAAACTTCAAGTAGGATGGAAGGAAGCAAAGGCTGGCTGTTTGCAACGAGCGACGGAGGGGCAGTCACTTGGATCACGGTCTTGAAGGCAAGCCGGAACTGACGAACAGATAGATTATCAGGGAAGACCTGTTTCAGCGTAAGCGCAGATAACAACTAGGAGGCTGGGAATACAAAACGTACAGCAAAGAGGTTATCAATGTAGAACGGAAGGTGCTTGGCTGCTATAGCCGCATTGGCTGGTATTGCGAAGACAGCCAAAGCCACACTGTGAGCAGCCTCAAAGATCTCAAGGAGATGGTTGTTGCCACCCGCTGCCAAATATGGCAGTGTCGAGGATACCAAAAGTTCTTCACTACATTCTGGGGATAGAATAGGAGTAAATAGCTCGGCGACATTTAAAAAGTAAAGGTCTAGGCAGCGCTCAATAGGATGTTGGGGGATTTGACCGAGCTCACTTGGTTTGACGCTTCGTAGGAAATTTTCGGCCAGATGGGGGTATTGTGCAAGGATGTCAACCGCCGTCAGGGTCACGAACAGGTGCTGTGACGATGAATTTGGGCCAATTCGAGTTGAGACAAAGTATAAATTGCGAAGTATATGGAGAGCTTGCATGGAAAGATAAGGCGCGACTAAAAAAAGGTAAGTAGACAGATCAGATGTCCCAGGAGAGTGCAGGAACTCACTTCTGTTAGCAGCGAGAACGTGATCATTGAGTACTCTTCCGAAAACAGATCGGAGCACGATCACAACAGAGTATAGACAGTTACGCAGAAGTTTCCACAAGCTGGGGATCGTGCTCTTGAGCGATTCGGGATCCAAAAACTCTGCTTCCTCTGCTGCGTCAACCTCAGATAACTTGTTCTGCCGCCATTGCACCATGAGTGTGCGCGCAAAGTGCGCAATTTGATCTACAGACTGAGAGACCAATGTTTGATCACAAACATTCTCTATTGAATGTGCAATCAACCGGGATAGCGGGCCTAACGCCGATATTAGAGGGCCGGAGGAAATGGCTGTCACACGGCCAAAGGTGTCCGACTGAGGCAACCACTGGAAACGCTTTCCTGGTGCTTCAACGATATCCTTATCAATGGTTCCCAAGAAGTATCCACCCTCTAAGCCTTCGGTTGAAAGATACGTCGTTTGAACCAAGACCGGTAGTAAACGATCATAGTTCAGCTTACTCCTCTCGTAGTCGGACAGGAGTTCAAAGGTGTGATTCAAGACCATCGTAATGCATTGTGCCTCAATGTTGCTCTGGGAAACCAGTTCATCGAGGGAGAGCTGTGCAGCCGTCACAAGTGCAGATTCGAGTTTCGTCCGAATACTCCGCGGTAAACCTTGTCTGTTCTGGCCTTCGAATCCGAGCAGGCTGCCGCCTAGTAATAGCAGATGTCTCCATCGGGGAGATTTCTCGTCTGCTCCATTTGCAATCGCCTTCACCCATTCTTCACGTTCGAGCTTTTTTGCTTGTGCAAATGGTACCCTCGGCTCCTCTGACGCTTCATTTTGTGCGATCGCAATTGCGGCTGTGTTGAAGACGCTGAGGACTTTCCGACATGCTTGTAAATCGACAGGTTGTTCCCATATCGCTGGAGCCGACAGGAGCTGTGATGCGAGTAAGGTAAGATTCAAAGGATTCCCGAGGAGAGTTAAGAGGCTGGTTGCTGTTGGAAGGAGGCTGATGATTTGACTGTCAGTTCCAGCTTGTCGGGGAATCTAGCTTGGCAAAGTCTCACTTGATAGCATCTCGAAGCTCTGATGGAGATTGGAGTGATCGTAGAAGAGCACCCAGAGAGCGTTCTGTCGCCATGTTATACGCTCAATGCCAAAGGCAAAGATGGCATACGTATGATGGAAATCAACCTCCTTCGGGACGATGTATGAGGATGAACAGACGTAGCCGGCTCACATCACACTTACCGCGGAGACCCCAGAGTTCAGATCACCTGCCGAGGTTAGACTGGATAAGGACAAACAGTGCAAACAGTCCGCCATAGGTCTGCCTGTTTTGTATCTTATCGGCCCGCACCTTTTGTGAACACCAGCTTCAAATATTCCATCCTAGCAACCAATTCGAAGGACGGCGATGATGCTCCTCCGGTTCCTGTATCATCATATCGGATGACAAGGAAAATCAATCCCCGTCATTGACGAAACCGAAAGATGGCTAACAATCGTGTTCCGATCAACTACCAGACGCCCCCTTTCCCAGCACTTTATAATCCCCTACCCAATCATTCTCCTCAAGTCTATTACCTTTACTACACCCGGGACATATGGCGCTTCACACTTTACTGGACCTTCATTTTCTATGCAGCCAGCCATTTGGCCGTCGCTGGCTGTGCTATGATTTTGCAATGTCGGAATTGGAGAGTGTTTCTAGCTGTCCCACTGGTCTTCATAGTTATTGGGGGACTGGAAGCTCTTGTAGCCGGGAGTATCATCGGTGTCATGTATGTGGTTCTAATAGCATGAAACTCTCTTCAGAGCACGGAACTAATTTCTGGGCAGGCTTGGAGCGGTCTACGAAGCTGGTAACTTCAGGATGTCCACGTGGGTCCCTATGGTTTGGGGCGGCATCAATGTTATGGTCCTCATATTGTCTAGCTTCCCAATGCAAGGCGGGCTGTGATCACTCAATGCACCGGGCCATTTACGATCATTGACAAGGACAAGACGATCGTAAACAAAATGCCCATTTTCGAATGGGAAGTGCAGGACATGTCTCCATTGGATGGCCAAACTGGAACTTACCCAACAAAGGGCACTACAAATGCCCGATGGGGCTTGCCTCGCGACCTTATAGACTGAAGATCACTATCAAACATATATTACACCATAACGAGTTGTTCTTCCGAGAGAAAAACAAAAGCGCCGACTGCTTCGGAATGGGATAAAAAAAAATCGCCCGCCATTACGCCATGCAACCTCCCACTCAGTACAAACAGTTCACAACACCGCATCTCATCGTCTATACTCGTTGTCAGGTGTATGGCCTTGCAGACCGGGAAGGCCACCAGATCCTAAAGATGCGGCTAACGAGGCAAAATTCTGAGGAGAGATGCCCTGTGACATGAGCTGCTTCTGGATTTCTACGAGATCCATGTTCACCGGCGGTGTCCCTGACATAGCAGGAAGCATGGGGAACCCGGGCATGCCGGTGTTCGGGGGGTAATTGTTGTGCGGCGGTGGATTTTGGGTAGACATAAGCGCGGCCAAACGCCCGGGATCCATAGGAGGCATGGACGCAGACATTCCCGGCATTCCGTGCATTTCGGGCATCCCAGGCATCCCAGGCATGCCTGATTGTGGTACAGGCTGGGGTGCACCAATCCCTGGTAACAATGACCCTGATCCTTCTTGTTGAGAGCCAAAACCAGGGGGTGCAATTTGTATTCCGGGAAGAGACTGTCCGGCGGTCTTTTTCTGATCAACCAAGCTATCGGCCTCATCCTGCAATTCTTGTTCCTCCTCTTCACGCATCTGGCGCCTTCCGAACCCACGACTCCATGTTCCTTGAGCTTCGGCCGCCTCCTCACCGATATGGAATCTGTCTTTCAAATAACTGGTCTCTCCCGGTCGTGCCCGTGACCAGAATCGAGTAAAGTTGTCTTTAGAACCCGACGCCAAGATATGGCCCAGAGGATGCCAGTCCAAAGACCAGATAGTCGCACCATGCGCGTATTGGATTCGATGCGCTGGGTAGATAACCTGTGCCGGGGTATTCGCTGGATCGGGGCTGTCATACGGCGCGGTTGTGGGGACCTGCCCTGAAGGCAGGTTTGGTTCGTCAAGCAGGTAATGGTACAGTGAACCGTCCTCGCTACCTGTGGAAATGAGGGAGCTATGGATAGGATGCCACGTGAGAGATGAGATGGGCTTCTCATGACCCCTCAGAATACAGATATCCCTCATCATGCGCAGATCAAACACCCTCGCGGTCTGGTCGCGTGATGACGTCGCAAGAAGATTGGTATTCACTCGGGAGAAGCGCGTAGTTGTAACAGTATTCTTATGGCTGTGGAGGGTCGTCAAGCACCGTGCGGTGCGGGGATCCCAGAACTTGACTTGATGGTCCTTTGAACCCGAAACGAGCAGTCCTTTAGTCGGATGCCAATCGCACGATTTAACATCCCAGTTGTGACCTGTCAGGATCGTATCGGCAGTCCGTGAGGTAAAGTCGAAAATTTTCAGGGTCGTGTCATCGGACGCGGAAAGAAATTTCGTGTCGCTGGGAGACCACGCTAGGTCTCGTACAGCATCGTGATGAGCATCATCGATTGTCTCCACGTTGTTGAAGTTCGGTCGCCAATATTTGATGTCGCCCTTTTGTCCTCCCGAAATCAACCAGTCATGGCTATGCGACCACGCCAGCGAAGTCACACCTGCTTGTAGCTGGTCATAATGTGCCTATCCACGCAATCAGCCAAAACATAGCCCCAACGATGTACCATCTCAATAACAATGGGAGTTAACGCACATCCATGACTGTCTCGAAATTGAACGCCATTCCATTCCATAACATGAACTCTCCGGTATGGCCTCCCGTCAACAACCGCCTCCCTTCCGGCGTCCATCGCACGACTGTGATGGGCTTTTTCGATTTACCAATTGACTGGTGTAGATGCCGTACGGGAATGGTGTCTGCAGGGGAATGAATTCGTGCCAATGGCGGGACCATCTAGAGTGCGAAAAGTAGCATCAGCAAGCGGGTTTCTTCTTCGCGCAGCCATAGTCAGGGACAGCGCGTCGACTTACATCCACTATATAGCTCGCACTGGGTCTCTCCATCTCCATCCGATGTCCTCCTTTATACCGCGGTCGCCGCGTGCGCATGTATTGGACGAGAGACGAGCCATAGTCAGTAACCAGTCCTTAAGATTAGACGTTAGTGTCACGGCACAAGAAAGAGTTGGGAAGAGTTTTGTGCGATCATACTTGGACGGCGCGGCCCTGCAACTCCACCTTCATACGGCTTCCTTCCAAAAGGTTGATCGCCCGACTGGTCCTCGTAGAAAGCCATCGCGACAAACTTCGTGCGGAGAGAGCTTGCCCAGGGTTATGAAAGAAAGCTCACGAATGGCCCGTAGTCATGACAAGGAAGCGAATGGTCAGGATAATAACAAGGCGCAAGATTCGATTTGTTTCACGATAGTCAGCTTGGGAAATCTTTCATCGCCGGTTCACAATGGAAAGCTGTATATGTTGCAGTCGATTGTCTTGGTGCTGCTGTTGGTTGAGAATTAAACTCTGGTAAGGTCGAAGGTCATCGGGCGGTCGAACCTCTGTTGGTCAAGAGCAAAGTTTCCCCACTCACAATCAGAACGAAGATCCCAGCTCTTCAATAGCTTCACTAACAAGGAATAGTTTTCAAACTTATCCTTCGCCGTAAGGGCTGGCAGACTACAAAATATTTGAAGTTGATGCTGGGACTCGGACTGTTTGTCTATCTTGGTCAGACTAGTCTACAGACAACTGGTTAAGCCAGTATGAAAGAGCGTTATCAGCACAATGCCAGACTTTATGAAGGCACAACTCCACTGCAACAAAAGCCTGTCCTGCACACCTTGCTTGACAGCTGGTTAAACTTAGGTTGCAGCATATTATCTTCACTATCGAAATCCACGCGTTAGATGAGCATCATCTAACGGGACTGACCCATTCAACTGGAGATCCAATTTCCACATCTATGACAATGCAGTTCGCAATTCTGTCGCTGGAGCTCGCTGTAATAGAAGGAGCTACGCATGCTAAACACATATCGCTCGACAACGAACGTCTACACCTGCTGTTGATAGAATTGCCTCTCAGGGCAGCGAAGAAGTTCCATGCTCCAAGGGGACTCTTAGCTCCGGAGAACAGCATCTTCCGCCTTGTGCTTCGGCTTTTCTCCGTGGTCTTTGAATTTCCACATGAGCTTTATGGGTACTTGATCCCTCTTCTCGTGGGTTTCTTCATCTTCGCCGTGTTTCAAGTTCCCGTGGCTGTCGCACAGGATTCATTGGCAATCTATATTTGTTCGGTTTCTGAAACTATTTCGCAGATACTATTTTCCCATCGTACGCATCTTGTGGTTGCCGTCTACATCTAGATGGTTTTATTCTAGTCGAAATCTATTCTATATGTACGGGGCGGAAGCTCAATCATGGCGTCAAGTTGTTGCTACCTAAATAGTTTGATTTTATAGATAGCTGTATATAAACGGATATGCTAGTATAGATTGAACATATGATCCTCACGGAAATATATGAAACAATCCTGGCCTTGGATGGATCAGATGGTTCCCAGATAGTGCCTGTCAAAGCAAGTTCTTCACTGCAATGTTATCCGTCGATTTTCAGCCGTCGTGGTTTAATAAACAGCAGAAACAGAATAGATTGGTAAGTAACTACGGAGAAGTGGCAATCGAAAGGTTCGAATGTGCAGCCGTTAGACACAGTACGTACCTTATCCGCCGGCGCTATCTCGTACTTTGTTTGTATGCATCTAGTAGTGGCGCATATTTGCATGTGAATTTGATGGCCTTAAGGGAGCGTTTCGGAAGTGGCTGGCAGCAGCCCCGGCAAATTGGCAATTTAGCATAGCCTGCATAGGCTAGCAGCGGACCTGACTCGGTCCACCTTCACTAACGGCCCCTAGGCTCTCGGACCCCGGTCGCCCTAGAAGGCCTTTGCTCCAGCACCATTGCAGTGCGTAACCACGACGAGACCCCGCCATGCTGTTTCTTGGATATTCTCTTCCACTCACCTGTTTTACTCAATATACTTATCTCAACTCATCTGTCTTGTCATGATTGTTCAGAGCAAGGCTCTGTTGCTGGTCTCTCGCTCCGGTATCCCGAGGCATCTCCGCAATTGATTTGCGACCCAACTAGTGCTCTCACGCTCTGTCGCTCGTTTTTTTCTACCTCCCGAGGCTTTTTTTTCGCGCTGGAAGAATTTACACAGGCCAGAAGTGAAGATGAGCGCCTCTGAAACAACGTCGTCGTCGACCGGTGCCGCGAGCACGAAACGTGAAGAGTCGACCACGTCGAGGCAAGCTGGCAATGGAGCTGTCCGCAATTCCACTGGAACCACGAAAGGGAAGAGGAGGAGCAAGTATCGACATGTGGCGGCCTACCACTCTCAGTTGCGAAATTCGAGTCTTAGTCGAGACTCGGATGTTACAACGAGCTTTCTTGGGTTTCGAAATCTCATGGTGATCGTCCTAGGTTGGTATCCGGTCCTTATCGCCTGCTCCTATGGAGGTGCTGATATAGCTTCCCGAGCTTAGTGGCGATGAATCTTCGTCTGATAATTGAGAATTTCATGAAAGTAAGTTCATTGCGATTCGTTACCAGGCAAGAATGAATCAAAATTCTAATAAAAAAACTTCTCTAGTATGGCGTCCTTATCTGTATCAAATGTCACGATTATCGAAAACAAGATGTCGTCCTTGGGTCAATCCTCTTCGCTCTCGTCCCGTGCCATCTCTTCGTTGCATATATCATTGAACTAGCTGCAGCGCAGCAAGCCAAGCACAACACTGGTCGAAAGAAGAAGGATCTTTCAGTGGAAGACACGGAGCGCGAGCAACAGGCCTTCCGGGCAACCTGGCGCTACACGGCGTTTTTCCATACCGTGAACGCCACTCTATGCCTAGCGGTGACGAGCTTCGTTGTGTACTTCTATATCAATCATCCCGGGATCGGCACGCTCTGCGAGCTCCACGCAATCATTGTGTGGCTCAAGAATTGCTCTTATGCGTTCACCAATCGCGATCTTCGGCAGGCGATGCTCAATCCCTCCTCAGAATCCGCCCTTCCAGAGATTTACTCTTCATGCCCGTATCCCCAGAACATCACGCTTGGAAACCTCACCTACTTTTGGTTAGCACCTACCCTTCTTTACCAACCAGTTTATCCCAGATCGTCGCATATTCGGTGGTCCTTTGTGGCCAAACGTCTGGCCGAGTTCTTTGGTCTGGCCGTCTTCATCTGGCTTCTATCAGCTCAGTATGCCGCTCCAGTCTTGCGGAATTCGATTGACAAGATTGCTGTCATGGATATTGCATCGATCCTGGAGCGAGTCATGAAATTGTCCACCATTTCGCTTGTCATCTGGCTGGCTGGATTCTTTGCGCTTTTCCAGGCACTACTGAATGCATTGGCGGAAGTGATGCGATTCGGAGATCGCGAATTCTATACGGACTGGTGGAATAGTCCCAGTCTGGGCGCGTACTGGCGGTCCTGGAACCGGCCTGTGTACCTCTTCATGAAGAGGCATGTGTTCTCGCCGTTGATCGGAAGAGGCTGGAGCCCTTTCACTGCAAGCTTCATGGTCTTCTTCCTCTCCGCTATTCTGCATGAGATGCTGGTCGGAATACCAACTCACAATTTAATCGGTAAGGACTTAACTTCCAGACGGACAGACGAGGCTTCTTACTGACGGTAATAGGTGTCGCATTCGCGGGAATGATGTTTCAGCTGCCATTGATTGCTGTTACCGCTCCATTCGAGAAGGTCAATGATGCATTAGGTACGATCACTGGAAACTCGATTTTTTGGGTAAGCTTCTGCCTTGTTGGCCAACCTCTTGGTGCACTTTTGTATTTCTTCGCATGGCAGGCCAAATACGGCAGTGTGAGCAAGATAGGCGTTTAGAGATCTAGCTCGAGGTTCTAGCTATCTATACACCAATTTAAATACTCCAAGATAAAACTGTCGGTTCAGACACAGATGACCTTCTAAATCCTTCGCCTGCATTCCTTCTCGTAATGGATCACATTTGCTCCGCAGCCGCACGCTATTTAAAATAGGCTGCAGAGGGAGGCTACGCGGGCCGGTTCGGATAGGTTGATGCTCCGAATGGATAATGGAAGCAACAATTCTCCCGACTTCCGGGGAACCTGACGTCAGGCTCAGAAGTATATATATACTGTGTAAGCTCCTTCTTCCAAACGCCCCTGAATATTGCTTAATTGCAGTTCTAAGTCTCTACCTTTGAGAAGAATTTCGAATTAATCTCACAATAATCTCAAAATGGTCGCTATCCTTGTACCAGATAACTACGGGTGAGTACTCCCAATTGGCACAGCTTCGGCAGCGGCTGGATGTTCAAGCCGTCATACTTATCATTGTCTTACAGCTCCGTCGTTGCGGTCGCCCTTGGAGCTATTCCCTTGCTGGGCTTCGTCCACGGTGCTGTGACAACAGCCTTCCGAAAGGAAGCCAACGTTCCTTATCCTCACAGTTATGCCACGATCGAACAATGCAAATCAAACGTAAGATATCCTCTCTTGAGGCCCAGGATTCTAAACGAAGGTACTAACCAGCAGCATAGGCCAAGGCTGAGCAGTTCAACTGTGCCCAGCGCGCTCACGCCAACTTCCTCGAAAACGCCCCCCAGACCATGCTCTTCACCCTCTTCGCGGGTCTGAAATACCCTCACCTGGCAACGGCAATTGGTGTTTCGTGGCTTATTTTCCGATCCCTCTTCCTGTACGGCTATGTCTACTCGGGTAAGCCTCAGGGCAAGGGAAGAATGCTGGGTGGTTTCTTCTGGTTCTCCCAAGCGGCTCTGTGGGGTTTGACGTTGTTTGGAGTAAAGGATATGATTTCTTTTTAATTGCGGATGTCCTGTATAATTAGGATCAAACCACTATCTATTCTACAAAAATCAATTATGAATGATTCATGTAACGGTGTGCAACATTGCAACGTGGTTTCATCTCCCCAATCCTGATGCTTGAGCAACAGCTGCGCCACGATATTGTAGCTGTGGCCAGGGGTTGTGGCTGACCCCGCAGCCGGACACGGATGAATACAGAGCCGATGTGGCTGATACATGACGGTTTCTATCTCCACTGATAGCGATTTTTTGCTTGGGCGGTTATCAACATCAACACCATTAATTCCCCTGGAAGTTGGGCCTTTCTCTTGCGAGAAATTCCAGCTAGGTTTTGAGATTGAGCAATCTGTTGAAGAACACCCGCAACTGGCAAATTCGCTAGTCTAACCATCTTATAACCCATATTCATCATCTTCATACCCCGCACATACCCCTCCATCGCGCACGATGTCTTCGAAATCGCAATTGAGCTATGCTGCTCGTGCTAGCAAGCATCCCAATCCCCTCGCCAAGAGGCTTTTCGAGATTGCCGAAGCCAAGCACTCCAATGTCACCGTCTCCGCTGATGTGACGACTACCAAGGAGCTGCTGGATCTTGCTGACCGTAGGCCGGCCCATAGTTCCATCGGACCAATCTATGATTCAATGAGCTAATTGAGCTTGCGATACAGGTCTCGGTCCCCACATTGCCGTGATCAAGACACACATTGATATCCTCTCGGACTTCGGCGACGACACCATCAACGGTCTGACCGCGCTCGCCAAGAAGCACAACTTCCTCATCTTCGAAGACCGCAAGTTCATCGATATCGGCAACACCGTCCAAAAGCAGTACCACGGTGGTGCGCTGCGGATTTCCGAGTGGGCCCATATCATCAATTGCAGCGTGCTCCCTGGCGAGGGTATCGTTGAGGCTCTGGCACAGACCGCATCGGCACAGGACTTCCCCTACGGCCCTGAGCGCGGACTTCTGATCCTGGCTGAGATGACCTCCAAGGGATCATTGGCTACTGGAGACTATACTAAGGCGTCGGTTGACTACGCCCGCAAATACAAGAAGTTTGTTACGGGCTTCGTGTCGACGCGGGCCCTGACCGAGGTGCAGACGGATGTGACTTCGGCCTCGGAAGATGAGGATTTCGTCGTCTTCACCACGGGCGTGAATCTCTCTTCCAAGGGCGATAAACTTGGACAACAATATCAGACTCCCGAATCGGCCATTGGACGAGGGGCTGACTTCATCATTGCGGGACGGGGAATTTATGCTGCTCCAGACCCGGTCGAGGCAGCTCAGCGGTATCAGAAGGAGGGATGGGATGCTTATATGGCCAGAGTGGGCGGCAAGTCATAAACCCTGGCGTATAGAGTGAAAGTATATAATCGGTACGATTCACCCTGTTTGTGTGTAGGTTACGAGCAATTACCTAGCCTTAGGGGACGAAGCGTTCGTCCGTGGGCTAAGAGAAAAAAAAAATCATTATCTTGCACATTGCCTATAAACTTTTGAAACCGTTTCCCAAGACTCCACTGCATTGCCGTGCTGATGGCCTCAACCAGACGATAGCATTAACGACAACTTGATAAGCTTTGTTCCGAACGCCAAGGGCTGATCTGTGTAGTTGATAAGAAGGTGGCTGATAAGCTTAACAATAAGTCAATAACATGTTTCGGAGTCATCCTTGAAATCGTACGGAGTAACTGTAAGAACTAAGAATAAGATAATGATCAACCATGAACTTCTTTTTAAATTCTCTCCAAGTTTAAATCAAAAGATCCAGAGTACTGAGACAGTGGTTCATTGGATTTTAATTTGCAGCCGACAGGGTTGATTTGATTCGAGCCAAACTATTCCCGTACGCTGGGCAATCATTATTATCTCAGTGCCTACCCCAACAAAAACCTCTCGGCGGATCAACAACCCAAGCTATCTTTTTCGTCTGGTCTAATCGCCTTGCAGTCCAGCGTTACACTTTCCACTGTTACAGTGACACATCATGGCTTTCCTGAATCCCTCGTCCTTTGAGCTCTGCTCACCTGGCAGCGGACTAGAACCGCACACACATACTCGAATCAAAAGACACAGGAAGATACGAGGAAGATCATCGCACCATCCTGGTTAGCAGCTTCGTCAACCAGTCTACCTAAAGTTCGTGCATCTCTCGTCATCCTTCATCGTGATTCGCCTGAATCAACTCCCTTGATGCAGTCGGGATATCCAGCCAATGGATAAGCTGTAATCTCCAAATGGCTCTTCCCTCGCTTTGCCGTGCCTCAATCCCCTCACGTCACGCTGAACGCGGAATGGCACGCCCACAAGTGCACAACTGTGGAGACCCCCAACACCGAGTCCTTTCGTATCTCGTCTTTGGTTTGTCTCCGATAAGCTTTCTCCAAAGCCTTTGCTCCAACAAGTGGGGAAGCGCTATAGCCTATAGGCCCATAGGCTATAGCAAACTGCCAGGCATGGGCTTAGTTGGTTCTACCCCAGATATCACTTGCTTATCACCGGGCTTTGTCATGGAGAGCAAGGGCCGAATCGCAATACTGATAAGATGGTGTCATGGTTGTCAGGGGTGAGGGGAAATATGAATCCCCCCTCTTTCCCAATCTCCTCGTTTGGGTGTGTTTTCTTCTTCATTTCTACAGCTCTACGACATTGTATTGTGTCCACACTGCCTCCAAGATGACCGAGGAGAAGCCAGCACCAGCCGCGATGGACGTTGAACGGGATGTGGTGAAGAAGGTCGATCCGACGTTAGAAAAACATGCGCATGACGCAGATGAGGCGATGAAGGTGTTTGAGGAACTCCAAGGCGAGAGCATCACCCTGGACGAGGAAACGAACAAAAGACTGCTGAGAATTATTGACTGGCATATGATGCCGATTATGTGTTTTGTGTATGGGTTGAATTATCTTGACAGTGGGTGTTTCCATCTCCATCTTTGCAGATTGCTTATCGCTTTGTCGCGAGGCTGACAACGGTAGAAACTACCTTGTCTTATGCGAGTGTGATGGGAATCAAGAAGGATATAAAGCTGGAAGGAGATGATTTTCAATGGCTGGGGAGTTTATTCTACTTCGGTATGTTATCTGCCCTTTTTGGAGGTCGTAAAACGCGGCCTTTGCTGACGATCACAGGCTATCTGGCATGGGAATATCCAACCAATCGACTTCTCCAACTATTACCCTTAGGAAAATACTCTGCGACTTGCATCATTATTTGGGGCGCAATCTTATGTTGTTTTGCCGCTGTCAACAACTTTTCAGGCGCCATTGCCATAAGATTCTTCCTTGGTGTATTTGAGGCCTCTGTTACTCCAGGCTTCGCCCTCTTGACCTCTCAAGTATGACATTTATTCTGAACCTGCACGTAAAGGCGACGCTAAAATGACCATCGCACAGTGGTATACCAAAGCCGAACAGAGCAGTCGAGTCAATATCTGGTTCAGTTTTAATGGTTGGGGCCAGATCGTCGGCGGCTTGGTGGCATACGGCATTGCAGTGGGAACCAGGAAAAATGGCTCGGCCATTGAACCATGGAAGATTGTGTTCCTGGTGACAGGCCTGCTCACGATTACCCTTGGAGTGATCTTCTTATGGGTTGTCCCTGACAGCCAGCTGAATGCACGATGGTTGAAGAAAGAGGATCGCATTCTCGCCGTTGCCCGTGTCAGAGTCAACCAACAGGGTATTGGAAACAAGCATTTCAAGCTGTACCAGGTGAAGGAGGCGCTGCTGGATCCAATGACCTGGGCCTTCTTCTTATACGCACTCATTGCGGACATTCCCAACGGTGGGATCACCAACTTTTTCAACCAACTGGTTGGTCGCACCCTCAACGCCTTCCTGACTTTGTCATAACTGTTGATAGATCACCAGCTTCGGCTATACCGCCGAGGAGAGTCTATTGTACGGTACTCCCGGCGGCGCAGTCGAAGTGGTAGCGCTCATTGCGAACGGATATCTGGGTCAAATCACGGGGCAGCGTATTCTCTACAGCACAGGCGGCCTGGTTACCTCGATCGTTGGGATGGTCCTCATCGTCGCCCTCCCACTATCGAACAATGTCGGCCGGCTGATCGGTTACTACATGACCCAAGCGAGCCCGACACCTTTCGTGGCACTCCTATCCCTAATCTCCTCCAACGTCGCAGGCTACACGAAAAAGACGACAGTGGCAGCGGTGTACTTGATTGGCTACTGTGCTGGAAATATCATTGGTACGGAGTCTTATGTTATTTGCTTAAAATGATGGAGAAGCTAATGGGAATATGATCAGGCCCGCAAGTCTTTCGCCCCAAGGACGCTCCCCGCTACGTACCCGCCGAGATCACGATCATCGTCTGCTGGGGAGTGTGTCTGCTTCTACTTCTCGTCATTTGGTGGTGGTACCGCCGGGAGAACCAGAGAAAGGCTCTTATCCGGGCGTCGCCGGACTACGTGAGCTTGGAGGATCAAGCGTGAGTTGTGGCCCTGGCTTCTGTCGAGAACGAATATCTGACAAGTACGACAGGTTTCTTGATCTGACGGATAGAGAAAACCATGATTTTGTTTACGCGTTGTAGGCGTTTCCCTGCTGCTATGTTTTGCGATTTGTGCTTTCAATATCCCGCTGCCGCGGCTGCTTGTACCCTTTTGACCCCTATGGGGTCATGATGATCGATTAGGCAGATATCTGAGCTACAGCTTGAGATAATCTATGTTATTTTGAACTGTGTCTTTTTAAAAGTGTAGGTATATTGCGCAATGTTTTACACACTATCCTACCCACCCGAACCTTTCCAGACTCAATGACAACCCGACTAAGAAGCCTAGTGAGTGTATATCTACGTGATCTACCCCCAGATCTCAAAACTTCACACGCCACCTATATTTGAAGCTCTATGTGATCAGCTCGCTTAGGAGCTGGGGCTGTACTTCCGCTGGCATGACATCGGCCTTCAAGTAACAACCAGCAGCATTAGCAAGGCACTTTTTTTTATTGGTTGTTCCAGTAAGGAAGTGCGGCAGAAGCAAAAGAACAGAGCCTTGGTCTACGAGTGGGGTGTCTTGATGATACACTTGGGTTCAAGTTATATTAGTATAGGACAAATAGATCCGTGTAGACACACTGGCTAGTCTCCCCGTGATATCACAGAGTAGATTATTTTCCAGCTTGGGCATCGAATAGCCAAACCAATAATCTTTATCCAGCCACGGCAACAGATAATGCCTGGCTGTTGGCATCGCAGGTGAGATGAACTGCAGCTCAGGCTCAGGCGCGGTAATTGCGGAGAATCGATAGGGTGAGCTGGATTCTTGCCAGGTTTTAGGAACTGGATCTGTAGCTAAACAAAGGATGGGCGCCTCTTTTGGGCGTCTATGGTAGCTTTCCTCTGCTTTCTTTTTCCCCCGTGACTTTGCACGTTTGCTTCAACCAGGCCTTAAGATCCCACCAAGCAGTGCAATATCTTATAGTAAATCTATCTTTCTGACCACAAAACCTCCTCAGACTCCCTCGTCAGTGCAACATAATAGCCAGAGATGGATAGCGACCAGCTTATTGAGTCACAGGCTGAGCCAGGAAGCCTCACTGCCGGTATACAGGAGTTCGTGTAAGATCTGTTGGAAACCAGTGCCTGTACTAAATAATCTCAGATTCTTTCGCTCGTCGATCTTTTCCGACCTCAAAATCATCTCCAAGGACCAAGAGTTCAAAGTGCACAGACTGATCATCTGCGGGCAGTCGGCCTATTTCGCTCGCCTGTTCAACCACAACTGGAAGGTAAGTACAGCGCGATGATAGGAGATGGTGGTCATGTCTAATGCAAACATATAGGAAGTAGAGGAGAGCGTCGTGCGCCTTGAAGATGATGATCCCCGAGCCGTGGAAGCAATGATAAACTTCCTGTACGGATTCGATTATAATAGCATCGGCCGTGACCGAGAGCGCGTTTCTCCAATGCTGTTTCATGCGAAGGTCTACCAGGTTGGTGACAAATACGACGTCCCGAAGCTCAAAGAGCAAGCAAGAACGGAGTTTGCAGCGGCGATACAAACAGACTGGGACATGGACGATTTTCCTCTTGCTATTGCGGGCGCTTACTCGACCACGCCCTCAGGAGATCGAGGCCTTCGCGACCCTCTGGTCGACACATCCCTGGGAAATATCAGTGCCTTATTGGAAAAGGAGGGCTTTATACAGGTGCTGAGGGAAACTGTCGGGTTCGCTGCTGATCTTGTTCAGAAGCAGAACAACCCGAGTCGGATGAAAAGGTATCGGTGTCTCATTTGTTGCAAAGAATGGGAAATGTTGAAAAGCGAGTTTGCAAATCGTTGTCCATTTTGTGGAAAACGGAGGGACTGGGAAGAGTTTATCGTCCTTTAACCCCGGTGTCCCATATTTGGACATATGCCTCCGGAAAGCAGTGCTCTCATGTGCCGGGCCCACCGATCTTGATGAAACAAGCCGACATCTACTCCGTACTCCTTGCTTATCAATATTCCTCGCCTTTGCCAAGTCGTTGTTTCGTGAGCCTCATAGCCTCTTTATGAAAAGGCATTATGTCGAACCAGCCAGGGAGTCTGGATGGAGAATCTCTTGGTAGAAGAGGGCTTAGCTACGTAGTGTACTACCACACGGGATTGGGTGCGTGAGGTGTCTAGCATCTCGCGGTGACAAGGTCAGTTGGCTGCGTGAATATCTTAATATCCAGCTAAGGTTTTTTATATGCAACACCTCCCCAGCTCGTTCAGTAGTCAATGTAGGTTCGTGGCTGTCGATCCGCAGTTCTGTGCTCTCTCTAGTGTCTGCGAATGAGAGGGATCTTAGCAGGTCTATCTGGCTACTGTAGGATTACATGATGACTACTACATAGATAATCATAGCTGGCTAAGAAGGCACATATTACCGAGGGTGTCAGGGTGCAGCTGCATTTACCAAGGATAGAGAAGGAGTTTGGGGGGCTACTCCAAGGATTAAGTCGTCGGCCATCTTCGAGAAGCAGTAGGTCATTGTCTAAATGGATAAAAGTCATAGAGCGAGTGTCATTAATGTCAGTCTCAGTCTTACATAAAACCACTGCCCCAGACCAGAAAAGTTCAAAAGGAGGACATGCTCATCACCATACATGATATAGATGCAGACACATTCACACACACTTATAGACTACAGCCTGGTTCCCCCTCCATAACTATACAACTGAGCACAAAGTCCACCCATCAACACCTAGGTAATCCCTCATTAGTATCTATTGCCAATGCATCTACAAGAACATAAAAGCCATACATACCTCCATGAGCATTTTTGCCCACCAACAGACCACCCCTCGTGGAAGATGGCAGCATCCCCTCGCCGATAAGGACATATATATAGCTAGCTAGTTAGCAAAACTCCTCAAGATCCCTAAGAAGAAGGAGAAGGAAGAAGAGAAAGAAGAAGACTCACACTTTTTCTCTCTCGCGAAAAGAGAGAATCGTTATCAGACGGCACAATAACACGTCTGATAACCCAGGCCCGTTCCCAACCACCCAACCAAGGGCCTGTGTATGCGGTATGCAGTATGCCCTGTGTTTTGTGTTTAGTGAAGCGCATACAGCATGGTACCCTGCTGTAGGTGACTTCCTTTTTTGGGTTTTTTGTTGTTTTTTGTTGTTTTGTTTTTGTTTTGTTTTGTTTGTTTTTTCCTGGTGTTGGATGCAACCCTCCCACCCTCCTTTTTGTTGCAGTCCGGATTTTTTTTTCTCTTGTGTATGTTGCTGGGGTAATGTGCAGGGAACGAAAGGGGAAAGGAAGGAAAGGGGAGAGGAAGGCAAAGAAGGGAAGGGACTCAGCTCAGGCTACTATCTAAGGAGGAAGGTGAGATGGGCACAGTAGACTGGGGAAGAAAGAAAGAAAGAAAGAAAGAGAGGCAAGAGAGCAAGACAGGCAAGAAGAGAAGGGACGACTTGAGCTTCCACCAGAGGTAGTCACTCAGGAGTCGTATTTGCCGTCAGAATGTATGTGAGAGAGAGAGAGTTGTAAGAAGGAAAGAACGAACGAGCTGCAGAGGAGAGCAAGAGGGGGTCTTTATACCCGGGGTTTCCTTTGCCTTTTCCGCTCAAGGCAACAAAACAAAGCCATGGTGTGTTGCGACTTCTTGAGGTCATTCATCATTCACTCATTGTGATGCTCCTCGGTGGGTGTTGCCTGGGGGTGAACCATAAAGAGGTGTGCTTGTCGAAAGCCGGCATAGCAATGACAACGTGCTTTGTCTAGGCAGAAAGAGAGACGAGGTCTTGGTACCCATGGTTATTGCTTTTTGTGTGCTTCTCTTCTTGGAGATAGAGTGGTTGACTCGATCTTGCTCATCCTACTTCTTTTGTCTCTAGGACTCGAGGGACTTGACCGTCATCTTTTGTAATGTGTTTATGGGGAGGTTGCTTGGAGTCTACATAGGGTCATCGAGGGCCCTCTTCTATGACGGGAGATTGTGAATAATATGTCCATTGAGTAGAAGATTTGCTAGCAGTGTTTCTGTGTAGCCAAAACAGTAAAAAAGACAGACCGGTACCTAGAGTCTTGCATGCAAGCCAGGGTTCCTGATGAAAAGAGACAAGGCCAAGTTCTGACTAACAATGAACAATGAACAATGAAATATCTGGACAAGGTCTTCCTTTCAACTGATGTAGAGAATAATGCCTGTTGTTTGATAGTACTGTCTGAGAGCCCGCGGTCGACCTGCACTATGGTTTCTCTTAGATGTACTTTCTACTGCCCATCAGTATCAGATCTGTTGAGAACCGAGGGAGGGTTGACATACTGAGACATTGTACAACAAGAGCGAGTCTTGCAATACTCATTCCTATAGTACTTCGTTGGGAGACATTTGTGTCTCCTTGCAGCGATAGTCAGGCCACCAGACTCATTTTCCTTAGGAACCAGGAGTATGAAGAAAAGCAGCGGCGAGATGGCCTGCAGTTCGAACGCAACCGTCTTGTTGCCACTTTCTTGCGCACACCCAAGTATTATCCTGGCATCTTTTTCCTCACCACTCATATGCTCTAGGACTTTAATGCAGCCATCCTCGACCGGATCCAGTTAAAGTTGCGGGATCAGAATCTAGATTCCACAGCTCGACAAACCATCAAGATATTTCTTTGCCGAGACAAGAGCGGACATTATGGAAGATGAGATACGCAACCCAAGATATACATGTATACTAACATAATGTTTAATGATTAAAAATGTCGTTAAGCTCGACAGGCATGCTTCCCACCATTCAAAGCCTTTGCTAGCCCTTTGAATTTGTCCACCGTCATTCCATACTTGCTTAATTCGGAATCCTTCTTCCTCAGATGGTTGGAAACGTGTTCCGTAACATCACGCATTTCAATCAGGTTACTTTCATACCCGGCCTATGTCAATTTTTCTGATAACCAGTTTCCGTGACGAACTTTCCAAATGGAATACCGGCCATGAGACACATTAAGTGTAAAACAAATTTCTCCCAAAGTGTTGCTTTTTTTTTTCTGAAAGTAAAAGATCAAAAGCCATCATAGAGGCTCGCATATCTTGGTAGGCACATTGGAACAACTGGTCATGAGAAGGCTGAAAATGATTCCCCACATAGGGCTCCGGCTGTCCTTCACGGCACAGAAACTGGAGGGGGTCCTGAGTAGGCTCTGGAACAACAGCCTGTGCTAGACCTGAGTCCGTGCTTTGCGTCACCTCCACCGGTTTGTCATCAGAGGGCCTTGCTCGAAATGGTGCCTGTGGCTGGAATAGTCCTTCCTAGTCACCACAAACGTATTTCCAAATCTCAGCTGAAATCAGTAGACGTTGTAACTTGTATGGCGATGTTAAAACAAGACCCGCCTGGCGGCATTAATCCCCGCTAATGTCCCATCTCTGTGGTGCAGTCTGATCCATTTACACTGACCAGTCACCCCAGAAAGCAGGTCTCAGAATCTGCACATACTCCCAATAACCTGGGTATCATCCCGCATAGTCCCAGTCAAGAATGCCCGTGACTGTGCCATTCATCAACCATAATATATTTGAGGCGCAATACCAGCGTGCGTGAACACAGTACAGTCTGAAGGTGGCAGCATGTCAGGTAACTGGTGTTCACATCGACGACCTCCACAGTGAGAATAGCGCTCGAAGATGCGAGTTCGCAAATCTGAATCATTCATCAAGGGTCGGCCCGGATCTTGCAGATCCTCAAGCAATGGGTCCCTTGTTAAAGAGCCATCGGCAGCGCATTGCCAAAAACCTTTGAGCTCTGTGAGATGGCCTGTATCTTGGAAATTGACCCCCAGACTGGTAGACAAATCGACTCTTTGCTCTTCTCATCCAGTGTATCCCACTTGTCATTTAGAGAAGATCCCGGAATATGAGTCATCTCAATACTTCTATAGTCATGATCAAAATTTGTGAAAATCACTTCGGGCACAGGAACGGAGGTATGCTTAGATACAAGTCTCATTGCTTCAGCCTCAGCAGGTCGCACTCTATGCCCAGATTTGGCCATATAAGAGAAGTCATGTGTTTGCTGAGAACGGCAACGACGTCTTGATTTGGGGGAAGGTCTGAGATGTTCTCGAATGAAGGACATGGGAACGAAGTGTTGCCTTTTTTAATGCATCGGTTCCCTTCTCACGTATGCTGCATCCGAAAGGGATTACCGGCCATCCTGAGAAGTTTCAAAATGTTGGCCATAGTCACATGCTTTTCCCTCCTTTAAGCAGAGGGGTGACAAGAGAAACCTAAGTCTTTGTCAATCGGAAGGCAAAGCGTTCTCTGATATTGGAAAGGCATTTAAAACAGTCCTTATTGGTTGACACCTGTCAGGGCGGTAACCCCGCTTACGTAGTACTTACCTTAAGTGAGTAGAGAGTGGCGGTGAGGTCAGCCTTCCAATGATGTCTCCTACACACAATAGTGGATCTATTGAGGAGCCAGCGGGCAGTGGGGACCTCTGCACAGAGGTGGAGTACCCTACAATGTGATTGGGCAAGTGGCAATGGATCAGTCAGGTGGAGCCCAGCGGCTTTTCCAGTTCCTTTTAAAAGAATTCAAGTGGTCTTGAAACTTTTGGCCCGTCGTCCCTTGCGTCCATGGCATGTATTTTATTCCTGACTCAGAATTCAGGAATGTCTGACGCTGAGCAGATGACGCAGTTGCCGAGGGGCCTTGTGATAGCTGTAGGGTTAACATCGCTGACACTGCACGACAGAATCCCCCATGTTCTGTTGTTGTGGTTCCTGAAAGCCATGCAGGGACAGAAGGTCGAGAGTCTAGACTCATGGGGTACTTTCAATTCTTGAGTCTCAACAGTATTGTTTTACTGGTATGTTACTGACCAGGTTTTCTATACTCCATAACCATTGCCTGATCCAGGTGCCGCCGCTTTTGTGATGGCTACACATAAGAGCTTCCTGAGTACACACTGAACACAACAGCCACCCCAGCCCTGACTATCCAGTATCTACTGGTTCACGTGGCAGCCATCTGGTTCCTGAGGTGCATACCTGTAGAAGCTCTCAGGATCTATGAGACTCCATTTCCAATGGAACTGGAGTAGAGTGTCTTTACAGTAAAGACGAAAGATGAATATGGGAAACGGGCCTGTCTGTACAGGTACATACCTATCCTCATCTCCAGTATGAAGACTATGCTTACTCATTCAATTGGTAGGTTCCTCAGGCAGAGGTTCAAGGCTTTTAATTGAGAATCTCAAGCTCTCTCTTCTTTAATAGCCAATCCTTCAAGTCAAAACTCCCCTCCCTAAGAAGCTCTATCTCGGCATTCCAAACAAACGTTCTCCCTGGAGTCTGCGAACCGTCGTTGAATGTCATAGTACAGCCCCTGACCCTATACATATCGGTTTCATATGCAGCTAAAGAATCCTCCTCCTTCTGTGAACGAACTTTGTAGGCCATACCATGGATAACCTCATTGGAATCAGGGCCGACAAATATTGCTGGGCAATCGCCCCAAAGTTTCATGTGGTATCTAAAAAGCATTGCAGGGTGGAGTTCAGGCTGGCCAGGATGGTTTAAGACTTTGCTAAGTGTCGAGGAGTCCATCAGAGTGCCGTAGAAGAAGTAGAAGATTTCTTCAAAACGTGCTGGAGCAGGCTTGTTTGCAAGGTGCCCCCGGTTTTCTGCAGCCTTCATAAACTTGCGCATCATGAGGGAGGGTCGGGCATTTTTTGTCAAACTTTTCAGCCATCTTTCCTATTCCTAGGACCAATTCAGCTTTCATGTCGATTGTTTGAGAGGGAAGCCCTACGCTGGCTCTTGGAGGGGGGGAGATGTATATGTACTGTACAGTCTAGTATATTCCAGTGGACCTCTGATTTCGGATGAGAATCTTTCGCTATCTCAAGTACAGTCTCCAAAAAGACTAGCAGTAAGACTCTTGGTGTCGTCCATGACGACACTGTTGACCTATTCACTCCATGATCACATGACTATCAAGCATTACTTGGGAGACATTATGAAGTATTTACGTTCACTTTACACTGCCACACCTTACCTAGCTATGCCCTAAGGCATAAAATTTTGATAACTACCTCAAAAAGAAACCCCCCATCTGCTCTTCACAAGTGGCTAGGCTTGATTCTGCAAATTTTTAATTCGGCCATCACTTACTATCTAGGTAGTACATTATTGAGGGCAAAATCAAGGCTGAAGGCCGCACTTTCCAGGATCAACCACGTAATCAGGTTTGCTCCGAGAAAAAAAAGCAGCGGCACTTTGACCTAAATCTAGAAGTGGAGACTGGAGAACCATCCAACAGAAATACTGTTTGGTATTACATTTACTGGCCCACAGTACTCCAGCTATCTAGGTATCTAGTATCTCGTATCTACTATCAAGGTACTCCGTAGTACTAGTATCTATCGACCTTACTCCCCGCGACGCTTTTCCTGCGCTACCTACTGTTGTGCCAAGTGTGACGAATCGAGCTTCCTCTTCCAGACATGCTTTCGCGCGGGTGCGGGGGTCCCTGGTCATTCATTCGATCATCGACGGCGTTCAGGGATGAAACATTGAGACCATCGCTGATCAGGGCGTTAACACTTTCACCACCAGCGACAATCGTTGCTGGTTATATCTACAGATTATTATGGGTCCCTCAATTACCGCTACGAACTTGCCTCTATATTGACTAGTCTCAGAAGCCATCATTGACTCTGATGATCGCCAACATGGTTGGTACTAGTCTTTCGCATGTTAAGGCGCCTACCTACTGTCGGTGAAGAGACTTCCCTCCCCCATATATAATAACTAAGGGACCTTCTACCAGCATCTCCTCATAGAGAAACTTATTATACTATCATTTAGACCTCTTCATTCTTTAATTTTCTTATATCAGTCATTCTTTGTCTTCCCTATCAAGGGGCTGGTCATTCATCATGAGTGCCCATCACTATTCTTAGTATCTTATTGTTCTCTTCGTGATCATCCCGTTGTTTGCCCCTCTCTTTGGATCTCCCCATCCTTGAACTCTATCCTCATTGATCTCGCCATATCGATTGATGCTTGATGAGAAAAGGCGAGGAGTATCTCTAGTTACCTGAGTTCTTCCTTGGGATCAACACCATTGACTTAGAAGCTTTTGGTCATAAAAAAAAAAGTTCTTGGGGTCGGTTGATCTATTGTCTGATCTGGCACAGGGTGCATGTGAACCGCTTCCACCCCGGAAATCAACCACCTGATGCTGGAGCGACGACTACTAAAAGCATGCCAGCCTCCTTCATATGTCAAGCACTGCTCCCCAGCGGCAACCACAACCACCACCACACTTCTATAAGCCACATTCATCATGACCACCCACTGCACCTAGATGATCCTACTATCCTCGCTGCCTCTGTCACCACTACTACTGCCACCACAACCTCGACGTCTCCTACTTCTTTGTGTTTCAGCTCTGGCTATGATCCATCCTCATACCTGGCAGTCTCGACTGTGCCACCCCTCGATATCTCTGCGCGAGCTATTTCGCCCTGTTTGAGTGATATCTCAGAGGCCAAGACCTTCTATAGCACGGTGAATGTCACCGAAGTCTCCGTGGATACCTACGACTCGCCGCTGGCGTCAAATCCACCAGCGACTGAGTCCTTGGACCATATGAACGGTAGCTCCGAAAGGGTGAATGTGGTGGCAGCAGCGCCATCCACTCCTCCTTCCGCTGGACATCACACCGCCAAAAGGAAAAGAACCATTTCGCCACCATCACCATCCCACCGATCTCCCGGTCATGTTCGCTCCACCTCTCGAAGCACTCGTGGTTCGGCCCCCGCCAGCCGCCGCAGTTCGCTCCATTCGCACCGTCGAGCGGCCACCGTCTCTCTCACACCGTCCGTCGTTGATCGAAAGGACCCGGAGACGAAGCGCGAGAACCTGTTAGCGCTGCATCGCGAATCCTGTCGGCTCTTCCAGTCCAATGGACTTCAGCAACCCAGTTTGCAGGACAAACGACCCCTTCCAGTCCTTTCCAACACCACTCCATACCCGCCCCAAGCGTCTTCGGAATTCAGCTCACCTCCAGCATCTCCCATCGTTTATACCCGGCTATCCTTTCCAGGGCGTGAACACGAACCTGGACCTGGCGATATCCCCCAGGATACACACGTGTCTCCTTCAAAGGCTAACCCTGACGCGCCGAAACAGGTGACAGCGACTGTGATCGACTGGACATCGCCTTCGACTCGCAGGCGAGAATACGAAAAGATCGACCGAGCCAGCACCGGCATGCGGGGCTTCTGGCGTCGCGTGGCACCCCGGTGGTGCCAATTCGGGGACCGTTACATGCCGTTCTTCGAGGAAGGGAAGGACGGTAAGGGCAACTATGAGGGCAGCGTCCGCCGATTCCGCCTGAACCTGCCCGAGGAGCCGGAGAAGGAGTCTGGCAAGACCAGGTTCCACCGGGGCTTGAAGCTTAAGAAAAGTTCCGTGATACATATACTGGGCGTTCGCCGCCAGACGGTCTAGGTTGAGTCTAGCCGTCTGTTGTTTCTTTGATGTTACATCTGCTTAGCGTCTGGCTTGACGCGAAATGATTCCAACGGTCTCAAGACTTCGTTTAGAGTTCTCGTCCGCATCTTGCGTTTCTTGATCGGCTCAGTGTTCAGGGCGGAGATTTGAAATTGTGATACCCCGTCATCATGTTGTGGTCTTTATTCTTAAGAGAGTTTTTTTGCCTACATCAACAGCTATAGTTATACACATGGTTGAACCAAATCGAATTTTAGTAACCGGGTGACTTTTCTCGTCTATCGTAGTATGTTGCGAGTAGCTTCCCATCCAACGCCATGCAAAGATAAAAAAAAAAAAAAAAGAGAGACGCAAAGAATATACAAAAGGATAATTGGGTATCGACCTTCCAGAAAGCAAGAACGAACAAGTCATCACAGCAGATCGAAATCATCCAGGTTATCCCGGTAGCGCATGATACTGCGCTTGATCTTGCTACTATCGACCCAGGTGATATGGTCCTCCATGTTGCGCGTCACCAGGTACGCCGGGTCCGTAACAACCTCTGGGCCACAGCGCACATGTCCCTGCTCGATATACGTCACGGCCTAATCGATCATCATTAGCCTTTATCCCCTTTCCACAAAAAGAAGGGAAAAAAAAAGAAAAAAAAAAAAAAAAAAAAAAACACATACCGCCTTAATCGTCTCCACCATCCCCGTCCTCACCATCACCACGGCCAACCGCCGCCTACAAAACGCCGAGACCGTGACCTCGCGTTCCACGCGCGATAGGCCCGCCCCTTGCTCGCGGCTCTGCTTCAGAATCCCCATCCGCCACAGCTTATCCAGCACCTCGGACTCGAGCTTCTTGCGCACGGGGTCCGAGTCCGGGTCCAGCTGTGAGAGCTTGTGCGCGAGCTGCCGCAGGGAGCCGCACAGCGCATTGTACGACTTGTAGTCCGTGTCGTTCTGCAGGTGGTAGCGCGCGCGAATCTGGTGCTCGCGGTGGCCGCCGTCGGATTTGTAGTTGATGAAATCGACTTTGCGGAGGAGTCTGGGTGTTGTTCAGTGAGTTAGCTTGGAGGTTGGAGGGGGAGAAGAGGGGAGGGTGGGGGGGGGTACTTTTTCTCGTGGTGTTTGAGTTGGCGGACCATTTTGGAGATTGGGGAAGGGGGGTTAGGGGAGATTGGGTTTCTGGATGAAGTGATTTGTGAGTCGTGGTGCTGGTGGTGTTGATGCTTTTGATGGTAGAAAATTCGATGTGATAGAAAGGCGGTGAGGGGGAATTTTTGGTGTTGAGGTGCAAATGATGCAAACAGCTGGAGCTGTCTTGGTGCCTTAATGCCTTGTTGCCTGAAGGAATTGATAACAATCTTATGGAACAGATACGATTGAATCGGTGAAGGGAGAGCTTTGGACATACTACGGAATACTCGGTAGGTGATACCAGCCAGATATTGGATTAAGTTGCTGAGTTCAGGCAATAATGCGAGATCTTGGAGCTCAGTCTTGTCTTGTCTGCGCATCTCTGTAGTCAGGTGACCGGACAGTAGCTGTACCTTTACCACAACAACAGAAAGATGCATAGACAGCTAGCTGATGATTGTATTCTTCATAGGTTGGTTTGCTCCAGCTCGTGAAGGTGATCAATTAATTGCCCAATGATTGCTTGTATGCAAAAATGCATGCAAGAAGCGTGCGCCATTAGCCTCCATGGCTGAATCAAGTTTAGCGACATGTTCCAGGTCCAGACCGACATAAGCTGACCAGCTTCTGACAAGTTGGATATCTCCTCGATAAAACGTCCTCACGCACTCCTATCAAAATGAGCACTCCCATGAGGATTGCCATCATCGGCGCTGGGTAAGTCAAGCTCTAGATCGGACCAGATCCACTTGTGCCCAGACTCACACCAAATAGACCCGGCGGCTTGGCTACTCTCAAGACTGTCCTTGAAGCGTCGACACCAGAAACACCCATTGAGGCATGCTTGTTTGAAGCGTAGGTATCAACAACTCTCGTAAAAGAGTGTACTAATGACCCTGTAGTGAAGACGAGATCGGCGGTACATTTCGGTACCGCTCCTACGACAATGCAGAGCTGGTGAGCAGTAAGCAGCTCACAGCGTTCTCGGATCATCGGTTTCCGTTAGAGACGTCAGATCATGTATCGCTCCCAGCATACGTCGACTATCTCAAGTCGTACATTGCGCGATTCGGCCTGGAACAGTACATAAAGCTCAACTGCCGTGTGACGAGTGTCCGTCCACTGGAGAATCAGAAGTGGAAGCATCGGGTCACCTATTCCGCCAAGAACTTTCCGGAGGAGCAAGTATATGACTGCTCGCACATCGCTGTCTGCACCGGACTCCATGTCGAGCCGAACATTCCGTCGATTCCAGGCATCGAACATGTGCAGGGCGACGTGTTCCATTCCTCCAAGTACAAGAGCCGGTCGCAGGTGGCGCATCGCAATGTATTGATCCTGGGCTGTGGAGAGACAGCAATGGGTGAGATGAAACACATGGAAGTCTAAGAACGCAATTGATTGACTCCTGCCAGATATCGCGTACGAATCCATCAAAGCGGATGCACAGTCGGTCACAATGTGCTTCCGGACGGGCTTTCTCTCCTTCCCCAAACAGCTCAGCCGCTTCCAGGTCTTCGGCAAGACCTTCAAGGGCGGGTTGCCTATCGACGGGCTGATCACCAACCTATTCGAGACCGCATACGTCCATCATGCAATTGCCCGCAGCCGCCTCCGCTGGTTCGTCTCCGACTTCGTCATCAAGCGCGTCCTATGGTTCCTGACCGGCACCCAAGCCGGAATGAACCAGCACGTCGGCGAACTGCCCCCGGACCGCCTGGGGCGCGCATACGTCTTCCTCAACAAGAGCAACAAGGCGATGCCATACCTCAACCGGCCGTACCAGACCCGCAACCCGCTGCTGAGCCTGATCGGGAACCGATACATCGACCCGCCTGAGGATGCCAACTCCGACCGCTACGTCGACACCTGCACATGGCCGCAGTCCATCGACAACACCGGCACGGTCACCTTCACGCCCGATCCCAAGCGCAAGGACTGGCAGCGGATGAAGACCAAGACGGTCAAGCCAGATTGCGTCGTTTACTGCACGGGGTAAACCCCTTCCCCTTCCCCTTTCCTCTGCCTACAACCTCTAGCAAAAACGCCCAGCTAAACATAATACACCCAGATACAAACAAACCTTCTCATACCTCAACGCCTCCTACCCCACCGCCGCAGACGCCCACACCCGCAACATCATCAACGCCTCCCACCCGGACCTCGCCTTCATCGGCTTCGTCCGCCCCGGCGTCGGCGCAATCCCCCCCATCGCCGAACAACAAGCAATGTGGTGGACCGCCCTCATCACACACCGCATGCCCGTCCCGATGGACCCCCCGCACTACCACCTCCTCTCGGCCCCGACCTCGCGCATCCAGTACGGCGTCGACCACAGCGCGTACATGAGCACGCTGGCGCGCGACTTCGGCGGCGCCCCGGGCCTGTGGCAGCTGTATCAGCGGCACGGGCTGCGGATCCTGCTGACGTACTGCTTCGGGGCGACGTTTGTGACGTTCTACCGGCTCGTCGGGCCGTTTGCGTCGCCGCTGGCGCCGGAGATTGTGCGTGCGGAGCTGGCGGAGACGATTGTGCGGAGGGGCGTGCTGGGAAATGTGGTTTTTGGGGTCGTGCCGATGGTGTTCTATGGGGTTGTGAATGCGGTGGCGTGGGTGTTGGATGCGATGGGCCTGATTCGAGAGGAGAAGAGGTAAGGGGTGTGTATTGTTGGTCGGAGTCTGCAATATCATATTTCAGAAGTTTCTAGTCTATCCAAGATGCAATGTACAGGAAGGAAGGCTGTCTAGAATAAGCCGCTGCCGAATGATGAAGAGTGTCCCCGGACTGCTATATTCATAATTCATCTTTGGGCTCCGCTGGGATCGGCCGGCCACTGTCCTTGCCCAGATCCACCCCGTTCTTCTTGCGCCATTTCTCCCACATGGCCCAGAAGTCCTTCTCCATACCGCTTTCCATCTGGTCCGGGAGAATGACGTTGTACTCGACGTACAGGTTGCCGGGCTCCTCGTCATGGTCGTGGTGCTCATGCAGGTGGCCCTCCGCGTAGAAGGGCATGCCCTCGCCGTGGACCGTCTCGACGGCCAGCGGCTGGACGACCTCGCCGCGCTTGCGGCCCAGCTGCACGACATGGCCGTCGAGATGCGTGATGTTGCGCGTCCAGTCACCCATCCAGGCCTCGCGCAGCGACAGCGCCTCGCGCCAGAACAGATCGCGGCCCTTGCGGCGGAAGAAGGTGCCGTCGGAGCGCTGGTCGGCCGCAGCCGCGAACTCGGGCTCCTTCTCGTCCAGCACCAGGATCAGATCGCCCGCGATCCAATCGGGGCTCTCGTCGCCCTCGTTCTCAAACACCAGCCGTGTCCCCTTGCCCATGCCCGGCTCCACCGTCGCCGTCGTCTCCACCTCCTGCCGCACCACCCGCTGCCCGTGGCACACCCCGCACGGCCGCTTGATCGTCTTCCCCTGGCCCCTGCACCGGTCGCACGGCATCTGCACCTGCTGGTACATGCCCGGCGCCAGCATGTGCTTCTGGATCACCATCCCGCGGCCCGAACACCGGTCGCACGTGACTACCTCCCGGTCCGCCGACCCGGTCCCCTCGCACGCGTCGCAGATCTGCTGCTTCTCCAGCATGAACCGGATCTCCCGCCCCGTGTAGAAGTCGCGCAGCGGCAGGCCCACCCGCATCTCCATGTCCGGCCCGCGCCGGTGGCCCGGCGCGTGCCCGAAGTGCCCGCCGCCGCCGAAGAACCGCGAGAAGAGGTCGAAGGGGTCATTGGCCTGTCGCCCGGCCGTCCCGCCCTGCCGGTGCTGCTCAACCCCTTCGTGTCCGTACTGGTCGTAGATCTTGCGGGTTGTCGCGGTCGAGAGGACATCGTAGGCGTCAGCGATTTCGACGAATTTCTCGCGGGCGGTCTCGTCACCACTATTGTTTTCCCCCCCCCCAATCATGTCAATCTAGCATTCTTCCACCGTCCTCCACCTCCCCCTCCTTCTCTTGATGGATCTGACTTACGGGTTCTTGTCAGGGTGGAACTTCTTGCTCAACGTCCGATACGCGCGCTTGATATCCCGCTCCGAGGCCGATTTATCCAGCCCCAGGATCTTGTAGTAATCCTCCTTCGCCAGCACCAGCACCATGCATAGCGCAATCGCTAAAAGAATCGTGATGAGACGCATTTTGAGGGAAACCGTTCTCCTACCAGCATGGGCGGCTCAAGGCGATTCCGGGAAATCGTTCGATTGGAGGATAGTCCCCCTGTGCGACGAACAATCTGCCTTGTTCGGTATTCGGAGTTGTTGTTTGGATGTATGGATGGATGGATAAGAGATATTCGGAGGATAGCTTGGATGTCTGGTGTCAAGCTTTGAGTTCAGACTTATTTATGTCGATATTGGCGCCTATCGCTGTGTGATATACTAGGAGGCTGCTGTAGTCTCGAGATCAGCGAAGAACTCAAGAGAAAGTGGCTGGCGTCAAGTGTTGTTGCGCTGCCCAGGGAATGCTGCCACAGCGGGTTTGTCTATCTGCCGATAATAATAGTCCACGATAGCTTTTGATTAGGTGGCCGCAACGCCCGGAGAATGGTTTCCCCGGTCACGTGGGTGTCATTGGGGAGAAATTACGGCCTGAGATTCAAGGCATAAAACAGAGGTACTAGGAATGGTCATCCCATAATCGCACAAGAGTCAAATTAGAAAAACGAAAAAAAAAAAGAGTAACAAAACAAATGATAGAAGAGTTCATTAATCCGTACATTCGTCTGGCCGTTGTCACCTTCCACTGGAAAACTCTTACCACGAACGACCAACAACATCGAAAACCTCATTGCGCCATGTTCGTCCCAGACCTTGGCTCTCATCTCCCTCTTCAATGGCCTCTTGGGCCCGCAATCCTTCCTCACGCCACACTTTCACAATGCTACCAGGCGCATACACATCCTTGAAGACACCACCGCTCGGGGCCTCGAACCCGATCCGGGCCTCGATGTCCGTGTCTGCCATCGGCTTCAACCGGGCCAACACGGCCCGGACAAAGGTCGCCAGATCGTGAGGGTTGGCAATGCGAGCGGCCCGGAGCCGTTCTCGGGCGAAGACTAACTCTCGGTTAAGAGCAAAGGCCGCCTGGACGATGGACTCGGCGATTTTCTTCTCCAGTACTCGGCGGACCATATGCTTCAGGAATGGCTTGGTCAGCCACAGCAGGAATTTCCACTTGCTCTTGTGGACTTTGTAGTCAAGCTTATGGATCCGAACGCGCACGCCGCGAAGGGTAAAGATCTGCTCTAGTCGCTCCCGACCCACTTCCACATCGAGCGAGATATCAATCCCACGTTGGTCGAGATAGAAACTGGCAATGCCCTCATCTTTGATGCGGAAAAATGGCGATTGATGAGTTCGGAGCCAGTAGCCAAACTCGGACGCACTGATGTTCAGGCCGAAGACTGAGGCAGTGAATGTGGTTTTGAGGTCGGTCGCAGTCCGCTTCGAATGCTTCTTCAAGATATCGATGTCATTGCGCGTGGTGATGTGCATCCGATACGGAAGAAACGACGAATAGTTGACCGTGTGACCCGGCTCGAGGATGAGGCTCTCAATTAACAGGTCCATCTCGGGCGCGGAGAGTTCCAGACGCGGGATCGGGATATACTGAATGCTGCGAATGAGGAGGGGAAAGAGGATTTCAACCATGTCTGATGGCAACCGGCTCTTTCGGTCCTGGTAGCCGTCCCATGCGTCTCTAAACAGCTTGTTGGTCGCATCGACCAGCTTCGACACCTGCAGGTCCTCGGGGACAGTCCTGAGTGTGCGCTTGGCCTGCGCAAGGAAGGCATCCACGTCCTGACGCAGATTTGACTCGGCCCCAACCTTCTTTGATTTCTCTTTCAGCTCTTCCACCTTTTGGGGTGCTTCATCAAAGAATTTCGGGTCTGTCAGCAACTCTTGAACCGATGATCCAATCTCTGAAAACAAGTTCTCGAACTCGGGGTCATCGTTAGCATGCTTCAAGACCTGTTTAAACTTCTCCTCTAGCTTCTTCCACTCCTCGGCGTCCCCAAAGGACTGCAGCAGCGCCCAAAATCGATCCATTGCGAGTTTGAGGTCCTCGTTGATGTCTACCTCTTCCTCGGCCGTGGTGACAACCTCTGAGGCGGCGCTGGCATACAGATGTGCATAGCGCTGGACCAGCTGCACCAGGGTCGAAATGGAATCAGAGTAGTCTGTCCGTTCGCGCAATTTCATCACGGCCTGCTTCAGCCGGTGCAGTAGGGCACCTTTCTCCCGTCCCATGAGGTGCTCTTTGGCGCTATCAATAGCTTCGCGACCAGTTTCAGCGAGCCCATGGCCAGCAACCTCTGCTACTTTGGAAGCCTGCTGGCGAATCTCTTCATTAGATGGAGCGCGGCCATCATCGGCGCCGGGTCCCTTGACCGCGTTCAAATCTTTCAGAGATGGTTTCAACTGTTCTCCAACCTGTTTTGACGTATCAGACAAGGCATAAGCGGTGTCAGAGAAGATCTCCCGCCCAACAGTCGTCAGATCCTCGACAAAGAGCCGAAAGTCAGAATTGGTCAGGAGAAGCTTTCCTACGGTCCGCAGACTGTCATATGCTGGTTTAGAAAATATGTCAGCGTCTCGAGCGAGCATTCTGACTGAAGCACTTGTGTACTCCTACAGCGCAAATCATACCTGCTTTAGTATCCTGTCTAGCCTTGGCATTGGACGCACGACGAGCGACCTGGGACGTATCCAGCGAAGCTCGAGAACGAGACAAATGCCATAGGAACTCCTGCAGCTGGTCGTCACCGTTCTTTTCGCGCAGGAACTCAATGAATATTTCAATCCACAGGCGGCAGTCGCGGATGAGCTGACGACCAACGCTGCCGATATCCTGATTGCGGTAATTGAGGATGTCCGAGGCTAGAAGAGTCCGTAGATTGGTGATGGTCTGGTCGGTGGATGGCATGTAACCTTCGGACAGGGCCCGAAGCATCTGATAGCTATGCAGTTTCTGATGCAAGCGACCCTGACGCGATGTATCATCGTTGTAGCGAGGCAAAAGCGGTTCTGTTTCTCCTCTCGTCATGATGGCGGATGGATCGTGGTGGATACCCCACGGGCTTGTTACTACGTACACTCTCGGAAACACTAGAGACAACCGTCGATCACCGCTCTGGATGGTAGAGACCCTCGGGAGATGGGGGGAATTGATGGGATCAATTCTCCAGTGAGATGGATTAGATGAAATGGAGATCCAGTTTCATCAAGTCTGCCAGGAGAAGTCAGGTCTGAGAAGGTCAGTGATGCATCATCATGGCAGTTCGCAACTTGGACCGTAGTCTGCAGCTCCTCTCACTCTTGCGTCACTGCACCTTGGCACTTCGCTCTTGTCATGTGATTTTGTCCATGTCGAGTCGCGAGTATTGGACACAAAATGCCTCGTAGGAAGTAATCTAGTGGGCGAAAAAAAAAAACGTGTACATCCAGCTTAGCTTTTAATTACGACGGAACCCACGGTTATCAAGTAGGTAGGTATTGAATTGTCTTTCATCACAGCCGAGCTCTTAACCTTGCGATGGCACTGTTTTGGATGCATTGAACCAGTATCTCTTATCGGTGCTTCTTATCGATAAAGCTATTGGTCTAGACCATGCGGAGTATATTTGAGAGCTCTGCTTAGTGTGCAGGGACAACCATCGCCTTATACGGAGTAGGTAGCTGTACTTTCATAGGTATACGAGGTGGAGGCATCTGTATATCCAGGGGCTCTTTAGCACCCATTGGTAGAGTTACGGTGCACTGCTCTAGAATCGCTGGGCTACAACGAGATTTATATAGATCAACGCCTCCAATTACCGGTCACCTGCTTCCCTACGATCTGTGTGACTGCTACACAGTATCTGGGCATATGAACCAGCAATCAATCATTGAGATGGATATTCACACGATGAAAGATAGCAGAAGGGTGTGCAGGATGAATGACCAGACAATATTTTCGAAGTGCACATAGCTATGCTCATTATCTAATTGCATACATCCAACGCCCAGCCTCGTGGGAGTCTATTCGATTAGGAAGAGTCATTGACACCTCAGTCATCCATTATCCACATCATCAACCCTTGAGTGATTGAGTCATCCGGGACTAGTCAGCCCTAGAGGAATCATACTGAAGAAGTCTCCTAGTCCTAACTACTCCTTGCCCTTGAGTATGGTCTCCACAATCAGCCACATCGACTCGCCTACGAAGGCTGAAGCTGGGGTAGCATTGTCCGAAAGTAGTCAAAGCAAAGTGCGGAGTACTAGACGGGAGTCAGGACCAGGAGTGTCAGTGAGCGCATTGCTTCTGGGGGTGCGGTGTTGGACTCCAGCTGGATTTATCTAGTTTCCGGGTGTGACGGAAATTATGAAGCCTAGCTGGTTTCTTTTTTCTTTTTTTTCTTTTTTTTTGGTGGTTGGTTTAGTATCACCCTCCCCTTGCAAGCCAGAGAAGGCTGGCTGGCTGGCATAAGGCTGTTGGGAATGTCAATCCCAACCAGAAAGATTGGACTTTGGGGGGGGGACGAGCCTTGTTGATCAAGTCTCTGATCTACTCGGTATATATGGTCATGGTCATAGTTGTGTCTGACGAGTGACGATTGTGTGCTCTACGCATGCATATGTGCGTAGATACCTCCATACATAGACAGGATGATCATCGCCAGTTTGCCACTGGTCATCCATCAAATCAAGCTTTGTGATTCATGCCACTTGAATCTGGGGATAGCCTGGATTGTGGAGCATCGCAAGCAACTAACTACATACTACATGCATTTTCGTCTTTTGCAATGGATCTATCACTTTGCAGCAAGGGGGTTATCTGAGTGATTTAAGTGAGAGGGAAAATCGCTCACTACATAGATGGTAGGGATTGTGTGTCTTGTCTTGTTTGGCGCAGAAGGGAGGAAGAAGTACTGTACATCTGTATACTTGCAGAGCATGGAGTAGAATCCAGCTACTGCATTAGAAGCAGACTATTATTCCTGTAGTCGAGCCGTACTAAGTACTATAGTTCATATACATACTTGGAGTCAACAGGAACATTGGATTGATTTACTATTAATAATAATAATAATAATAATAATAATAATAATACTAATTAGTATAATGCGACCCTGATGCCCTACACAGTAAATTTCAGGTACTAAAGAGGTACCTTTCCGTTGGGGTCAGAAGTTTGGCTTCTTCCGGCTGCCCCATCGGCCGGCCCCGGTCGGTGGGTGGCGCTATTCCTTTTTGAGGTATATGCCTTAGAAACTGACTAAAATCAGTCATTCTTCGACAAAAAATCGCTCATGTTGTAGATTTGTAGTAGTTACTTAGTTAGTTAGTTATGTATGTAGTCTAGATAGTTGAGACTTGAGCGTAAGGCATGTCTGGATGGAATTGGAATTAAAAGGAGGTTTGATTCATGCCGATGCAGTGACGTGATGAGTGTGGTGCCACATCCATGCAGGGGTCTTATCAACTGACAATTAATTGCTTCCACTTCATCTTGATCTATTCTGAAGACTCAAACATGTGGTGTGTTCTATGAAGAAGAATCAACCTGAGACCGAGATTAGTAAATCCAGACTTCAGGGTGACTAAAGCAACCAAGCTCGGCCGTACTCCGTGCTCCAAGCCGCGTCTTCTGTGGAGAACACACTGAGAGCCTCTTTTTTTGTCTTTTGGAGTCCTTGGGACCTGGGATATCCAGTGTTTCCAAAGATTCACAGCTGGCTAGGGAACTAGCCTACTAGGTAACCAGATAGTTACAGAGGAACCAAGTAAACCAAAAAGAATCCCAAATCATATGAGTCCAGAACTTTTCCTCAGGGAGTTAGCCTGGGTTAGGCGTCAGGGAGCTCCAGTGATTAGCCTAATGTTTCTGCCACATGAGGATCGGCTCCACCAAGCCAGGGACTCTGTGTCGGGTCTAGTGGACAGTTGCCCAACTCAGCTGGACAATACGGGCATATTGCAATGGTTTAGTACCTCTTAGCGTCTGAAGTCTCTTATGTACACAGTAGTTCTGAGTCCTTGGGCGGCAAAACGAACCAGAACCACCAGAAAAATGGCGCATTAAGATTATCGGGATGCCATGCCCATAGTATCGGATACCGATCCTGGTCGGAATGTCTCCAATTCGTGCGACAACAACAGGTAGGTATACTCGAGATCACTACTCTCAACGAAATGAGTTGTGTGATACATTATTCAAGGTACATCTCTGTCCGTTTCTCCTCTGTCCAGTAGATTCTTCGGAGGCCGGAGCTCGACGCCTTGCTGCTACTGTCCTAGATCTATCCGCTGTGCGGAGAAGTCCAAAGGGAAATCAATCCCCTCATGAAGACATCTCCCGTCTGCTCCGGATGTTACAGAGCAACATAGGCAGTACGTACCCTACAGAGGACTACTATGACTGTGAGAAATGATTACGGAGGAACTGTAGCATCAATTGTAAAATTAGTATCAAAATTCCAACTAGGAGTCCTCCGTACTTCTTGCCTGGAAGTTGTATGATGTATACAAGCCCCTTAGGCTCCGAGTCATTCACTCAGCGGCAAACTTTGTACCCAAAAAGCAAAAATCGAGCCTCGAAAGGACCCTCGCACACCGTACATTCATCTGTAGACTCTGCCTGGAGAGATTCAAACTCCCGACATCTTCAATAGTAGAATGTCGATATTCGATATTCGATATTGATCATCATGCCCATTCCCATTATTAATTGACCTCTTTCTCTGGCTCTTTTTTTTCTCCGCATTTGTCGCATTTCCGAGGCACTTCCCTTCCCGTTCTCCACAGCCGTCCGAAGTTCTGCGACCCCCAATCATCCCAAAAGCTTCGTATCCTCATTGTTTCTGTGTACGAATCAATCGCAATCGTTCACTACCATGCAAATCGCCTCCCCCCCCCTGATATCCACCATCGCGATCCCGACCTCTCTGAGTGGCTCCCTTTCCCACCCGACTCTTCCCGACCGTTGACTGAAGGAGTCATCGACTAATCATCACAAACCTACAAGGGCCTGATTTCATCGTCTTTTGAAGACTCTAATTTAATTGCTTCCTTTGTAAGAGATCTCCAAACGGCTACTTCGTGCATCGTGACCTCCGGAATGTTGTGGGTGCCTCCTCAGGGGTTTCCAATGTTAGTGCGCATACATAAGAACAGACTGGCTCCTGTAGCCCTCTCTTCGTCTTCGTCTTCATCTTTATCTTTATCTTCATCTTCTGCTCTACGCTCTTCATTTTCTTCTTCTTCATCGTCGCCGTCGTCATCATCGTCGTCGTCATCGCCTTCTTCTTCCTCTTCCGTTGTTACTATTGATCCTCGCCGTCGAAGCACACTCGCCGTGGCTCACCGTTCCACAATGGCTCGATTTCCCGCCCATCAAAGCCGGCCGGTCCATGCGACCCCAACACCCTATGTAAACCATGCGGCTCCCATGTAAGTGCCTCACTCTTTAGAATCAACTTGGAGACCCGTCAAAGACTCTCCTGTCGCTAATCAATGCTTGTTTCCATCATGTCTAGTGAAGCCAACTACGATACTGCCAACCCTTCATACATTCGCAAATATCTCCGCACGTACGGCCTGACTCCCCCGCGCGCGGAGACATACGAAGTTCAGAAGACACGCTGTATGCGACACCCCAACACTGGCAACCATCCTGGCGCAATGGGATGTATTAACGGGATATAGGTCTGGCTCAATTGGCTCTCAAGCAGACCGCCATCGATAAATTCCTCTACCTCAGCACTTTGCGCAAGAACAATGTCCACCTGTTTTACCGCCTGATTACAGATCATCTCAAGGTATGTAGAGATCGACAGCGAGATTGCGCCATTGACACAAAATACTAACAATTTTGGTTTTTTTTTTTTTTTTTCTCTGCTAGGAATTGACTCCTTTGATTTACACCCCCGTCGTTGGAGAAGCGTGCCAAAGATGGTCGGAAATTTACCAGCAGCCGGAAGGTAAGTTTGTTTGTTTTTGGTTTTGTTTTTTTTTTTTCGGAAATCTTCCCCCATGTGCTAGCAATTATTCTCTAGCGGACCAAATCCGGCGCTAACATTGAACCTTCTTGTTCGAATTGCCTAGGCATGTACCTGAGCTGGGAGGACCGCGGTAATCTGGCTGCTGTCATCGCGAACTGGCCCCAGCCCAACGTGGAGATCACGTGCATCACCGATGGGTCCCGAATTCTGGGTCTAGGGGATCTTGGCATCAACGGCATGGGTATTCCCATTGGTAAGCTGGCGCTGTATACTGCATGTGCGGGAATCCGTCCCGAGGTCACCCTGCCCTTGACGCTCGATCTGGGGACAAGCAACAAGACGCTCCGGGAAGATCCGCTGTACATGGGCACTCGCCGTGACAAGATCAGCCCTGAGGAGGACCGGGAATTCATGGATGAGTTGATGGCCGCTTTGACCGAGCGCTGGCCTGGGTGAGTCATTCCCTTTCTTTTTTACCTTTTCTTTCTTCCCCAGATTCTCTTCCGAGAGAAAAAGAACCGGGCGCTAACGGCCGGCCGATCGGGATTATAGTATTGTCATTCAGTTTGAAGACTTCAAGAATCCTTTCCCCGCTCTGGAGCGATATCGGGACACCTACACCTGCTTCAATGATGACATCCAGGGTACTGGCGCTGTCATCCTCGGCGGTGTCATCAATGCTGTGAGGCGCTCGGGACTCCCCTGCAAGGAGCACCGCGCCGTGTTCTTCGGAGCCGGCAGTGCCGGTGTGGGTGTGGCCAAGCAGATTGTGGCCTTCTTCATGCGGGAGGGCATGACGGAGGATGAGGCCCGCGCCTGCTTCTACCTGGTCGATACCAAGGGTCTTGTCACTGCCGATCGTGGCGACAGGCTGGCGGATCACAAGGTCTACTTCGCTCGGACGGACAATGACGGCCAGCAGCTCAAGACCTTGGATGAGGTTGTCGACCATGTGAAGCCCACCATCCTCATGGGCCTGTCGACCCTGGGCGGCGTCTTCACCCCACAGATCCTGTCCAAGATGGCTGACTGGAACACCCACCCCATTATCTTCCCTCTGTCCAACCCTTCATCCAAGTCTGAGTGTGACTTTGAAAGTGCCATCACCCACACCGATGGCCGCGCCCTCTTCGCCTCCGGTTCTCCCTTCCAGCCTTTCTCCTTCAAGAACTCCGCCGGCGAGACCCAGACCTACTACCCCGGCCAAGGCAACAACATGTATGTCTTCCCCGGCATCGGTCTGGGTACCATCCTGTCCAAGGCGGTCAAGGTCACCGATGAGATGATCTACGCCTCCGGTGCCGCTATCTCACAAGCTCTGACTGCGGAGGAGATTGACCGAGGCCTCCTGTATCCCGACTTGACCCGCATCCGCCAGGTCAGCATTGTCGTGGCTCGTCGGGTCATTCGGGCCGCTCAGGAAGCGGGTGTTGATCGTGAGACTCCCCTGCGCACCATGAATGATGACAACCTGGACGCCTGGATCAAGGCTCGCATGTACGACGCTCACAGCGAGGTCATGGCCCTGGAGAGAGAAGTCGGTGCTCTTCTGTCAAACCTGGGTCCTGCCTCCCCATCCATCAACGGCTACATTGAGGATGAGACGAATGCTAAGCTGTAAACGGCATTTCTCCCGGTCTTCTCTTTTCCTTGGCGACTGTCAGTAGAGTTGAGGTCTTGACCTTTTTCCTCTCTTGATGCCTTTGGCACTTCTTTCCTTGTCCTCGCTTTTTGCTTTTCTCCTCCAAGATTGTGATCATCTTTCTGTAGCGCATCCTTTTCTTTTCTTCCTCTTTTTTTTTTTTTTGGTTTCGGCCTCTTGCATTGAAGGATGCCCCCGTGTCCCTGTATACCCTTTGCATACCGCTAATGACTCTGCCTGTTGTTTTTTTTTTTTTTCAAGTGGAGTTTGGGATTGTCGTCTAGCACTCTTGTTACTGGCCATGGAGTGTTTCATAGATAGACAGACACATAACATAAAAAGTTAGGTCAAACAGGTCATACAACCAGTACATTTCGGAATTCCACATACCTTATAGATCTCACTATATTGTTCTCGACTCGCAAGAAGTGGATCAGGGGCAGTGGAGATGCGGAGAGATTCATTGCCCCGACTGCAAAATCAAACAACAATCGATAATATGCCCGTTGTCCACATCCAGCGCCATCGCCCATTCGCTCCGAGGCTTCCAGCCCCAGCAGGCAGATCTCCTCTGCGCAATGGGTATACTGTGTAGTAGTAGGTGAATTAAGCTTACCTACGGAGTAGATCGATCATCATGCAGACCGAACGGGGGACTTTTGTCCCGTTGGGAATAGCTTTCTCCCATCTCCGCCGGTACTTGTGTTGCTCCACAGAGTTCACGCCTCACACGGTCACATTAATTGTTCACATCTCCGGGTCAATGATATCTGTATATAGAAGGGGGCGCACTGCCCTCCTTCCACGTTGGATAAATCTTTTCTTTTCTTTTGCGGAAACAGCATCTTTTCTTAATCCATTCTGATCTACCAGCATCACCATGCCCTCGCTCGCGGACCCCGTCACGCTTCCCTGCGGCCTGGTCTTCCCCAACCGACTGGTCAAGGTATGCTGTTCCCCCACTCCTGAACAGAACAAAAGCTCATCCCCTGTCTAGGCCGCACTGGCCGAAGCCATGACCGGATCCGATCACACCCCTACCCCCGAAATGATCGAGGTATACAACCAATGGGGCCAGGGCGGCTGGGGCGCCGTCCTCACCGGTATGTCGAACACCCCATATTCCCTCGCTAAACCCAACCCCCCCCCCCCCCCGGTATGAACGGAGAGATGGATGAGTAACCGCGAGGTTGTGTTCCACAGGTAACGTGCAGGTCGACGTCAACCACCTCGGCAACCCGTTCGACCCCGCCCTGGACGGCGAGTACACCGGCGCGGACACGAGCGCCGCGCTCGTGCAGACCTGGCGCCGCTACGCCGCCGCGTGCCAGCAGCACGGCGTGCCGTCGATCGTGCAGGTCAACCACCCGGGCCGGCAGTCGCCGCGCATCGCGGGCCGCAGGGGTATTTGTGCGGCGACGATCGCGCCCAGTGCGGTGCCGCTGCAGCTGGGGGGCGGGCTGGTGGAGCGGATTGCCAGTGCGCTGGTGTTTCCGGCGCCGAGGGAGATGACGCGGGCGGATATCGAGGCTGTGTCGAAGCAGTTTATTGATACGGCCCGGTTGATGGCGGATGCTGGGTTCTCCGGCGTGGAGCTGCATGGCGCACATGGCTACTTGATTGGTATGTTATGTTATGTCTTCTTCACCTTGTTTGGCGCTTTGGGGGTGAGGACATGAGGATTCTGATTGTAATTGTTCCCCCGCTAGACCAGTTCCTGAATCCCAAGGTATGCGCTCCCCGCCAACACGAGCAGACTGGCGAGGAAACCTAACAGATGAAAGACAAATCTCCGTACCGACGCATACGGCGGCTCGCCCGAGAACCGCGCCAAGTTCGTCCTCGACATCCTCGCCGCCATCCGCAAAGTCGTGCCCCCGACGTTCTGCATCGGCATCAAGTTCAACTCCGCAGATCACAGCTCCTCCGCCTTCGAAGACACCATGACGCAGATCAAACTGCTCGTCGACGCGGGCATCGACTTCCTCGAAGTCAGCGGCGGAACATACGAGGATCCACAGGTCTCTCCCCCCTTCCCCTTCCCCCAACTTAAGACCCCAAGACGCAGCATCACAGACTAACGCCCCCCAAAACAGATGGTGGCCTCCAACCCCGTCGCCGCCGCCGCCGCCGCCGCCGCGCCGCAGAAATCCCAGCGCACGCTCGCCCGCGAAGCCTTCTTCCTCGAATTCGCCCGCGAAACCCGCAAGCGCTTCCCGACCCTCGTCCTCATGCTCACGGGCGGGTTCCGCACGCGCGCCGGCGCCCAGTCCGCCCTCGCCGAGAACGCGTGCGACCTGGTTGGCATTGGGCGTCCCGCAGCCGTGAAGCCGAGCTTCGCGCGGATGCTGCTGGACGAGAGCGTGGAGGACGAGGAGGCGAGGCTGGAGCTGAAGAAGGTCAAGATGCCGTTTCTGGTGCGGCTGCTGCCGATTCGGAATGTGGGGGCTGGGTTAGAGAGTGTAAGTGTGCATCTTTTTTTTTTTCTTTCTGATTTCGATTTGGTTTGGTATTTATGGGTGAGAGGATGAGATTGGGATGCTAATGCTTTTTTTTTTTTGTCTTGCCTGCTAGACGTATTATGCGGGTCAGATCCAGCGGATAGGGAAGGGGTTGAAGACGTCGGCGCCGGTGTGAGCTTGAATTTGAATTGGAGGTTGTACAGTGTACAGAGAGAGTAAGTGGCTGAGGACGGACTGTATATGTTGTTGCTACTATCTACTGCTAATCCTAATAATATCAACATATCATGATTCTTAATCATCGCCTTTGTCTCTATGCTATTGAATTCTCTAGCTGACCTTAACTATCCCTGATATATCTTCTCTTCACTGTGGATTATATGAAGTTCTATGTATACATGTATACCCGCGTGCTGCCTATACGCAACCGATGACGTCGATGTCAACAATACAAAAACACATCCTGTTTTTCTTGCAGGACAGCAAAGCATTACATTACTCGCTATGCTTCTCGTATATAGAGATTGCTCTGCGAGGAAGAATGGCGTCCCTCGACTTTGAATCTGATGCGACTTCATTGCTACCACGGCTGAAACAATGACAGGGCAGAAGCACACAGTTGCGGTGGTCGGATCGGGGAATTGGTACATCTTTTCCTCTCTCTCTCTCTCTCTCTCCCCCCCCCCCACGAGGATTAAAGAGAGATAGAATAAGATAACAGGTGAAAACAAGGGGATCGACGATCGCCAAGATCCTCGCCGAAAACACCAGAGAACATCCCGATGTCTTCGAAGAGAAAGTGCAGATGTGGGTCTTTGAAGAGGACGTGACCGTCCCCGAGTCCTCGCCGCACCGCGGCCAGCTCGGCGACAAGACCTACAAGCTCACTGAGCTGATTAACAATGTCCACGAGAACGTCAAGTACCTCCCCGGCACGGCGCTGCCGGACAACGTGGTCGCGAACCCGGACCTGCTCGACGCCGTCAAGGCCGCGACGCTGCTCGTCTTCAACCTCCCGCACCAGTTCATCGACAAGACGCTCGAGCAGCTGAAAGGCCACGTGCGCCCGTACGCGCGCGCCATCTCCTGCGTCAAGGGCGTCGAGGTCGCCGATGGCCGGGTCACGCTGTTCTCGGAGCTGATCATGCAGAAGCTGGGGATCTACTGTGGGTCGCTGTCTGGCGCGAACATCGCCCCCGAGGTCGCGGCCGAGATGTTCTGCGAGACCACGATCGGGTATGACCCGCCACCCATGGACCTGGATTCCGAGCAGGAGGGCTCCCCCGATAACCGCCACAAGATCGACAAGCAGCGCCAGCACCGCGTCTCCACCACGAGCACCGTGCTGCACCGCGTGCCGGACGAGTACCCCACCGTCGACGGCAAGCTGCTCCACCGCCTCTTTGAGCGGCCCTATTTCCATGTTCATGTCGTCCCTGATGTCGCGGGCGTGGCGCTTTGTGGCGCGCTGAAGAACATCGTCGCGCTGGCTGCCGGGTTCGTGGCTGGTAAGGGGTGGGGGGAGAACTCCAAGGCCGCTATCATCCGCATCGGAATGATGGAGATGCTCCGCTTTGGACGCATTTGGTTCCCTGACTCGGTCGATGGAAAGACCTTCACCGAGGAGAGCGCCGGCGTCGCGGATCTGCTGACCTCCTGCTCCGCTGGACGGAACTTCCGGTCCGCGAAACATTCGGTCGAGAAGGGGGTGAGCGTGGACGAGATCGAACAGTCCGAGCTGAATGGGCAGAAGTTGCAGGGTACATCGACGGCGCGGGCTGTCTGCGACTTCCTGTCGACGCATGGAAAGGCGGACGAGTTCCCATTGTTCAACGCTGTGAATGGTATGTACTATGTAGACCCTCGGGCATATTGTATTTGAACTAATGGGCGATAGGTATCCTCGATGGCAAGGTCAGTGTTGACGAGCTACCAAAGTTGCTGAAGTGATGGTGCACTAGATGTTAGAGACATGCCGTAATGATCCAAATTAATCCATTTGAAGAGAAGATAACTCGTATCTGAGATAATGGCTGTCCCATTGTAGTCATATCCGCGCAATCGAACAGCCTCTGGTGGAGCATTGGGGAATGAGTTTAGAGAGGATCAAACGGCGCTATATCCTCACTTCCCCAGAAATCTCCAGACAACCCTTCCAGCGTCTGAAAATCCGGCATCCAGAACGGACAGTCCTCCTCGAGATCAATCCAGGGCGCAAGCTGGAATGCCATGCGTACTCCATGATCATCGGCCGAGGGGTCCATTTGACCTGCCGGAGGGGCATCTGCCGCGGGCCCTCCCCCAGAATATTCCTTACATGTACCAGGTGTGGTGCTCTGCAAAGCGAGGTTTGTTCCGCTGTGCTGCGCGGTCATGAGTTCGGCCATGCCGACTTTCTTGGCAGCATCGCTGGTGTTACTACCCTCGAGCTTCTCCATGGCCGCGTTGACGAGCATCTCGAATGCATCGCGGTACTTCTTCACCCATGCCGCGCGCTCGCCCATGACGAAGAGGACGGTCGAGCAGGCGCGGATGTCGTTGCTCATCTGTACCGACCATACTTCGTTCGTGTGTGTCCATAGGGCATACAGCAGGGTGATCCCCGCCATGAAGACCGTCTGGACGGCCAGGAAGGAATGTCCGTATTCCAAGGTCTGGTGGAGGCGCTTGTGCGTCTGGCAGATGTCACCGGCTGCTCGGAGGCAAATCGGGTAATAAGGGTCGGATAATGGGAGGGATGGTAGGAATGGCTGGATCAAGAGCCGTAGAGCTCGATTGTAGTGCAGCATGGGATAGTCGAGATCGGTTCCGCTGAAGCGCAGCAAAGCGGACCGCTTCCACTCTTCCAACTCGCTGAATAGACGATCCATCTTGGACTTTATGGAGTCCAAAGGGCGATCCGCGCGGTAGATCTTATGTTGGATCCTCGAATCAATCCGACGTAGCTTGAACAGGTAGATTGCGAAGGTCAACGAGGTGATCCTGCCCGTCCGTGGAGTAGCTGTCAACATAGCGGGATCCCGAACATCGTCATCCACGTCCGCCGGCAAGGGGATATCAATGTGACGGTCTGCGATGCTGAAAGGTCGACCAAGTGACATGGAGATGACTCTCTCCAGGTAATAGACCGTCCAAAATAGTCGACGCCGCATTTGCGCACTCCACGGGTCGAGATTTACCTCGTTGGCTTTTCTGTGCAGGCCCAGATCAATGGCGGTTCGCATGGCAAGCCCGACAATGTACCATAAGCCATGGCTTGATGCCGAGCGAAGATGATACACTACCAGCAGAGTCATGGCCTCTATGTTTTCAATGGACCGTGTCTCACACATGGCAGGGACCTGCTGTAGAGCAGTAGTGTAGAATCGCTAAAGCATTGTCAGCGCACGAGACTCCAACAAAAGCCGCTGTGAGGCCTACCTCCGGTGGAATATATGCGTATTTCTCACTGAGCTGAATTGCTGTGGCTCCCATTGCATACACTAGATACAACTTGAATAAGTTGAATCTATCCGCCTTGGAGAGCTCTTCCCGTTTGGTTCTGGCTAGCCTCCAGCGGGACTCATGCAGTTTCCACAGCTCCGCCCGATCGAGGAACGGGTAGCGAACATGAAGCCTCGTCAAATAGGCGTGCATGATCCGTGTTCCCATCTCATCGTTCGGCGGCTCAGTACTCTGGGCCAGCAGCTCCTCCATCCGAAGGGGGGATCGCGGGTTGTCAGACGCGCTACCCTGACCACTAACAGGTTGGGGTGGCAGCCCTGTCAGAGGCCTCCCTTGACCGACGATCCCACCAGTGCTTCTGGTAGATCTCTGCTGTGACCGAGACGGCGCGAGAACCTGATTCCACACCGTTGCTTGGACCATTTCGCTGAGGTTGGCTGCCAGTGAAAGCCCGGAGCTTGAGCCCACATACGCCGGTGCTTCTACGGAGTTGAGTGCGAGAAAACCTACAAGCTCTCCGACAGTATTGTTGTTTAGATTAGAAGTAGAGGCTGACTGGGTGGTTTCCTGACTTTGTGGAGACAGGAGCGCTGGACGAGCGGCTTCGTTGCTGGAATTGGTGCTTGCCAGCGTGGCCAGTTGAGATTCGAGATAGGCGATGCGCTCTTCTAGAGCACGAGTATAGCTGCTCTTTATTAGCATGCAGTATAAGGTCAAATGCAACAAGATCCTGTTCAGGTTCCCATGAAGAACCTGGTAAACGCACCCGTTCGACTGGCCACTTTCTCGCCGAAGGACGGTCTGTTTATCACATGAAACCCCGGCTTTGCGGCAATTGGAGCAGTTAGGATAGTCATTGTCACACTGGTATGTCGATCAGCCATGAAGATTCCATAGATGCTGCATCAATCTTCAGCCAACCTTTTGCTTTCTGGTCTTACAGCGTGTGCAAGATGTTCTTACGCGCTTTCGACTGTTGTGGTTTGCTTGGGGGGATAGGGAGGGCTGCTCGAGGATATCCATCTTAAACACTCAGATAGTTATTCATCTTCCTCAGCAGCAAGAATAAGGATGATTTTGATGGAACCCGATAGTTGGAGTAGATATGTTGATGGATGAAGTTCAGAGGCTGCCAAGACACGCAAGATAGTTGTGGTCCACCAGTCTTGCAGCCGGTATTTAAGGCTTCCAAAGACATCAAGCGAGTGACTATTTATTGGAAATATTTTTTTCAATAGAGTGAGCCTTATGCTCGCACCTAATTTATATTACATATTCCGAAGCTTTGAGTCACTTTCGAGACTTGTCTATATCTATATTTGGATCAGATGTGATGTTTATGGTGATTCTATAGCTTGAAACAAACGCCATCAATGCACTCATCAAGATTCGCTCAGACATGGGATCGGAAAACAAATCATGACTGCTGTGCTGCATGTTCCTGAGATGGCAGCACAGCACCGACGGGATGTTGCCCTGTAGGCAGTACCCCCCCCTTTGCCTCGCCATTCACGACCTTCTCCGACTTCAGGGGAACCCCGATTGCATTAGGCTGTTCTTCATCCGGCCTTTGTGCCGTATCTTGACTTTCTTCCTCCTCTCCTGGTTCCTTAGGCCGTTCGAGACCACGATCCCGGATAAAGAGACAGGCAATAAAACACAACCCAATGAGAGGAACCTGCAGGATGAAAACGCCTCTTGAGGCTTTGGCATAAGCATTGAGGATCTGTGACCAGTCCGACGCGGATATATCAGATGACGAGGGAAGGGAATAAGACGAATGAGACAGGTATTGATAGCCCTGTGGGAGGTTGGCTCGCAGTGTTGCCTGCAAGACGGCAGCAGAGACAGCCAGTCCACATGCACCTCCGAAGCAGCGGAAGAAATTGCGGTCCGATATCACTACTGCCCGATGAGACTTCGTACAGTGAGCCTGGAACGCAATCATTGTCGGCTGGAAAGTCCAGCCAACGCCGAGGCCTGCGATGCCGACAACGACCGCGATCACAGCAGGATGGGTATGTTGGTCAAATAATAGCATCAGGCCCGCGCCCCTGCAATAATTATGTGATTAGACACCCGCAAACGAGATGTGAGGGCTCTTCAGAAGAAACTTACAGTGTCCAAAGTCCAAAGCCAGCCCAAATTACTTCCCCATATCGCTTGGTTCGAGAGATATAATGTCCAGACACGATGGACGCAATTGACTGGCAGCCGACCATTGGAGCTGTCAGGGCTGCCGAGACAATTGGAGACCATCCTCGTGCGTTCTGATAATATAGTGGGAGATAGTACAGATATGATTGATAGACGGCACCTAAAAGAAAGCTCTGTGGAAACAAAGCACACAGAACCTTGTTCTTGAAGAACACCACTACCTAGCAGTTAGCCTTGATCGGCCGTCTAATCCCGCGAGTCAGTAGCTTACCTGGAAGCATGGGCAGAGTGGCCACTTTCCACTCGATAAAGACAAATGCAACGAGCGAGCAAGTCCCAATGACAAGCATGCTTATCACCATCGCGGAATTCCATTGGAAGTAGGAGCCACCGCCAGATATCGGGATGAGCAGGAAGATGATTCCAATGGACGAAGCGATGATACCGAAATAGTCGATCCGTCTCAGATTCTCCATAACACCGTCTTTGCGGGCATTATTCGGAATCAGGAAATAGCCGACGACGGCGGAACATGCTGCCAAAGGGGACAGGAGCCAAAAGAATCCGCGCCATGTCGATTTCATGATGAAGGCTGCCGCGATGAATGGTCCTATCACATTGCCCATTCCCAAGGAGCCACCGAGGATTCCTTGATACTTCCCACGTTCCTCGAGCGTCACAATATCAGATACAATGATCATCGTCAGTGAAGTGACACCACCTCCTGCAACACCAGCGAAACCCCGGAATACATAAAACATGGCTGCATTCTGTGATAGGCCACAAAGCAAATCCGCAATACATAGCAGACCAATTGCCGACAAGTAAACGATTTTTCGACCAAAGATATCCGAAAGACGGCCATACAGCACCGTGAACACGGTATTTGCTATCAAGGAAGATGTACCCGCCCAAGATATTGTGTTTTCAGCATTGAGGTCTTTCGCGATAGTGGGCAAAGTGACACTGATGCCATTCTGGTCAACGAACGTGATGAGCAGAGACACCGCAAGGCCAGAGAAAACAATCAATAGCTGGACGATTGGTAGGATGTTTGTCTGGTCATGTAAGGCCTTTTCGGCGGCCTGTTGTCGATTCATCCTGGCCTACCACTAGCATCCAACCGCATTTATGTGAGACTGGTTTGTTCTCGTTCGACTGGCATAGGCGTAGGTCTGTAGGGAAAACACTGCCTCTCGAATGATGGTGATCGTGCAAGTATTCAACAAAGAAGATTCCCCTGTGAAGGATGATTTAGATCTAAAAAAAAAAAAAAAAAAGGCTCTGCTAGCTCCTAGCAGATGCAACAACTATCAATTATCTTCTTGATAGAGGATACGCCTGGACAATCTAATAGATACCTATTCAAGAGTGACATCCGCTGAGAAACAGAGTATGATTCGAATATATATATGCTTGTTTTTATCTTGTATTAGTATCGGATTCCTCCCCGACAGAGTCACAATCAACCAAGGAATCAGCCATTTCCACGTCTACGGCTTCGGACATAACTTCCGTATTGGTTTCCAAAGAGGAACGTCGGTTTAATTCCGCATCACCTCTTGGAGCTTGTTGGCGCACACTGAAAGTAGGTGTGGAGAATTGTAGTCGGCAATTGCCGATCTTTCTTCGGACGTCCGATATCTAGTTCTTTCAAATTTCAACGGCTCGGTGCCGCATTCCACACTAGGACTGCAGAAATGCAGATAGTGTCCATGTTGAACAAGCCTAGTAGTACTTGAGGTTTCTCCTAATTGAGGCACACACTGAAAATAAGAATTCGGTTCTTGAAAAACACGAAGTGTGTGATGTTTGAAGAATAAGAAAACGTACGAAGATACTGTGGGGAAGATGACATACCCACTGATGGTCACATGACTCTGACCTTGGTGCTACGGACTTGGTCGACAAAGTAAGGATATACATCGATCGTGTGGTCTTGTTGCCCAAGTATAGGGCACTGATCTACTTATCTTGATGTATTAACAGAAAATCCATAGAAGTGTCCAGTAGATGGTATGCCATAAAATTTGCTGGAACCAGAACAGTCCCTGTTAGAAGACACAACTCTCAACTTTCCATACTGCTGTACAAACGGTAGCCAACAGTGGTGACTAATTGGCATACTCTAGTCGGCTACAGTGGAAACCCCGAATTTCAGGTATGTGCAGGTGATATTGAGGCCGGCAAGTTCCCCGGCGTCCATAGCGGTTGATTTTGTCTTGTATTGACTGGTGAGGCTATCGCGTATCCGTGGGCCTGGGCCATACGATCAACGTGATTGCTGCCTTGACCCGGCAGCACAGGAGGGCCCATATTTCTCCCAACAGCGTCTTGCCCAGGTAAGGGGTTTTGTGGCAAGTAGGATGCACCAGTCACGTTGCCTTGATTCGGAAAAAAGCTCTGATTTAAAGCTCCGCATGTAGTGCAGGTAAACTCAATTCTGAAACTGCTCAGACCAATTGATGGCGCAGAAGCATGCCCAATATTCCTTGGATGCGGTGACGACTCGAATTGATCTGCCTCCGGTGCTGGGGCCATGTGTGGCGGTGATGGTATGAAGGTTGAGTGCTGATCATTGCCTCGATGGATATTATGACCCAGCAGAGGTTGCTGTGGCAGAGTGCCCAGTGGGTGCTGTACTTGCGACATTGATGGCGCTGAATTAGAGCGTTGCGGTGAATGCTGAGGCTGCACGGCTTCAGGTCTAAGTTTTGCAGTTCCGCGAGCTGCGGTCTGTAGATTATCGCCTTGCTCCGCGGACGACTTTGCACCAAATTCCGATGTGACAGCGTCTGATATCCATCTCTGCTCGGAAGGGACATTGTAGGCCGAGCCGCTGAGAGATGGCGCTGGAGGTATTTGAGTGTCTTGCCGGTGGTCATTGGGAAAATCGCAAGATTGTGATTCTTCGTGCTGATTTTGTGGTAACCGGTGTTGCAATTTTATAAGAGCTCGGTGTGCTTGTCTTATGGATATGTCGTGCCCATGATACCGCTTCACTGCATCCACCACATCTTTTCCTTTAACCTTCTGGCTCAGATCAAACAACTTCGGTATCTCACTAAGTAGAAATCGAACATGCGAAGCCTCAGACCGGGAAGGGGTTGTTCCAAGTAAGGTGGCGTGTCTTCGACAGCTGTGGCTGTCCTGAAGACTGGTGATGTAGGTCTCGCTTTTATTCGTACGGCTGACGACGCGGAAGCAGCAGTTGTCAGAAGATCGACATCCGATCACAACACTTTTCTTGTTGCTTCGAATCACTCGGAGTTCCCAGTGTTGCCTAACCGATATACTGCGCACTACCGTTTTGAACTCGTCAAGTGAGACGAATCGTTGGCCCGCATGGAGCCCAGAATACATCTCCGCCATGACAAGTCAATAATATCAATCGTAGAGCCGTTAGAACAGAATTCTTGTAACAATCGCATTTCATCCGTGATTCAAGCAGTTCTGATAGCCTCGAAGTACTGTCTCGAAGGCTACATCAATTGGGTTGGGCATTGTGGATGCGTAGGAGCTCTACTCTTTATCGCATCAACGGCAGACTCCAAAGTTCGCAAAATATATGTAGCAGACGCAATCTAGCATCGCTGCAGTCGGATACTGCTCAGATTGTACAGATCTGACGAGAGTCGTCTGTTGTTGCTAAATTGCGATAAGGGGACAGAAACAGAGAACATGGGTTCCCGCATGCCGATAGTGAAGTTGCGCCGCTTTTAGCGCACGCGCGACCGCTTCCATAAGCCCTTTTATTCAGATACTCAACACTGAAGCCGAACACTTTCAAGTTGGATCGGCTTTGCCTGGAGTATCATTATCTCAAATTTGAACTGGAAATTCATGCAAAATGGCTTCTTACGGTATTCTAGATCAAGCGGAAGAAGGTAGGAAGAATGCTCGTACTCGACTCCATCTACCATTGACTAAACCTTGCGTCCAGATAACCTTCACAAATCGCGCCTTCTCAACGTCGAAGAGAAGCCTTTCAAACGTATAACCAAACGCCTTCTTAATCCGCAATCGCTCGTGATCTCTAAAGCGACCATTTTTCCCACTCCACCCCCGGATGAAACAGAAGAAGATGCCCCAGCAGCCGATGCGGAGAGACAAAAAATACTGGATGAATGGCGCCATTTCAGCGAGGACGCGACGCTAGATTTTGCCGCTTTTGAAGGCAGTATCGCACGCATACAGTTTCTTCTGACGAGCAACGAGAAGGAACGTGAGCGATATGCCGCTGAAAAGCTTCGGATCCTGTCCACGATGCAGACTGTTCGCGACAACACTTCGGAACTGCGGGTGCAGTTGGAGGAAGCTCAGCGACTTCTGGCGCTACGGAAAAGCTACGATGACCTCGCCGAGAAGATTACGAGCAACAGACTCTTGAGGCCGCGAGAAGACCAGCAGGCAAACCTACAGAAACTCCAGGCGGAGATTGCAGATCTTGAGAAAGAAAGCAAGGAATACGCGACGACCTGGGCTGAACGACGAGAGCAGTTTGGTCGCATTGTGGAAGAGGGTATGCAGCTTCGACGTCTTATTAGGGATGAGAAGGAAGAGGTGGAGCGCAGAGAGGGCATGCAAGAAGATGAAGGAGAGGAAACAGACGTCCCTTCGAAAGAAAAGACCAGCGAGGCCAATACTCCTCGACCTGAATTCGATACTGTCACTCCCTCTCAACACGGTCAGGACGAGGCTAGTCGATCCCCGGTTGGTCTACACGCAGAGAGACTAGCTGCAACCACGGGGGCAGCGTCGCCCTTGCGACAGGTTTCTACGGCTGAGCAGGAGGACGCCAACATGATAGACGAAGGCGAAGTGACTGGAGAGGAGGCATCAGAACGGCCCGACGACCTGGAGGAAGGGGAGGCAGTGCCGGATGACCAAACTGCCGATAGAATGGACATTACGTGAGCTTCAATCCTTTATGGCATGGCCGCATGGGTATAGCAAGGAGTTAGGTTGGGGCGTTCAAATTTTGATCATGTCTGTCTTATTGTATATCGTCTAGGCAATTTCTCTCTTTGCCGTCTTCGCCTTTGCAATTGCCTCTTTGGCAGCAGTGATGTGTTTCACGTTGCTCTCTGATCCTCTCTTTCCCTCCTCCTCCTATTGAAAGCTTGGTCAGAGAAACTAACTTGTAGTGAACATATATAAAACTCACCAGAGCTTTCTCAAGCTTTGCTACCGCCTCATCGATCTTATGTTTCAAAGTAGGTAGGACCTTCTTTGTTTCTTCGAGAGCAAGACGCTGCGTTCGCAAACATTGGTCGTCAATCATCCGGTGCCGCTATTAATAAACGTGATGATGCTCACCTCCTGCTTGAGCAAGTACTCCCGGTTCTCGTCTTCCGACTTTTCGGTTTCAAGCTTCTTGATTTTGTCCGTCTGTTGCTGGATCTCGCGGTGATAGGACTGTTCCTCCTTAACCAGGCGCTCAACAGAGGAAATAGCAACTTCGAAATGGGTTGGTGGTGGCATAGCGATGGATATTCCTGGAAATATGCTTAGATTGTATTCAATTCTCTATTTTCATCGGAATCTCAGGATGCAGGAGATAGAGCAACAGAAATAATGTCATGGAAGAAGTAATTTCATGACGTATACACCGAGTTTTGAAGAAAAGGATGAGATGAAACCCAACACATACCTGCTTTTTCTGAGTTACTAACGAGTTAGAAAGAAACCAACTGAGGCCAAATGGGAAGCTAATACTCCGTGCAAGAATCTTAAATCCTCAGCTAACTGTTGTCTGTCCAGAGCCCCTCCATCTCTATGATGCTATCGAAAAGCTGTTTTGCAATGTTTGCATCAGTGGGGCTTATCATTCATATCACGTGACTTATGAACTTGTTGAGTGAAGACGCCTGTTAATCATGTATCTAGTACTCCGTACCCGAAAGCCACTCTCTTTAAGTCTTGTGGCTCAGAGTGTTTTTCGGATGGTCAATTAACTGGCTAGATGATTGCAATGCCCACCTTACTCCCGCAAACTCGTTTTTTCATGAAGACTTACACACAGCTGGAGGGCTAGACATAGACCCCCTCACCGACGATTCAACAATGCTTAGAGCACTTTGATGCTGGCACCGCAGTCTTAAGAGATTGAAGTTCCAATGTGCCCAAGGAAGCTTTCAGATGATCGAATATTAGAATGAACAGGGTAACGGCATTTATCTCACTTGGATCGCTGCCCAGTGTCAGAGTGCGGATGAAACGCAGAGCTGCGGATACAGAAGTGGAATCAAGATCCGAGCTTACAGATGTCAAGATCGCTTTAAGAAAGCAAGGCAATTGGCGAATCTAACCAAGAAGGCGCAGATGCCTCATTTTCCATGACATCAATGGCGACAAATGGGCTTCGAACAGTTGGAAGATTGAAGGCAAACTGATGGCTCCTAAAGTCCGGCACTTTTCACTTTATGTAACCACAACTCATATACCAACTTTTTCCGCTCGGGGGGCTAAGAACGATGGCTGTCTCACATTCTTAGTATTCGACAGATGTTGGATATACGGTCTGTCAACAGTACTCCCCACAGCCTTGCCTTCTCTGCCTGACTATGTTGGCGAAGAGGGATGAAGAGGAATGAGCAAGCGATGGATGACATTCAGCGAAAATAGTGGTACATTGTACTCCGTATATCCTATTATCTTTCCTCTGGCGGTACTCCTGTAATATTCATTCTTTGACCCAGGACAAACCTCCGACCCCTAGCCTCTGACGAATAGCCTCCCCAGGTAATGCCAGACAGTGGGCACCACTATGTTGCCAAAAGGGCCTTGCCGGCTCACCGTACGTGGCTCGTGAGCTGGCGAGGACTGTTATGACCACCGGACTGTAAACCTGGAATGTCTCATCGTTCAATTCGGCTCAGAATCAGCGCGCTTGCTGCCTTCATGGGCTCCCAAGAAATCCTTAATACTCTGATCCGGATTAAATCCCCTTAGAAGCTCCTTATCTTGGGTTTGATGGCCGATGGTAATCCCATCTAGAGCACTTCTGTGGAATAGGTTCGTCATTCCAGTACTATTCCGAGAACTCGGTGACAGCCGATGATCTTCCGATATCGTTTTGCGACAGTCTCGCTTCTGGCGAATTGACTCTCCTGCTTGGTCTCGAGTTCTCCAGCAGTTTCGGACGCGTTGTACTCGTCTTAGTATCCAGCATGGTTTTTCGCGTTCACTTTATCAATTGAAGCAAACTAACTGTTTGTAACGAGGGGCTCAAAACTTATGTTCGTCTGTCCTAGATACGCGTCTCACTAACGAGTGAAAAAAATAGTGAAATTGATTCAAACAATTTAAGCGATTTATCTAATCCCATCGCAGTGCAGACCTTCCACTACTGAAAGCATGGCATACCTCTTCAACTCGTGGAGAACCACCCTTCGCCGCAAGTTCCCATCCTCAAGAACTCCAAAAATCAAACCTTACACTACTCTACCATTCGAAACGCCCATAGAGGAGGAGACTTTGCCTCATTATAAACCCGAACAGTACTTCCCGGTCAATATCGGGGATGTATACGATAAAAGGTACCAGGTCACGGGCAAGATTGGCTATGGGGCGTACTCTACAAGTTGGCTATGCCGAGATCTCCAGTAGGTGTCTTTATTATGACAACCATGCGACCTTTCTTTGACATTCCTCAGGGACAACAGATACCGAGTACTGAAGGTGTCCACGTCACTGCCGAAATTCCCTAGTGCTACTGATCGTGAGCTGAAGATCTACGAGCATCTTTCGAAAGTCAATTCCACACATCAAGGCCAATCGCTAATCCGCGAGCTTTATGATTCATTTGAACTTCAAGGACCGGTCAGCAAGCACAGCTGCTTGGTTCTACAACCAATGCACATGACGCTTCTTGAGATGATGGGGCTGAATCCACATCCATTTGATATTCTCCTGCTCAAGATGACCGTTGAACGGCTTCTATTAGCCCTTGACTTCTTGCACACTGAAGCCAACATAACTCACACTGGTACTTGACCCTTTATTAATATAGCTTTAGGGGCTCATTACTAAATAGAACTAGATCTAAAGACGGACAATTTGATGCTTAGTCTAGAGGATAACACCATGCTGGCAGATCTTGTAAAAGCAGAGGCCGAGAATCCCAGCCCTCGGAAGAAAATTGATGAGTTACATATTATCTACAAAAGCCGGAAATTCCGCCGGCCGGTAGAAGGCAGAGGCTATGGTCTCCCAATCCTATGTGACTTCGGTGAGGCACGGATTGGCAAAAGACAGGAGTCTGGCCCGTTTGTTCAGCCACATATTTATAGAGCACCGGAGATTATATTTGAAATGCCGTGGGGGAGTGCTGTCGACATCTGGAACCTGGCTGGTTTGGTAAGGACAGCTCTTGTTTATTTGCGCTATGGTCTTGCATTACTGATCATTCAGAAGATTTGGGACCTCTTTGAAGGAGAGCATCTTTTCGGGGACATATTCGACATTAAGGGCGGCCATGACCCCTTTAAGCATCTAGCACTGATGACTGCCTTGATTGGGCCACCACCGAGCGAATTTGTCAAACGCAGCGAGACAACGGAGCAGTGTTTTGACCCCAGCGGTAAGCGCCATGCCTTGGAATCTGAAGTATTATCGCCTTCACTACATTTATAATGCTAACGCGCCTATAGGCGCCTGGGTTGCAAATGAGGATGCAGTCTTACCATTGGTTTCCTTGGAGAGTCTGGAGAAGCGACTTACTGGACACGAGAAAAAACTGTTTCTCCAGTTTCTAAGGTCAATGCTCAAGTGGCTGCCAGAGGAACGCTGGACGGCACGGCAGCTGCTTGAGCATCCATGGCTGGCCATGTAATATGTTGTGTCTAACATTTGGGTTGGTCTTCCGCACTTTCGCGCTGGCGCTAATGTCCTAATGATACATAGTATTTACGGCCTACCAGCAGAGGATCACAAATCATTCTGATTTACACAGTAAATTCAACCTTTTTTAATCCTATTTTACCAGTGAAAAACACAGTTTGAGGAGCCAGTCAGTAAGCCAGGGTGGTAGAAGCTAGTGAGGTAGGCTCGGCCCTCGGGGGTAGGCGCTGGGGGAGCAGTTGTGGATCCCTCCGGTCTTGAAATAAATTAGGTTCCTAGATGAAGCTACCTAAAAAGAGAGATTCTGCCAGTCAAACGGGACGGATGAGGTACCTAAGGTACAGTACTACCTTACTACCTAGGTATTAAGGCAGCCCTGAGGGCTGCTTGAATAGGTAGGTTTAGCTATGTATATGAATATTATACAGCCGTGTGCAACCATGAGTCAGCTGTGTAATTTGCCCAATCAAGTTTAGCAATGTGTGTGGATAGTTTCCGCCATGTACTCTGTAGTCTGTACATGTAGCAGGACCCAATGGATCCACCTAACTACACATGAGCACTATCATATTTGTATAGGGTCCTACTCCGAAGCCTAAGGGGGGTAGGTTTTCATCTGTACAGTACCGCATAATATCTGTACAGGGCTCCTGATTGGAAATTACCTTTTGCATACAGTAGGTCACCTGATTTAGTCAGGTGACCGTAAAACCTCGGGAAGCTTTAGGGAGATGGGGAAACAGAAAATATTCTGGTTTACATACAGAGTACTAAATTGACGCCCTTTCTACGGAACACATCCTGTTTTGATGCCTAAAAGTGGTCTTTTTTTCGAGGGGCTACGATCCCTGCGGAAATGCTGGGGTCCTTTCAAATTTAATATTGGACGGGGCCTTCTGATTTATCCGTTAGGTAGCCGTTTGAAACGCATCTTTTCCCTACGATTCTACTTTGGAATTTGACAGGTAATCAGTATGGAAATGGGCTCCGGAGCGAATACGGGGGTAGGGGCAGAATAGGGAGGTCTCAAACTTTCTGCCGGTCACATGATAAGGCGGAGTATTATCAGAGGCTCTACATGAATAACGACACTGCATAATTAGGCGGACCCTAACTAATTGGTAGGTACCTTAGGTAGGTATTATTTTTATTTTAAACTTTTATTAAAAAAATTACAGGTAGTGTTTACTTACGTAGTAGGTACAGTATCTTGCTGGGAACTGAGAATATCTGACCAATGGGATCATGTGATGGACATCATCCCGTCCATTTGCGCTAGGTATTGTCATTGTCGCATTCGCTGCTCAGTAAGGTATCATTTTAAGTTCTTGAGATGACATCGATCGAACTGCTGGCAGTTGCTATATAGATAGATTCTACCCTCTTCTCTTAGCGATTTTGGTTGTACTCTCGCACTTTCATATTCTTCTCATGCCATTATATTCGTTCTTATCTGGTCTTTTATTACATCCAGGACAATGCCACCGCCATCGCTCCTGCAGCTTTGCACAACGACTGCTATTAGGAACGTGAAATGTCAGTTTAACCTCAGATTCCTCTTGCTTGGTATGGCTTCTAATTCGACCTGATTAGATTTAAACGACATTGGAAATGTTCCATATTCACTTGCTCGTCCCTTCCTCCTCAAGATCGAGAGCCCTGAGAAACTCGTGCGTCCTTAACAACACCCCTCGTATAATCAAGCCACTCATCTGACAAGTTGATCAATCTCTTTTGCAGAGATCCCTAGAATTATTGTCGCCGCACATCATGGAGGACGATGTTGAATTGTGGCATGAATTTATCAAACGGGATATACCAAGATGGGACGAATACGATCTCCCCGAGCAGTCCGATTGCTGGTACGATATATATTGCGACCTTCGGGAACGTGTTCAAAAGGCTGTGGAAGAGGACGCCGAAAAGCTCAAGATGGCCCTCGACGGAATCAACTCGGAACGTGCCAAACACAGCGCAAAGTTCGTTGACCGACGAAGTATTCCGCTTCCACGAGAGCGGCCAACCGCAAAGCAACGATATGCTTCCTTTGATCGGAAAATGGGAGGGATTACGCCGAAATTCTCGTCTCCAAGGAGTGGATTAGGTTCGTCCGATCCTGGGGGAGCCTCTGCCTGGTCCTATGACCGACCGTACGCTCCGCGAACGGACACAAAAAGAAAGAGCAATATCTTCAATGTGACAAAGAGGAACAGTGTTCTGGCCATACCGACCAAACAACTGAACAACAGAGCTACGCGGGTCAAACAAGCTCCTCGCGCATTAATTGAGGAGCACCGGCGGCCCGCGGAGCCTGCTGTCCCTCACCGTAAAGGTCCTCCGACCTTGATCGCACCAGGGCGGTTGAGGCCGTCAAGTACTCCAGCCTTTGGTGTCCAAGGCACCCCTGTTATGAGCGCATCACTGCGCGAAAGGGAAGCCAGGTTACGAGCGTTGACATCGGGGAAGCCATCAACCCCGTCAGCCTCGAAATCTCCTGAAAGCTCGTCGGCAACAGCTCGAGCGACCTTAAGAGCATCTTCATCCGCTGCTGCAAGCACAAGTTTGCGGAATTCCCAAGCATCAGTCCCGATAGCCGATAGGCCACTGGGAGCGAGGGAGGCAACTATCCCTGGGGAAGCTGGATCAGCGACTCCTGGGACTAACTACGACACCGACGACCCAAGGGCACTCGCAGCGCCTCCGCCGCGAGTAGTTATGCGGAAGAGACCTGCGCCGAGTGTTTTCATCCAGCCGAAGAAAAAGAAAGTCAATTGATGGCATGCGATTCTTGTGTCATATAGAAGAGCAAGATTCTTATAGCTGGTGCACGGTTAGTGCTACGAGACATAAGTATCTCATAGTTTCGACCCTCACGAAGCCATGTGGTACTATTTCCAGAACCATCCTGGCTGTGATTTGACCAGAACAATCGGTGCTACAGCGCTGAAGGGTAGCAGCTGAAGAGCTGAGCTTTTTACGGAGGGGGAATTGTCCTCCCTGATAGGTTTAGGAACGCTCGGCGCCCCCTAAGTCTGCGTCGCGAGCCAAGTCATGCCGCTTGATGGTGGGAACAACATAGTAGCGTGGGAATTATGCCACGATGCTGTTTTCTCACGGCATCATTAAGAACTCATAGTGGAATGACTGGCAATAGATACGACGCTTTGTTGCTATGGATCTTCTCATACAGGCCTCAGAAATGAGGCATGGGAATGACTGGCAGGTACAGCTCAAGACTGTCGAGGGTTGACCGACATACCAGGCGTTCCTGCGTCTTACCTGGTATCGCAAGGGCACCACCTTGAGCTGACCATTAGCATGGTACTAGCTCCGGTTTATTCTCTTAACGGGGGCCTGCTCTATTGTCCCTTCACTGAGAGGTTTCATGGATAGCAGATTTATCATTTGTATCCGGTGGGGCTTGGAGGGAAAAAGTACAATTAGCATGGGATGGTTCAACATGTTACCGTTCTTACAGCATGCATCCCTGGTGTGCTTCGGTTCGGACTTTGTACTCCACACTCATTTTATAGTTAGCCGGGACTGATGGACAGTCCATTTGTCCTTGAATATATAGGCGACGATGAGCCAGTTCATAATAAAGAAAGGGTATACTTTGATGATATTGTCATTACTGCGTTAATAGGTAGAAAAAGAACCGCCTAAGTCGAAGGTTGATATAGGAAAGCGCCTGACGCGACGGCCGGAAGCCAACTGAATGAAATATGCACGAGGTGTCCTTCCACTGCTCAACACGGCCAATAAATAGGGCCAATACCTGGCCGGCGCTTGTCACTCCCCGCACTTCAAGGTATGGTGCGGGCGTTCATTCCCCAAGCTCGATTGAAGTGTGATCGCAGACCAGTCCGCGATCTCCAGTCCACCATCCACGCTCAGTAAGCATCATGCCTTGATCGATCAACTCAATAGGGAAATTAAGCATCACAGCCGCCACGGAGGGCAAGGACGAGATGCAGCGTTGCGCCGCCTTCGAGGTTATATTCCGCGGCAGTCTTGTCGTCAGCCCTGTCTCGACGTGGATGATCAGAATATGGCAGCAGCCGCATGCTGGAGGCACGGTTCACGTACATTTGCTTTCCGCCGAAGATCAGGCGCTGTTGCACGGGGGGAATGCCCTCTTTCTCCTCGACGCGCTCCTTTATCCGGGACACCTGTGTGATTTTAGGTATTAGATCAGTCCTTTGAGCGCCGGTGCTTGGTTGTTGCCGGGGGGGTGTGGGACAGGCGATGATCGAAGGCCAAGGGCGTGAGGGAGCAGGGCCAAGGAGCATATTAGTGAGTTACCTTGTAATCAGGCTCGATGTCCAGCTCGATCTCCTTGCCAGTCAGGGTACGGACTCTGCAATGAACAGTTCATGGTCAGCCTAGGCTAGGTCTTTGGGTGATGAATCGAGATGTACTGATCTTCCTCGAAGAGGGATGTCACTTGAGGTCTTCACTCACTTGATCAACATTTTGAAGCCTTCACTGGAATGCAGAATCGATGCAGCAAACAGGCGATGACACGCTAACACGGGGGAGAGGCTATCGAGATGACCGTGGTTGACTGGAGATGATGGTGACGGAAGGCTTCGCCGTAGCGGGGTTATCGGTGGGGCAATTGTGGAAGGGTAAAGAGTCGGCCTACAGAGTACGAAGAGATAGAAAACACTGACTTCTACGGGGATAGTATCAAAATTGGTAGGAGAAGGTTTAAAAGAGGTAAATTATTGCTTTGTTTCTAACAGATATCAACCTTGGAGATATAGATGGAACTATCATAGCATTTATGCTTGCATGTTCAGGTTGGTCTGCAGGCACTAAAGGTTGATATATATCTCGGGCTATTTTTGGTAAACTGAGCCCCATACACCGTGTAGCTGATTCAATCTTTGTAAAGACGAGGAAAAAATGAATGTTCCAAAGATAACACCTGTTTCAAACCATAACCCCTTCGATGAACTGATATCTGATTGTCAAGACGATCCGGTAATTGTTCACAGGTTGATGTGATGCCATTGACACTTACACATGGATATAGGTCAAGATCCAACATCGATACGAAGCACACCGATCCACAAGAAACGCGCAGTCCAAAGCCACGCTTCTCAGCTCAAATTTTATTGGATGGCAGGTTGATGAAATCTTGAGCAAGCTACATGCACAGTCCTTTGGGCCAAGCAGCGAAGATGAGCTGCCATTCGTTGATCCCAGGAACAATCTCAACTTCTACGCGCGACCACCTCAGCATATCCAAAACCTGATCGCTGAAATCCAAGGCGAGATTCAAAGTGTTGTGCCCGGTAAGCAAAGCTGACCTCCTTCGGATGAGCAACCTGTTTAACTCTCGAGCAGGTATATGGCTTACACCTCCGGACTTCTTACACACGACTGTCTTGGAGATAGCCAGCTCACGAACACCGGTGGAGATCGAAGCCCTCGCCTCTCATATGCAGCAAAGTGGTGCTCTGGCGCGTCTGACTGACTATACCTTCCATCACCAGGCGCGGTTAGTCAAACCCATCGTCAGTTATGATGCCGCAGCGATGGCTCTGAGCTTCGTTCCGGCTGCTGGAGAGAAAACAGCATGGAAACGCAGCGCGGAGGATGATGACTACACATATCATCATCTGCGGCGGGATCTTTACGCGGTGGTCGCAGCTACGGGTGTACAATTGAAACCTAGGTATCTGGTTCCTTCGGCACATATCACGATTGCAAGATTCATCACACAGGATATATCGCATCTGGGATCGAGCATGACGAAGGAACAAGGTGTAAATCATGCGCAAGTCGCAGTATTACTCAATAAGATCGAGCAGATCAACAGGAAGGTGCAAACAATGTATTGGCCTCGAGAGGATCAGAGTATCCTGTCCAATGCGGAATGGGTGGTAGGGGAAGAAACAGGGTTAGAGTTCTGTAAAGGTCCGTGCTGGTATGGGGAGGGAGAAAAAGTGCTTGTTGGGAAAGCAATTGAGCGAGGAGATTGATCTCAGGAACGCAGAAAAGAAAAACCATCGCAATTAGACTGTCTGATGCAAGATCAATAATAACGTTGATGTTGATATGATGATGCCAACGGAAAAGATGCCTGGGGCAGCAGCGCGGTCTTGGCACAGAGTCCCCGAAGCGGTTAGTGCGCACCCGAAATAGGGCCCTAAGCGAACGAAATCCCACAACCCACGTCCAGTCCGACTCGCTCCTCTCCGACAAGAGACTATCCAACGACCACCAATTTCGCGATCCGGCCAAGTCAGTCAAAATGGTAAGGACTCATTTGCGTTTTCACTGCTCACATACTGCTTTCCTCCTGGAGATTCGGAGAATTTCTGTCGAAAACTCGATACTTGGCGATAAAAACGAGATATTGCGGTCGGGACTACGAACGGAGAACATGCGGGTAAAGGGGACAATTTTTTTTATGGGAAATGTCGTCGATCGCACATCGAGATAAAATATCCTCGAAGCAAGAAGGAACAAAAGAAAGAAATATTGTTGAGCAAAGAGATGGACTGATTCGACATGAGCCGAAAATAACACCAACCTTCAAGAAGCGAAAAGGCCGAATGCGCCAGAAGAGCTCGACGTTATCCACAAATCTCGTTTGGTCAGGAAGGACTTGATATGTCCCTCGACACGATCCAGTATCCAGTTCTGCGACAGAAATCTCTCCGATGACCAGGAAGGGGAAAATGCAGCATAGCTTTGTCGAGTCTTAGCAACAGTTGCTGATATATCTGCGCCCATCAGGTCAACATTCCCAAAACCCGCCGGACGTACTGCAAGTCCAAGGCGTGCCACAAGCACACCCAGCACAAGGTCACCCAGTACAAGGCTGGCAAGGTGAATACCACCCAGGAACACTGAGAGTTGGGTTGGCGCAGGCACTGATGTGGATATAATTCATAGGCCTCCCTGTTCGCCCAGGGTAAGCGTCGTTATGATCGCAAGCAGAGCGGTTATGGTGGTCAGACCAAGCCTGTCTTCCACAAGAAGGCTAAGACCACCAAGAAGGTCGTCCTGCGTCTGGAGTGCACTGCCTGCAAGGCCAAGAAGCAGCTCGCTCTGAAGCGCTGCAAGCACTTCGAGCTTGGGTACGTTCCTCCCGCGGCGTTGTCACTACCAGTGTATATCGGCCTACTAACATTCGACTTCTTCCGTATAGTGGTGACAAGAAGACCAAGGGTGCTGCTCTTGTTTTCTAAATTTGCGATTTCCTTGTTCGGCTCTGGGTTTCGTGCATTGCAGACCGGTCTAATACTCCGGCGGAGGGCATATGACATTGGCAATGGAAAAAATGAAATAGGATCTCATATTCACAAAAATGAAAATATGACTCCTAGATTATGAGTCTCTTCACGAATTATCCCAGTGTTTACTGCGTAGATCAGCCTAGTGCCTGTGCCATCTCTTGTTTGGTATACCTCTTGCTGATAGCTGCCTATTGTCCCTGCGTCCATGGCCATTGCAGCATTAAGGTCCGTATAGGATGAAATCCACTGCATCGTCATGTGACTTGACACTCGCACTCGTTAGCGATTGCAGCTTCGTCGGTCTCTTAGCCAGCGCTAGATGGGCATCATACTTTACTCCTCGAGAACTGGCGTCCTCAGTGCTGTTTCCTTCTTCCGCGCCTCATACCAATTCCAGCATCGGTTCGTCTGGGACATATAAAATACTTCACGCAGCAAAAAGCGAACACCTCAGCTTCGGATCTGACCCCGCAGCCTCGGTGTAGACAGTGCCGAATAGCGCTCCTCAATAGCGACAAGATCGAACAATGTTTCCTCTAGCACTGTGCCTTGGAAGTTACGAGTCTTCCTCGTGAAGTTGTCCGGATTGGGACAAGCATGATTGTCCGTCTCTTAGACTAATCATCACCAGGACTTGACTACTTTCATCGGCTTTGGCTTCTGTGCTCTATAATCTCCACATTCCGCAGCTCAACTCCCTTCATACATGTTCATGCACTCTGATGGCATGGCTGTATGGCTTTCTCATTCATGATCGACCTCTCTATCGCTGGATCGGTTCTTCACTGACCCAATAGTACACCCATGGCCTAGGAGATGCGGTGTAGATATCAAGTAGATGGACCGACCCCCACGAAGCCAAGTCTCCCCACATCCTTTATTATGGCTCAACTCTGAGAAGAGGAGCCTTAAATGGCCAAGCCATCCTCTGATATCACTATTCATCATGTTACCCCGGATTTAGCGACCCCATGGGGGGAAGTGATGTTGCTACGCTCGGCCATTCTCCGAGTGGCCTATAGAGCAGCGATCTGATGGTTACACACCCTCGGCTTGCTGCCGGATAGCACCGCCTATCTATTGCCATATTGGACGCTGGATGGGGCCGACATATAAAATGCCGATGGGTGCGGAGGAATCTGCATGATCTCCTAATGCTGACAGCTCTGTTGTCCTTCATCCAACCCCTTCGAACATCCCTTGAGAACAGGGTGACTTGGCTGGTTCACGATGGCGGGCTGGTATACTTTGAGTATTGCCCTTTTTGCGGCTATCGGCACATTTCTCTTTGTACGACCAAGTTCTGTTGCAGGATGACCATGTGCTGATCTTCGTGGGTAGGGATTCGATACCGGAATTGCAACGACAAGTAAGGATGGGGGGGGGGGTTATGGGGGACTTTTGGCATGGGACTGACCATCTGATTAATAGCTATCGCCCATGAAAGCTGGAAACAGTATATGGGCCACCCTTCGGCTGGTCTTACCGGAGCAGTACGCTAGACATTCCACAAAGGATCAAATTGGTACTGACACGGGTAGGTTGTTGCCGTGTACATTGCCGGCGAGGCAGTCGGTGCCCTGACGCAGACCGCTATTGGCGACAGGCTTGGCCGTCTTCGATTCATGGGGCTGATGTGTGTGATTGTCACAATTGGAACCACGATCCAGACCGCGTCGATCAACATCGGCATGTTTTTGGCAGGTCGAGCCCTGGCTGGCTATGCTGTTGGGTAAGTATAGCTCGCATTGAGTCCGGACTTGGGCATTCCACTAATCCTTTGTCTCAGCGGAATGGTTGCCACTGTACCCATCTACCTCAGCGAGATCTCCGACCCCCGGTATCGTGGTCTGATCGGTGGTATTTCAGGTTGCGGCATCTCGTTCGGCACCATGGCTTCAAACTGGGTGGGATATGCCTGCAGCTATGCACCGTATGGTGCCGTGCAATGGCGGCTACCGCTCGCCATTCAGATCCCGTGGGGTATCATTATGTTCGGAGGATTGGCCACATTCATGCCCAACTCGCCGCGGCACCTGATCAGGAACGGCAAGATCGAGCAAGCGCGCAACGAGTTCGCGAAAATACGCCGCGATCTGCATTCAGACGAGGTGCATCGGGAGTTTGAGCTCATGCTTGCACAGATTAAGTACGAGAAGGAGCGTGAGATCACGTCCTACCGGGAGATCTGGCGGTTGTTCCGGCGCCGGGTGATGGTGTAAGTCACCGTTGGGAGGGCCCTAGGTTCATGGCTAATGGAGATAGATCGGTCGCGGTGCAGACTATGACCAGTCTAACTGGCGTGAATGTCATTCAGGTACGTACCCAGACTTGTCCATCACCCATCCCATTCACCAACTAACTCAACGACACTCTCCAGTACTATCAAAGTAAGTCATACCGAGGAAATTCCCAGGGATCTCCTCACATACTCACCAGCCCAGCAATCCTATACAAATCCCTCGGCATCGATTCGCACACTATTCTTGCCCTGGCCGCCGTCTACGGCACCATCGCTTTTCTCACCAACTGCCTCACGACAAAGTACCTGACCGATCAATGGGGTCGTAGAAAGTGCGTCTTTCCCTTAATCATCGCCTTCGAATCTATTCTACCTGAACTAACCTACTACAACAGAATGATGCTCACTGGCCTCGGCGGCATCATCGTCATCGAAATCTACGCCGCGGTCATGCAGCGTCTGTTCCAGAACACAGACAATCGCATCGGAAAAGGCTTCGCCATCCTCGGCATCTATCTCTTTGTCGTCACGTACTGTACGTTCTCTTCTTCTCCATTCTACCACGCCACGTCTCCCACCCACTGACAGAACGGCGTAGACGGCATGCTCAACAGCACGACCTGGCTCTACGGCGCCGAAGTCCTCCCCATCGCCCTGAGAAGCAAAATCATGGGCCTGGCAGCGGCGTCGCATTTTATCGTGAACGTTGCGAGTTGAGTCACTCCGAACCAATCTCCCAAACAATCCTGCTCCCAGGCCAAGGGGGACAAAAGGGGAAAGAAATTCTAATGCCGCAAAATTGAATAGTTACCGAAGCCGGACCAAGCGCCTTTGCGAATATCCATGAGAACTACTACTACGTCTTCGTGGCGTGTACGCTGTTCTTCCTGGTCGTGGCGTACTTTTATTTCCCGTGAGTCTTGCCTGTCCTATCTAGTTAGAGGCGGTGTGGGTTAGACTGATGAAATGCGCGCAGTGAGACGAAACAGAAGACCCTCGAGGAGATTGCCGCGTCGTTCGGTGACAAGGTCATTTTACCTGAGGACCGGGTCGATGAGGAAGACGACGACGAGGATGATGATGATGATGATGATCTGAAGGCGAAGCCGAGTTCGCAGCAGGTGGAGGTGGCTGTGGGAAAGGCTACGGTTTGAAGATTGAATGGTTTGATGAGTTATGGTAATTTGATATGGATATGATGACTATGGACATGGGATTTGAATAGCGAGGAATAGGCTATCGTTCAACACATGCCGATCTAATGAAGTTCACCGAGATTACTCAGGAACGAGTGCTTGAATTCACAGTGTGACGGATGACGACTCTGTGAGTCACTTTAATGCGATCCCTTGACTGTATCTGGTCTTTAATACATGTCCGCATCCCGTTTTCTGCCATTAACAAGGCCCCTAGAAAGTATCCTCGTACCCCCGTCCCATGACTGCGGAGGATAGACAGCAATGACGTATACCACGCACTGGGACAGTTAGGGCGACGCCTCAATAGGCCCATGCAGGCGTTCCTGGTCGCACTAGCTGCCTAGCAGGTAGCGTAGTTCGAAGACATTCTCTCCCAGCATCCCCAGCCTAGAGTAATCTGCACGAACCACCGAGTTCTGCAAGATAGACCTGCGCCCGTTGTTATCTCCCTCGCCCTCACGCACAGTGGAGGCATCTGGGCAAATAAGATATTTCGTGAATCAGCACGCACACATGCATGTCCCCTCACCCCAGACCATGCTGCTGCGGACCGTATGTCACCTGGGTCAAGACATCCCATCCGTTCCAGGGGACGGAGAGCGGATAGAGCCAGTTCTGCGGGTGGAGCTGGGCAAGTAGGGGCTCCATGGCGAATTCTGTTGGGGATCGGGGGTGGGCGTAGCCCGGGAGCGGAGTCGGGCTTACACTCACGCTCGCACGTGGGGAGACGCTGGCGTCGGCGCCTGGAGTTGGGATCTGGTGGTGGTGGTGGTGGTGGTGGTGGTTGATATTGCGGGAGGAGACGGCGTCTCTGGGGTGTTTCGGTTAGTTTCAGGAAGGGTAGGGGAAACGATAAGCATAAGGGGAATAAGGATGGATTTTTGAGACGTACAAGATCCGTCGCAGGACGGGCACCGCTTTACTGCAGAAATTGCTGCGGTTGGACAGCGCGGCGAAGACGTCTAGGGATTCGCGGAGGAGGTCTTTGACCTCGGAGAACTCGAACTGGCTTTCCGGAGCCATCATGATGATGATGCACAAGGTGACGGCTGCGTGGAAGGCGTGGAAGCTGCCTAGGCCGCTGTTGTACCATTTGTAAGCGGTGAAACTGGGTGACTCGAACATGGACTTGTGGATTGCCAGGGATGCCTTGGCGGAGGTTACGCATTTGGCCTTGGCGGCGCAAGTCTCTGGGTTGATTTCGCCGCGCAGGTGGCGGCAAAGGGCCGGCCGTAGGAGGAGCAGGAACTGCTGGTGGATGTGGTTGTAGAGAATGTTCAGGTTGGCTTGATGATGTGCCGGCAGGGGCTCTGCGCTCAGGTCCAGGTGGTATCGTTTATCGCACACCTCGTGGACGGCGAGTAGCTCGGCCTCGAGCTGGGGGACGGTAAGCCGGGCGGGGAATGTAAACAAAGTCTCGCAGATGAGGAAGGCTACTTTGTATAAACGGATTTGTAACAGGAGATATGTCATCTGGGTGGGACCAGTCACCGGTTCTGAGACCGTGCCTGTCAGAAGATTGACGTCGTTTACATCCAAGGGCAGCCTCACATCCTGGGCGAGAATGCGCCGGTCAAGATATCCGAAGAAAGAATTCTGAATGGTGTACAGCATTGTGAGGCTAGCCCAGGCACGTCTGCGCTCCTCCCGTTCGATTGGTCCGAGTGCGAACCGCTCAGGGTCAACGTGGCAGCCCATCGCGATTGCCACATGGTGAGTGAAGCCCAGAAAGGTCCATGTCGGCAGCCCACGATGAAGCCGGGCGTAGCTGAGCAAGACGAGACTTTGAAGTGAGTTGATAGAGTGCCGAGACATGATATTATCGGCCGCCAAGCAGCGCAAGGCGGCAGAACGGTAACGGGCCGACAGCACTTTTATATTGCGACTGACTGTCTTCTCACGACCGAGATCAGAAAGGAGAGGGTCGTTGTCATCGAGTGCAGTGACGGCGATTCCGAGAATGGTGAAGAGCAGCGCAATCCATGCTACGGTCACACTGGATGGGTCATGGCGAAATTGTTGATACTCCGCCTCGAACGTGAGATCGTGAAGGATATGAAACATCTGAAGACAATTAGCTGGGTTCCTGGAGGCCAGAACAGTCGGAAAGACCCACCGGAGAGAAGACTTTGAAATAGACTTGCTTGAGTGCGTCGCAATATCGACCGGGGGGGAGAGCCGCCAGCAGTTCATCCCTCGAGGTAGATCCACTCTTGACCAGTGGAATTTGTAAATCGTCATCATCCTCTGGGACTTCTGAATCGATGTTCTGCAAAGTTTCGGTATTAGAACCTGTAACTAATACCGAGCTCCAATGCGGCGCCACTGGCAGATACCGCACATAGCCCGATGCGAACGTCTGGAGGGTGCCAACATTGCCCATGACTGCGCTACTTGACGAGTGGAAGAAACCCGAGCCCGGACCAGTATCTGGCTCGAGAAAGCTACTTGTCGCAGCGGGGGAAGCCCGCGAGGATAGAGAATCGCTGCCTGGGGTTTCGGAGTGCAACCCCATTTGCCTCTGGAGCACATCTTCCAGATTGCGGATACGGGCGAGCAACTCGTTTTGCACGGTCAGATCTGCGGCAGGGTGTTCGAAGGATAGTCTAGGCTGGCCCAGGTATATGCAGTCTTCTGCACCCAAACCTCGGCGAACACATGTCTGGCATGGTCGTCCGTCGCGCGAGCAGCGAATCTTCCGTGATCTGCAAGCTTGACAGCTGATCGGCAACCGCTTTGCTCCTACACGAATTGGCGTTGTCATGATTGAACTGGGAAAGGAAAGTTAGAGAGAAGGTGGGGATGAAGCAACAGACGGGCGAGGGGGTAGAACCGTAGAAGAGATGGACCAAGAGCTCTGTCACAGCCAGACGCCCATGCCTTTTTGGGTAGGAGGTTTTAGCCACGTGGTGGGTCAATGATGATGCTGTTAGGAGTTAAGAGCTAAGACAGTGATGGTGCTAGGTGTCAAAATGGATCCGGCTCTGTACACGATATGTCAAAAGTCAAAACTCAAAGGGGGTGCCATGATCCGTGGGGGAGGATATGATCCTTTTTAAAGATCGAGGCCCTTCTATTGATCCTGGCGATCAACAAGTCTTGACAGGGGTATTGAGGACTGGAAAGTGGCTTTTGTTTTTGTCGTCTGCTCAGTTGCTGTATTTGATAGCCATGGTAGGCTTGCCATTAAAGGAACGTGGTCCGGAACCCCAGGTTGCGTGCCCGTTGCGATCTAGCGCATTCCCGAACTGCAGGGTGAAATCTCATCCTCTTCTCGATCTCTGGACCTTACATTTGCTTTGAACTTGCCTCTTGTGCTGCGTCCATTCGGAAGATCGAACTCAACGAGCTATCTGGCGGCATGGGGGATGGCTTCTAGAAGCGCATTGCCTTGTAGTTAGTATCTAGATAGCTACCCTGAGTGCTGGCCGATAGTCTGCATAACAATCTCTTAAAGTTTGTCATGCAGCAGCGGACAAGCAAACGTATGCCAATAAGATGGGAGTGCGACTGTGCGATCTGCGAGTGGATCTATGTAAAGGGGTTGATGGCGAAATGGGAACGAGATAGGCAATCTCCAAAAGGGTCGAAGTCAATCACTTACACATTCATTTAGTCAAGTTACGAATGGCTCGCTACTTGCTAGAAGGATCCAGGGTCAATTTTGCCATGTTAATTGGCACTGATTCCCAGCGGGGTGGAGTTAGGGCTGGAGTACCATAGTTTGTAGTCAGTCCAAGGTACTACTCCGGAGTACGTGCTCCTCGTGGCAGTGGAACATACAACCCACTGACCGGAGCTAGTTTTCAATGCCATGGAGCTGGAATCCAGGGAAGAGGCGTGGTTCAAGATCAGCCATAGTGCACTTGTCACTTGCCATGATTGTGGGGTTTTCGGCATCCGCCTACAACACGGCGGAAGAGTCCGTTCTAGGGTGTTCAACGCCCCTTGCCTGTGGGCTGTAATATAGCAATAAGCCTGCACTCGGATATTGATGTCAGGAATGCAAGTGCGCCATTATGAAGCGTACTTCGTAATGCCTGAGACATCCGAGTTCATCTGACGGACCGGAGAATCAGCATCTTGCTGCCATGATGGCGTACGATCTCTGCAAGGGCCACTTCCGCAGTATCGACTATCGGTTACCCTTTTTGTTATCCTGCAGATAACAACCTTATTGTTTTGCCGCCCATCAGGCTGAGCTGTGCTCGGACCGCTACAACCATGGACAGGACTTCACCGTGAATGACAGTTTCAGAAAAGAATGTCTTGCAGGGGACCAGGTCTATGGATCAAGATCTCGTGTGGTCTGGGTGATTGGATTTGGGTGGGCCAAGTAATCGGAAGTGCGGGTGCCATCTTGAGACTGGAATCCACTTGGTGGTGCTCAGGCCGCAAGGAGCCAAGATCAAATCTTTCCAAATATGTTGTTTCGTTCAAAACTTGGGTCCACAATCAAACAACCTGAACCTGTACTTGAGAGAGTCTTGTTTGGGTATCGGACTATCAGCTCAGGTGGGAAGGTGTTTCATAAGGGATTACTGGGTGATCACAAAATAATATTAGTCAACAGCTACAGGGATAGGAAAAAAAAAAGAAAACAATCGTTAGAGAAGGCTGAATATTGGAGGATACCTATTTAGGAGTGTGTCGCTCAAGTTTCAATGTACTTGCAGAACAGAGGACACACGGATAGACCGGGGCCAACGATGCACATGCCCATGCCGATGGACGTTCTGGAAGAATGTTGGTGGCAAAAACCGACTTCTTCTAGAAAGATCAATAGTGACTAGTAGTAGTGAGACGAAAGTCTGCATGTTTCGAGAAATCGTGGTCTGCTGAGAACGCCCTGTGTGGCAACGAGGAACGGACAGTCGGACTCAACACAGCACCCCAGCGGCCCGACATCACATTGTATGATTGTACGATAGTTGGTAAAATTCCTTGGTTCAGCATTATTGAATAGGAATATGGCCTATAACAAGAGTCATCAGATGAAAGATGATGAAGGATGATTTGGGCGTTGGTTGTTGAGAAGCCGAGGAGAAACAAACTGCCAACTGGTGTCAAAATCCAGATAGGAGGCTGATTGCCGAATTTGGCAGTGCGGGTGACCTCCAGGTTAATCCTCACAGTTTGCACCATAGAATTTGATATTGCCATGAACTATCATGAATCCCCAGAAAGAGTGAAGGATGAGGCTATCGAATGGGGCCTGGAAGATCGACTGATCGAGTCTAGAAATTATATTGAGTATGGAAGAATTTTCTGTTACTTTGTGGATAGGCTAGAGGTAATCACCCCCTTCCAGCACATGATACCACTCTGCAAAATTTTCATCTCAACCACAGATCTGTCCACATTCCATATTAAATTATTCCATGAAAACATATCTAAAATAGATTATAAGTAGTAAATTATATGCAATAAAGCACTGCTAATATTTATATCTAGAAAATAATAATGATACTACTGAAAATTTAGAAGAAATTTAATTTAATGTACCTATAATACTACTATATCTTATAAGCCTACTGCATATTACCCCCCCCCTTCTACCACTATCTTTGCTACCTATATGGGTAAGGGAGATTCCAGAAACATAAGTATATAATCTAGAGAGCCTACTTTTTATATTATTACTGCTTTCTTCCCTATCTTTAATACTTATAGGAGAATTAGAGGTAGAATATAGTAAAAATAAGAGAGAGCTACCTCTTCTACCCCCTCTAGCTGTTTACCTGGAGAAAGTAATTAAGGCTATAAATTAATATAAATTTTAGTTAATTTATGAAGTAGCTTATATATACAGAATTAACTACTATACTCTATACCATTAGGTGAAAGACATATAGCAGCCATAATCTAAGGCTTTTTAATAATTCTAGAAGCTAGATAAAATCTAAGAGGAGGTTCTCTATAATTAGATTATATATTAGATAGAATCTAGCTTCCCTCTAAGCTATAAGATGCTTAGGGACACTATAAATCTTCTATATAAGTAGAATTACTAATAATTAAGTATTAAATTTAAGCTAGTTAGCATGCACTAGCATGTAAAATTCTTTAAATACTATTATAAATTTAAGTAGATATAAGAATCTTTTCTAGATAAGAAATATATACTTTAGGTATAGCCTTAGATTATTTTACTTTTTATTAAGCTCTTCAAGCATATGATAAAGAAATATTATATCTTCTATAAAGATATCTAGAATGTGGATAAGAAGGGATTCTATATAGGTATTTTATACTATAAAAAGAAGGTAATTATATATTAAAGCTATCTCTATATATAGTAGTGCTATACTACTAGCTTAGATAATTAAGAATAGGCTACTATTCTAGAATACTATAGTATAAATAAGAAGTATCTCTCACTATATATTATCTTTAAAGAGAAGCAGATCTATACAGGCTAGCTACTTTATTTTATAGATTCTAATATATAGATTAGTGTTTTTTTAAAGGGATATAGTAATAGGCAGCATGCTATTAAATAGCTTTAATATATCTTTATTCCCTAGATAAATATAAGCTAGGTAACACATACAGGGAAGAAGATAGATTAGCTATTATAGCTACTGCTAATTAATAGGTATAAATCTCATCTTTTATTTAGATTTATATAGATCTATTAGGATAATTAGATCATCCTAATCTATATATTACTATATATATCTTATTTACTTTAATCACTAGATCTATATATATTTAGCCTACTATCTTATGCCTATTTAACAGAAGTTAGGAAGCACCTATATATTAGCCAGGTAAATATTATAAAGGAAGACTTTTTAGATAGCCTCTTTACTACCTAGAATGCTTTAATAACATCTACCTAGATCTCTATAGGCTAGAGAACCTCAGGTCTCTAGCTAATTAACCTAAAAATAGTGATAAAGCATATAAAATAGGCTCTAGAAGAGGTAGATACTACTTCTCTATCTCTAGAGCTAGTTATCTCTACCCTTAGCTTTGAAACCCCTATATCAGAAGAAGAATACCTCTCCTATTTTTAGTAGATATAGCAGGCATTACCTACTACCTTACTAAAATATAAGAAGCATCTTACTTATCTACTTATTAGTAAGTTAAATAGCATTACCCTTCTTTAGAATAGCTATCATAATCTACTCAGTACTACTATTACCTTAAAGAATTAATACTTACAGCACTCTAAAGAGAAGTTTAAGCTATCTCTAGGCTATATCTATAGCCTAGATAAGGCCCTAAAGGCCTATGAGGCCTGGGAGTTAAAGAAGAAGGAGAAAGATAAGAAAGTAAAGGCTATAGAGATCTAGAAACTAAAGTAGGAGTAGAAGAAGAAGGAGAAAAAAGAATAGAAGTAAGAGACTTAGGCTACTTAAAATTCTATAATAAATATACTAAAAATAAAGACTTTATAGTCTTCTCTACCTACTCTGCTATCTAACTACCCTTCCTATCTATCTTTAATACTAGCTCTACTAGCTCTACTATAGATGCTACTGCTGCAGATGCCTCCACCATAGTAATTAGCTAGCTATATTATTAATTACTTCTCTCAGTAGGAGGAAGAGATGATAGTATTCATAGAGATTAACTAAAAGTATCTCTTTGAAGCAGAAGGAGGCTCTTAATCTATAGTTAATCTAGAGAGATATTTATATATCTAGACTCTATGCTAGCTAGCACTATATCCACTAGCTAGTTCTCCTTATTTAACTCTGGATCTAGATAGGTATTTATATGCTCCTACCCCCTAGTAGCTCCCACTGCTCACTATGCCAGTAAATCTAGTGAATCCAGTAAATCCAGTAAATCTAGACCATATAAATAGCTTCACTTTTATGCTAGATAATAAGATATAGATTAAGAAAGAGTAGGTAGATAAGGCTCTATAGATACCTTCTCACCTGGCTAAAAAATACTATCAGAACATGTTAGAAAAATTAGATATTAATCCAGACTTTTAGTATATCTAAATATGTATATTTATGTTTTTATTTACTAGGTAATCCAACTAAATTAATAATATTGATGGACTTGATATGAAATGCAAGGAGTAAAGATATATATTTTAATGTTGAGATGAAAATTTTGCAGAGTGGTATCATGTGCCGGAAGGGGGTGATTACCTCTAGTGGTTCTTCAGTACTGACGATAGTATGGACGGACTATCTATTATTTAGTATATACATTAGATCTTGATCGACTTTGGGATAGATGCACATCAATATTAATCCAGCTGAGCTTCTGTAGTCTTTAGTCTTTACAAGTCGAGAACAATAGAGATTAGAGAGCCATGTTCTGGTAGACCCAAAACCACAAAGGAATCGCCCATGGTTGAGACTCAGGTACATCCATCCCATCAGGTATATATATGAGCATCCATGGATGAATTATTTTGATTGATACAATATTATAGTAGACAACTGCTCTTGAACTGTCAACAAAGGATATGAAGCCTCGAATGAAACACAGCAGAATGAGGCTCCGGAAAAAAAAACCAAGACAGATCTTCATCGACAATGCCCAGAAGGAGCCTCAACATGGGACAAGGAGCAGGCGGATGGTCTCGGGCGCAAAATCTGAGCCACTTTTCTTTGTCCATCATGAAGTCATGATTATTATGGGACCTATTGGGTATTTTGGTGCGGGAGCGAGGACACTTGGAGACGATTGATGGTTGATATAAATACCGGCAACTCGATGATGCCTGCACGAAATAAGTGTGTATGATTGATCGTTGCAAGAGTATCGTCAACGAAACTACTCGGAGATCTGCTGATTATTAAGTGTCACGTCGTCTCGTCTTCGTGTTGAGCAAACGAGAATAAGAATATTAAGGCAACAAGGTCAGTAACAATTCCCTTCTCTTCATCTTTTTCATCTCTCTCTCTCTCTTCATCTCTTGCTTCATCTTTTGCTTCATCTTTTCATCAAATAATACTCCCCAGAAACAATCCTCTTGCTACCACTTAACACTGTCATCATCCTCGTCATTACCCTCTATCAAATCATCTGTTTGAAGAGTGTCCCATCCTTGCAGAGCGGCTCTCGGTGTCCTGTCAATTCCTGTCAATTCCTGTCGCCTGCATCTTCTTTGTGATTCCGTCAGCCTTGCCTAAGCATAACTGAACGACTTAGACTCTTAGTACTTGCATTTGACACAGCCTGATTGATCGTCTTCTCGCATAATCTTCTATCCCACCCCACTTCCTTCTTCGCCCCTCTCTCTATCTCTCTCTCTCTCGCTTTTCCAGGCACTTCCATAATCGCTACTGATCCATCTCGTTGTTTTTTTTTTTTTTTTTTTTTTTTAATTTCCCCCTTCTTTTCAAACCTCCCCATCTTCAACTCTCTGTCTCGTACCTTATCGTTTTAAAAACCCACCAGCACTCATGTCGTCTTACATGTACAGAGAACGCGAACGGGATCGAGACTGGGATGAGCCTCGATCCTCCACCGTCTCAATCAAGCGTTACGTCATTCCATCAGAGGAGGAGCGGGAGCGTGATCTGATCTTCCGCCGCGAAGACTCCATCGCCGGTGATCGAGAATTGGTCATCCGCCGCTCAACAGAGCGAGAAGAACCCGTCATGGTACAGCGCTATGAGCGAGAAATCGATTATGACTCGCGTCCGTACGACTATCGCTCCGAAAGAGATTATTACGAACGTGAGTACCCCTCTTGCTCCACACGACCCTGTCCAGTCCAGCTGATACTAATCTGTGAAGCGCGAGGCCCCCTGACTGTATACCCCCATGAGCCCGACTATGCGGTCGTTCACCGCTCCGAGGTCGAACGGGAGCCGGCTTACTACTATCATCGCCGGGTTCGCGAGTATGACGATGACCGCCGCCTTCGCCGCGAACTCAGCCCTGGTGACTCGGTCTCCCAGGCCAGTCGCCGCAGGGACGACCAAGAAGAGTACAGCAGTGATGACAGCATAGTCCACATCCGCAAAGAAGTCCGCGAGTACGATGACCACCCCCATCATCGACGCCACCTAGCGGAAGGTGCTCTTGTCGGGCTCGGTGCAGCGGAACTGCTTCGCAACCACCGGAAGAAGGAAGGAGAAGAGGTGTCAAGTGGCCTCGGCCGTGTCGGAAAGGATCTGGGTGCTGGGGCCCTAGGCGCTGTCGCGGTGAGTGCTGCCTCACGCGCCAGGGAGTACTATCGCAGCAAGAGTCGTCGTCGATCTCACTCGTACGATGATGACCGCAGCTCCCGCCATCGTCACCAGCATTATCACCATAGCCACAGTCGTAGTGGTCGCAGCCGCAGCCGCTCTCACTCCCACTCGCGTGCGAAGACTTTGGCCGAGATCGGCCTGGGCGCCGCTGCCATTGCCGGTGCGGTGGCCCTGGCGCGGAAAAAGTCGAAGAACGACCGACGGAGTCGCTCGCGCCATCGTCGCGCCTCCAGCTCCTCTCGGCCGGAAAAGGATGCAAAGAGTGAGAAAGGCAGCCAGTCTCGCATGCGAAAGCACATGGCCGAAGCAGGCTTGGCCGGAGCCGCAGTGGCCGGACTGGTGGAAAGGGCTCGCAGCCGCTCCCGCTCCCGCAAGGGTTCTCGGTCTCACAGTCGGCTCAGGCACGCACTCCCCGTAGTTGCTGCCGGCCTGGGTACCGCCGTCGCCACTGGGCTGTACGAGAAGCACAAGATGAAAGAGGGAGAAGAAGGGAAGCACCGCGAGAGACGCCGAGCCCGTTCCCGAAGCCGGGCACCGTCCGAAATCTACCCCGATCCTAACCGTGACTCGGCCGGTTTGATTGAATACGGAGACCACCCCGTGGCCGGAAGCATTCCTTCAGCACATTACTACGGCCGTCCCGCTAGCCAGCAGGGATACTACCACTCGGATGCGTCTGATTCAGCCGCCCGGCGGGGTCGTGGCCGTAGCCATAGCCGTACCCGCAGTCGAGGCGGTAGATACAGCTCGAGCCCGTCCGACTCTGATCGGGACGGTTCCAGGCGACGAAGCCGCCACCGCAAGCATCGCAGTCGCTCCCGTGAAATTGCCGAGGCTGCCCTGGCCGCTACAGGCGTTGGCTATGCCGCTCACAAGCTCAAGCAGCATAGGGATCACAAGAAGGAAGAGAGAGAGCGGTCAAGTAAGATGCACTACCCCCTAAAAACCTGCAAACATTGGACTGAGGGGAGAAGACTAACGTTGACTGACAGAATATGAGGATGATTCATTCTCAGAACCGCCGTACCCGCCGTCGCCTCTACCTCCAGCCCAGCAACCTGCCGAGACTCAATTCTATCCCAACACCAACTACTTCCCTCCGCCTCCGGGTCCAACCCCTGTTCCGATTGCCAATAACATGCCGTACAACCCGGCCGACTACCCACCCCCGCCAGGAGCGGTCCCTCCAGCGCAAGGGTACGGCTATCCTCCTGAATCAGGGCCGAATCGATATGCACCTCGGCCCCGGAGGGCAGATGAGAATGTGAGTGCTGCATGGAACTCTTCCCCTCCCACTGCCCAATATCCCATGCAACATGGTGGGTTCAGGGAAAAGCACCCAAACCCTCCGGCCCCAGGACCATACTTACCACATCGATGCAGGTGTAGATGAACCTCCATCCCCTCTGAGGACACCGCGTGCCGACACCGCGCGCCGCGCACGTGCAGTAAGCCAACCTGCGCATCCCAAATCCGTCGCCTTCGACCTCATCCCCGACGCGATCTCCATCCCCAGCAGTTCCGATACCCACCCCATCGACCCCGGCTACGAGACAGATGACAGCGACTCGACCATTGAGTCGTCAATTGCTCGTCACCACAGGGACCGCGGCTCCCACCGACGCCGCCATTCCTCCTCCTATCCCTCCTCCTCTTCCTCCACAAGAAGATCGCACCACAAACCCACCCCGTCTCACCCCAGCCATCACACCACCAAACACCAAGAGTCGGACTCGGACTCCACCATCGACCTGCCGGCCCGGTTCGACGCACAGGGCCGCCTACTCCCGGAGCGCGGTCACGACGATCTGCCTGACCCGCTGGCAGACCGGGTGGAGAGATTGCTCCGTGGGATCAACCGGGTGTTTGCCTAGATCATTTTTTCCCGTTTTTGAAATGATTGATTGATGATTTCCCCTGAATTCTTCTTCTTTTGGTTTCTGCTTTTGCTTTTTTGATGCTACGTGATGAATGGACACACCCATGACTGACCTATTATGATTGATGTGGATGGATATGATATGACCTAATAATGACCATGACCCCTGCGCATGCCTGACCTTCCGATGTGATTTATTTAACTACATGAGAAACAATGATGAATAGCTGCAAAGTATCCAAGGGTCCAACTGGTATCATGACAGTCGAACACAAAAGGTAGTCTGTACTGAATATGTTACTGACGGATTATGTACACACATACACACATGGACGTGGACCTGTCTGTTCGCTCCAGCCGAGATAAGCAACAGAAACAGAAGAAGCCAGTAGATGGCCAATCAACCCTGGATCCATCCTGGCCAGTTTCTAAATAAAACCAACGAGAAAACATATCTTCTAAGTAATCAAACAATCTCCCTGCCGGACCGGACGCAATGTTGGGGGGAAAAGGGTGAGGTATCAAAACCAAAAGTCGTGTCACTGCGCCGCGCTGATGCATCTTTTTTTTATCAAACAGAGAAGAGAAAAGAAAAGAAAAGCAAAAAGCCAAGAAAAAAAATATAACAGACAACAAGTCCATGCTCTTTTCGTTTGTTTTTATTGTTTTCTTCTTCTTTTTGCTGCCGTTTCATGACATGAGTAAATCGAGTCATCATCACACGTAACATCGTCCAACAGGCCAAAGATGTGCAGTGGGATCCAATAAGGACGAGGGGAAGTCGTTCGACAAAAGGAAGGGGGGAATCATATCTCAGAAATGAGTGGAAACAACTGGACCAGGAATTAAGACCGATAGTTGCCTGGAAATCCAATTGGGAAAGAAGAGATAGATGTTCAGGAAAGGAATAATGGTAGTCTCAAGAGTCAATCTTGATTACTTGTAACCATTTTTCCTGATCAAGGGCCAAGGGGATATACAAATGGGGTATGGTTTCAAAGCAACCGGCCAGGGTTTTAACACGCGTATACAAAACAAGAGTGAAGCTCAGCGCAGTTCAGGGATCAATCCAAGTGGTTAAACCCTACGTTCTCAGGCGGTAAAAGCACGTGCAATCGTTTCGAGGGTCCTCTTCACAGCGGCAGAGGACTGGCGATCAGATTCACTTGCAGGATGACCAGATAGGGTTCGACGGTATAAATTTGTCGCAGATGTTGAGACCGTACCATTATTCCCGGAATCGGGATCAGGCGTACCGTCGTTATCCTCATTGGGTACAACCATCACGCTGGAACTCACAGGCGCGGAATAGTATCTCGAGCTCAAAGGCAACTGGTACTTGATGACCCCGCGCACTATCAGTTGAAAAGGATGCTGGAGAACCCGCTCCCACCGCTCCGTATCGCCTTCCTCCGTTTCATTGCCAGGCCGAGCAAGACGGAGCTGGCCCTTCGATGTAGACGCTAAGTGGTTCCAAGGAGATGACTCGAACAAGAGAGGCGAGTCAAAGCGGAAAACTCGACCAAGTGACATGGGGTGAGGATCACCAGCTGGGTCGGTCGGGATCGGATCAGTGCCCTTGTCGACCCCCCCTGTGACATTGACCGACTGATCCGATGTGCAGGTGTTATCTCTGCTACAGCGTACATGTTGGGCCAACTCTGCTCGTTTCCGGCTTTGTTTAGTACGAGGGACTTGATCCAGATCCAGCTTCTCCGTCCCGACAAAACGGCTCTTGGCCAAGATACTCACATCCAAGTCCTCCACCGCCACAGGGAACAGATTGGGGTTAACGGCTTGCACGCTGAGATCCAGCATAATCTCTTGCTCGGAAGCGAGCACATTCTGGATCGCAAGGATCTGCACATCCTGTAGCGATTTGGTGATACCGACAATGAACGAGGTGGCACCTCCGACAATCAACAGCAACAACAGCCCTATAAGTAAACACACGCCATTGCGCGAGAAACACCCGCGTTGCCGCTGCTGCATGTATTCCATTTGGCGCAAACTTGCGCTGTTCGGACGTCGAGCACCATGGCGGCTTCGAGCGACTCGTGCCGACCCAACCAGTGGTGTGCGCTCATCGTCGGCCCCTTCTGCATCAAAGTCATAACCGTACATGTCACCGGCCTTCTTGTTACCATTGATGGTGCGGTAGTTCGGGAGTCCGCGGGAATTAGCATGTCTGGATTGCCGTAGTCCACTGCCGATGAAGTGTCGCGGCGACTTAGAATGGGCTTGTGATTGCGGGAATGGCGAGTCACTATCGAAGAGTGATGGATGCACGTTGCCGCTGCGTCCATACCGCCCAATATGATGGTGACGGGGTGTGTGCGTGCCACCGCCCTCCACTCTTGAAAGGGGCCGGCCGCCTTCCTCGGCGGCGTCACCGTCCACGCTGCTGGTGTAGTTATTCGTGAATTTCATGCTGCGTTTGCCCGTTACACTATGGGTTGTGTCTCTCATGCTGTGGCGTGCCCGACCTGCCAGCTGGTCGACTTGGCTTGCCATGGATGTTGCACTGGGGGTGCGGGAGTGATACCGGCTCGGCCGGACCGGATACGGGTCTGGGGGATTGGATTCATATACGAACGTTTCGTCGGAGTCTGACACATCGGCCTCGTCCACCGCACTCGCCACTTTCGCTTCAAAGATATCAGCCTTTGAAGACGCCGCTCCACTCGTCAGAGCAGCGGGCTTGCGGGTCCTTCTCTTTTCCTTTCTGGGACGGATCGTTTCTGTGCTTGGCTTCATCCGGAGGGTACCGTTATCCACCCGGCCCGAAGTGCCTCGCTCGCCCGGGACGACGCCCAAAGAAACCTGGGGGATGGAAGTCACAGTTTCGGTCTCAACGATCATGTTACGGACGGAGCCCTCTGTATGTTTTCCGCGGCCGCCCGTCAACGAGGCGGTGGAACGCTTGGGGATGATAGAGGCAGCGCCTCTGGTTCCCGATGACACCCAACGACGAGTATCTTCCATCCGCTCAGAGCTTTTATTCCCACCACCACTGTCACTCCCACTCTCATTATGGTGCCTGGAAGCTTTTGGGGTCGTTTCCTCGTCGATATTCTGGAGTCGTGACTCCTCGGGTAGAGGCTGGTTCAAAATGGTATCGGCCGATGGCGTTGACGGATCGCTGACCATCTCCTCCACAGTTTCGAGGGCGGATCCAGGTCCATTGATGCGGTTGCTTACGGCGCGAGGTACACTCCGGTCCCCTCGGGCGGCCAGGTCGTCGGATGGAGGCAGAGACCGCTTGCTTGAGATATTCGGAGGGGTAGAGCCCCATAACGGCATGTTGCTGGCTTTGTCGGGGTCGGCAACATTGGGGGACGGGTCGACATTCGGGGAAGGGCTCAGCACAGGAGGCTTGCTGGGCTGGGACAATGCTCGTTGTACCACAGTTGCAGAGGGAACCGTGCCGGCGCCAGTGATTTGAGCCGGTATAGAAGGATGTGAATTGTGATCCAAGCTGTTTCTGCGCGGTTTGGAGACTCGAGGGGCGGATGTGGGATTGCGTGCGCGAGAGGAGGACCGAACCGGGGAGGACTCGCGGGAGGACAGGGTGGAATTCGTCGTGGACGGCGGAGCAGAGATGGCAGGAATCGCAGACGACAGTTTAGGCAACTGGGCTAAGACTGAGGCTTGAGTTTGAGATTTAAATGCGGAACGTGGCAATTCCACCATATCACTTTCGCTGGCAGACCGCCGGGAGGCAGATGAGGCAGGCTCGTCGCCTTGAGCCACCCTGGGCCCACCAAAAGAACCATTGGGGTAAGGCGACCTCTCGGACTCCGCTGCCATGATCTTTGTCGAGTCAGGACTTTGCTGACACGATGTTGATAAGTCAGGAGATCCGAGAGGGAACCAGTAACACCAGGATGCACGAAGGAAGGGGGTGGAAAAAGAGGAAGCAGGCGCGTGGGATGTCGACGAAAATTAAAATCGAAATTAAATTAAAACAAAAAAATTAAGAGATAAAAAAAAAAAAAAAAAAAAAAAGCTACCACGCAGGGTTGGCAAAGCCGATAGACGCAGTTTGGTGCGGGAAGTCGGGAGATGGACGGAGGGTGGGATGATGGATGATCGCCCTGTGGTACAGAGAAACACGTTACACGGAAGACGCAGGCAGAGGACGAATAGGCGCAGACCACATGCTGAAGGAGTAATGTGGTGATAAAAAGATGTGAGTGAACGCCGAGAAGGAGGACGATAGGAAAATCGTTGGCGGACGGGAGTGTAGATAGGTAGTGTGGTGAGAAATCGTACTCCGCCAACCGTTCAGATCAAAGTTGTTTTCCCGGATTATTCAGAAAATCAACTAGCACGCCAGGTAGACCGAGGCGGATTCAACAGCACAGGGGACATAACTTGATCAGAAGACAGGCGGCAATCGAATGTCTAGAACAAGCTCTCCAAGGAGATAGATGGCGCGCTGGTCCAGCCAAGGGACAGGCAGGGCCAGTAGCAGGTGAACAAGTGCAGGAGCACGCAAGGAATCGAGACCTTCCAATTAATGCAGTGTAAACCGGTGTGAAGGGAGATTGTTTTGAGGGCTTCCAGGCGGGCAACCGGAGTGAGGATGTTGACAGTTTCGATCAATACCAGCAAGCTTGTTCCGTTTACGATCGTCCAGCCAGGGGAGGTGTACGCAAGATCCAATGGTAGCGGCCCACGTCAGAAAACCCAGGCTTAAGGCAGTTAGTTTAGCGTGGGAAAGGCCGAAGGCCCCGTCACCGGTTGGTATGGGGGTGAGACGTCTGGGGAGAGTGGATTGAGAAGGCTGCGAGGTACGAAGATGAGGAGGGAGGACTGTGATGTGGGAGCGATTTGAAGATGGAAAATGATGATAGAAGAGCAGAAAGACGAGGCGCACAGAGGAGGAAGCAACACGGTAAATCAGTTAGATGGAAGAGGAAGAAGATAGACGAAGGCGACGAAAGAGATCAGGAGAGCGAGGTTGAGGGGGGGAAGAAAGAAAGAAGGCCCAGGCCTGGTGACAGGCTGGTTACCGCAATCGGTAATATTACAAAGCAGATGGAGTGTAATGTGGCCATAATTACGGTAATATAAATACAGAAGTCATGATGACCTCATTTTCCTGCGGTGCCCAGTTTTTGATTTTTTTTTTTTTTAATTTTTTCCCCCAGAATCTCGAAAAGAGCAAATTGACCGTTGAATGGCCTGAGATGAAGCGTCAGGATTGATATCTGGACTAAAAGAGAGAGAGAGAGAGAGAGAGTCAGAGTAACAGAGAACATGGAAGGAGACCAAAAGGTTGGCATTATTCATCTTTCTATACCGGAGATGGTCTGGGGAGATCAGCAGATTGGTGGATCACTTTCCGACCTGGTAGTTTATTGATATAGTCATGAATATATCTAGACAGGCATCTGAATAATAAACATCCTTGTTGTAGTTGTTGTGTACATCACTGTAGTTCTCGTCTATACAAAGCCAAAATCACCCACCCAAAAACACCCCAATCCCTTATACAAACACCAATAAATACCAGGTAAAACACATCCAATGTATCTCAGATAGCAGGAATATACACAATTCAGGGTATCATGTTTGATGATGATTCGTCGTTATCATCAACATTATTCGAGGAAAACTGCGCCACATCTACACGATCTTGTAGACTCGCTTGGCGATGAGGAAAGAGGCAAAGGCGAAAATAATCAACCCTCCCGTGACTGATCAGGCCATGATTATTAGCTGGTCTGAAGCTGACATAGCGATAGTTTTTGACATTGAGCGAAGGGACTTACTGGACCAGAACCACGTGAGGCTATCCACCTCTTGACCAGGAACCTTGACGTTCATCCCCCACATACCGCAGATGATGTTCATGGGAAGCACGATCGTTCCCAGAACGGTCAGTTTACCGAGCACATCGGCAGTCCGTTCTTGTCGTTCGTTCATCAAGATGTTGATCTGTGCAAGGTAGTTCGAATGTGCGCGCGATAGGAGCCTATGTAGAAGAACATCGGTCAGCCAGTTTGTCGTGCAACTGCCTGAACCTCTAAAGCAGGGAGAGATGGGATCTTACGTCTCATAGTAAGTCAAACTGCTGGTCATGGTCATGATATGGTCTTGAATGTCGCCCAAATACAGTCCGATCTCCGATTTGGGCGCAACCTCCCAATGCTCGTTGCACCGCTTCGCGAATCCTTTCACCACGTCGGCCTTGTTGCTCAACAGTCGGTACATTCCCATGACCTTCTTGCGGCTTTCTCCCACCCGACGCAGCATCTCGCCAGGTGCCGGGGGCTCTGGTCCATCTTGGCTCTCATCATCTCGATGGTTGTTAGAATCCATTCCGCGCCCAGGGGAGTGCATCTTCATGATCCTCTCATCAATATCGTCAACCTCGTCCTCGATGGCTTGGATGAGCGGACCAAACACGTCGGTGATGTCGTCAATCAGCGCATACGAAATCCAGTCGGAGCTGAGTATCAAGTAATCCATCAGCTGGCGGATTCGCCGGCGGACATTCGCCGGGTGTGGTGTCTGAGAGAAATGAAAGGTCAATATGCCCTCCCGAAATACCACGATGTACATATTCACGGGTTGCAGGTAGTTCTCGCTGTTGGGATCCTGTTCAAAGGTCCGATAGTTGACGAAGTAGTAGTTCCGGAACAATTCCACCTTCTCGCGTGCCTCCTGCATCATAATATCTTCAGCTGTCAACGCATGGATCCCAAACGCCTTGGCAATCACTCGCATCTCGGCGTCCGTCGGGCAAAGGACGTCCAGCCAGAAGGTTGGGCGCGGCCCATATCTCTTAGGTTTGGGAACCGACGTCTTTCGCGCAGGTGAGCCCTCGCCCGATGTGCGTGCTTCGGACACAGCTTCGCTGATCACAGACATGCGGGGCTGAACCCGAGAGGTATTGGGAGCAGCGGCATTGCTTCCACCAGACTGTGCCGCTTTGCTTCCTTCAGGGGTCGTGTTATTGTGATTGTTACTGCTGTAGTTGGATTCAGTGACATTGTCGCTGTGATGTTGCTCATCCTCATAGTCTTCCTCATCGGAGGAATCTTCCAATTCGGGGGGATCAGGGATGAACAACTCCCGGAAGTTCCCCCCAGGCTGTACCAGCTCGGATATACTCTGGGAATGGATGGTGCTCTGAAATTCTTCGTTGAAGTACGTGAATCGATACGGTGCTTCCTCCTCCTCCCGTCGCCAAACCCGATACTGAGGTCGAAGCCGACCCTCAATCAACACAGGCTCACTGATTTTCTTTGCACGGAGGACACCAGTCCGCTCCTCTTTCTCCTCGCGACTCCATTCTTCCAGGACAGACAAGTCTGGCCACTCCTTGATGCGCCGTCGCCGCCGTTCATCTTCTCGAGATGTTCTCCGTGCATCTTCCTCGGCTAACTCAGACACTTCTTCCGTAGGAAAGCAAACATCCTCTTCCACAGGCAGAGTGACAGTGCGACGTCGACGGAGAGCCTCGTGCGGGGGAAGCTGCGGGGACGATGGAGAAGACTGAGTCGAGGTCTTCGGCCGATTTGCACCACCCTCCACTTCGATCACCATATCGTTGGGCCGAGAGCCCGCCTGCATGCGATTGTCAATCGATTTCGCCAAAGCAAAATCGAAATCGGCCCCTGTGACCACCGCATCATCATAGTTCATGTCACCCCCTAGTTTGGGTGAGCTTGGAATTGATGGAGGATTATTGATATCATAATCGCGGTCGGGATCTATGGGAGTTGCGAGACCATGGGGCGAGCACCGGGAGGACGTAGTCTGACCTGAGGAACGTCGCTGACGCGAAGCGAAAGGACTCGGTATAGAATCCGTTCCATACCACGACCGGCTGCCATGGTGGCCTGAAGAAGGCCGTATCAACGGTGTGCGATCGTCCATTCCCTCCGAACCGTCACTATCGTCTTCTGCGTGGTATGCCTTCGGGCCAGACGGTGTGCTGCGGGGAACTAGGTCAGTAGAGCGGGATGGGATCGACATCGAACCCGGTCGAAAAGATTGAGCGAGTCTGCTTTCTCTCCGTGGGCGCATCATCGGTTGATCCCTATAATTATCACAACGGCCCATGGTTAGCTATGCAGACCAAACCAAGCCTGCTACACATGGGTACACAACATACCGGTGATCAAGCAACGCCTCACTCTCCAAGCTCGTACTGCTCAAATCTCTTCTTAAATCGTAGAACGGTAGCGCTGGTCGAGAATGGTGCTGGTCCCCCGCCATCATGGTCAGATCCTCTGTATCCGCACCGTTGGCCCCGGCTCCAGGATGGGATTCTTCCGGGGTAAGGAATGACTGCCGACGATTTCGACGCTTTCGATGACGGTTCCTCTTCCGCTTGGGTTTATTCGTCGCAGGCCTGCTCTCCGATGCGGTGTCATGCCCATAGTGGGTTTGTGGGGCGGAGGTCTCGTAGTCCCTGTAGTCCCTTGGACTACGCATAGCTCCCGTAGCCGCAGCTGTCCCGCTACGGTGGCCGTTGCCCGATGATGACTTGCTGGAAGGCATTCCGCCACGAAGAATATCGCTCGAATCGGGATATTATCGACTCGTCGAATGTCCTCGAGAAGCTGTTTCGGATGGAAGATCGTTGACTCACACGAAGTGACAGTAAGCGGAGCCCAATCAGGGGTCACAGTGTCGTAGTGGTTCTAAAGATGCAGAGCAGAGCATGACCATTGACAGTTCACCAGCGCTCACCGATTCCAAGTTAAATTCAAGCGTAGAGATAGTGAGACGTGGAGAAGTCGAGACGTGGAGAGGTCGCTTGCAAATGACGCCTGTGGCGTGGTACAGTAAAACATGGGCGATTCAGGGACCGGGGGGTTTGCTTCATCAAAGTGACAACGCTGGAAGGTTAATGAGAAGCTATTTGGAGCAAAACTAATCGTGATTGCAAACAACAACTTGCCAGGAGGAAGCAGGATAGAGGAGGAGACAAAACGCTCTGGCAAGGCGGCGGTGGACAAGGTGGAGTGAGTGCCTGAGGCGGCCGGCAGATGACGATGAGATCATTGGAGCCTTATTATCCATTGGCCTTGCGGCCTTGCGGCCTCGTAGTCGTCGCCTTGCAGGCTCTGCCGATCACTAAGGCAGGCCCCCATGTCAATGAAAGCTGGAATGTTGATCTAAATCGAACGACAGGGGGTTTCTCCTACTGTGTTTGTATGAATCTAGCTAGATTTGAGGCCTATATATGGAACAGCTTCCCCGCAAAATAGGACTTCGATCATTTTAAAAGTCATTAATCATCATCATCTATGTAAACGTACATACAACAAAAGTTTTTTGGTCCATCAGATCCAAAGAAAAAGGAGAAAAAAAAAGACGAAAAAAAGAAAAGAAAAACAAGAAAACATGTACATCATCAATATCACCCAGTGGTGAAGGCCGTAGCATCATAAGCATACTCATTAAAAACAGAGGAAAAGAGAAACCTCAAAAGCAAGGCCCACGAATTACCTATTACCATATCATAAAGGGTCAATCCTGTGATCGATTCACCCCTTTTGACCGTGACGCCGTCGGATATCATTGCCAATTGCCGTATCCAGAATAGAAGAAAATGAAAATACGTTGAGATAGAAGATCCATCTCATCGTTGCCCCATTGGTAGGAGTACTTGTGATCAGAGTGTGACGCCTCAGATCACGTTGCTCATATCCATGGTCGACGATGGAGCGATGCTATGGACGGACTTGGTACCGTCCAGTGACATGCGGTCACTGCTGAGAATCTTGCTGACGCGGTGATCTTTTTCGGGTCGGGCGATCAGCACCTGCGCCGGGCAGACAACGACTTCATCTTCGCCATCGCCCGTGTCGTTGCCCTTTTTTACCACCAAGGGGAACAAGACTACCCGGACGATTGCTTGCTTCGATTCCAACTCCTCATTCGAAGTGGTTTCTCCGCTGCGTTCGTTCATCAACGAAGCATTGAAGTAGACCTGTCGTGCTAGGTCTCCATTGGTGTCGTACTCGGGCTGCAGTGGTGGCAACATGATGAATTCAGCGAGCTGCGTGCGCATTTCAATTGACAAGTTGACAGCGACACGCAAGACCTTGCGGAGTGAGTCCAAAAGCTGCGTCTCGACATGAGTTGGGGGTGGGAGGAGACGCGATAAAGTCTCGAAGATCTCCAAGGCCACGGCTTCCGTGTCGCTCTCGCGTTGTTTAGCAAAAGCTGGACGCTTCGATAGCAGCGTCAGCGTAAGGGCGCGCCAACGGTGAACAGCGCTTCGCGGGCCGACCTCGCTCAGCTGTTTTTCCAGTGATTTAAGCTTCTGCCGTTGTTCGCGATCCATGCCGAACAGATAACGAGTGAAGACAAATTCCCACACCATCGTCATGACCACGGACATGAAAACATCGCGTCGACGAACACGGTCGGCGAGGTAGCCATCTGTATCGGAGCCATCAAGGATTGCATTATCGAAGCGGTCGGCTATCTTCTCATCCTGAAGTTCACCGAGTTTGCGGCAGCGTCGGTGGTCGGAATGTTTGGAGAAACGCAGGACCCATTGCTGCACGTGTCCGCACAATTTCTGGCATGCAGCATCAAAGTAGTCTTCATCCCGAAAAACGAGGACATTGTCATGAAGAGAGGCACCGATCTGTTGCTGAAGCTGCATCACCTTATCCCGGGCGCTCTCAAGCTCTTCCCTGAGCCGTCGTAGTTCGCCATCCTTTCGCGCCATTGCTGTCTCAATTTCATTACGGACTGTGTTTTGAACTTCTGTTGAGAGCTTCTCATAGCGCGATCGCAAATCGTCCATTTGACGGGTGGACGAGTCGCGCACTGCTTGGATCTCGCTGGCATGGGCGGCAGTGAGATTGGAGTTTGTTGTTGTGAGCTCTTCATTTTCCTTGGTCAAGCGGCTCACTTCTTTCTGGAACCAGTCCACCGAGTTTCTCATCTTCTCCACCTCGGCTTCTCGATCTCGTAGGTTGGCATTGCGCTCATTGAGGGTATGGTCGCTCTTGCGACGAGCGACGCTGGCATTGCGGAGTTTGTCTTCGGCAGCTTCACGCGCAGCGATGAGAAGTCGGTTTTCGGAAATCAATTGATCGAGACGGGATTCGAGTTCTTGAAGATGTTGCATACTGCGACGATGGCGGATACTGGGCGGTCGGCTCGGCGACCGGGGCGAGTTTGGTGTCTCTCCCCATCCCTCCTAAACAATAACAGTTAACAAATCTGAATGCCAACAACAATTAAAATACCAACGACGAAATAGTGGAGTTAATGCGAGAATACTTACATAGACGTCCGTCATAGCGCGAATGGGGCGTTTGCCCTTGTCCGTGACGGGGTCATAGGAGGAAGACGAAGCGACGTGCTCGATGTTGAGATCGGAGGGTGGGGGCTGAGGAGGCTGGGGCTTGTCGTGTGGCTGGGGGTTGTGGCTTTCCTGTGCCTGACTAGCCGCGCGCAGATCCCCACTGGCATTGCGGCTGGTGCGTCGAAGCAATCGATGACCGCTGGTTACGCTGGGATTACTCTGCACGCTTCTAAAACTGCTGACGCTGCTGGGCCTCAAAATAGGAAGGCCCGGCTCAGGGGTTTTGACGACATCTGTAGGCCATCCGCTGGGCGGCCGTTGTTTTTTGACTGCTAGCCCCTGATCTTCGTCCGCTGTGCGATCCGGCGTCTCCTTGTCCACGGGCCAGGCCTGACGAGCCAATGCATTATCCGTAAATTTTCTGGTTGGAGTTTCAGGACGAGGAAGCACATGTTCGGGCTTCATCTCTAGACGGGGCGTTCCGCGATCACGTCCCATGGATTTCGGCCCGCTCGCTCGCTCCACCCGATCCCCTGGGTCTTGTTCCGCAATGGGTTGTAATGGAGTACGGGGAGGTGAACTCATGACAGGAGTTAGGACTGGTCCTCCGAAAAGTGACTTCCCCGAAGGTGGTGGAGTGACTGCTTTCGTGATGGGTGTATCGTCTAGTGACCAGGTGCGTGGCGGATGGTTGTGTCGCCCCTGGATTGACGGACTGCGACGGAGTGCACAGGAAGGGTCATCTGTTAATATTCGCTCGTCCCGATCCATGTCGATGGGCGAAGGAGCGCTGATGAGGGTGGACTTTTGTTCATGCATGGGTAACGGGGCGTACAAGGGTAGTTCACCTTGTAGCTTTGGCGTAGAATCATCGCGGTTGTCCTTGCTGAACTGAATGTCAAGAGACCTGGTCCCTTCTCCTGGTCCATCCGATATGACAGAAACGTTATATGAGGGATCCACTTCAACGTCAACAGCCAGATCGACTGGTGTGGAAATCGTAGTCGATGGCTCCAGAGTTTCCCCAACTACCGGCCCTTCCAAAGAGTTTGTTGTCGGCTCGCCGGCCGAAAGAGGTGCCTCCGAGACCTGGATCGCACTCTCGCGATCCGCAATTTGCCCAGTAGTCTCATCCTCAGCACTATCTTTTACCGGCACCAACTGTTGGTTGGAAGCGGGACGTCGGAATTTTCCGCGCTCAAGTTCAGGGAAAATACTAGCAACTCTGCTCTGCGTTGGTAGCCCGTCAAATTCTCCCTTCGGTTGTTCAGAAACGACGCCTTTGTAGTCTTCCCGCTGATTAGTGGCGGGTGTCATTTGCGCACTTTCGGACTCTAGGCCACGTTCCGCGGAGACCGCCGTCTCTTCAGCCAACAGACGATGCCCTCTCGATACACTTTGTCGTCGAATCAACCCCTCAGGGATGGCAGACTCGTCGAACTCTGCAATTCCTGGCTCAAAAGGGATAGGATGAGCCTCTGGTGATGATTGCGGAGTGGGTTCCTGGAGTTCCACGTTACCTTTCTCCCAATCGATTGCAGGCCAACCGTTCTCGTCCACTGGATTCTGCAGCATCCCTGATGGTTGGAGCTCAGCCTCGGTGGTTGCTCCCACCGAACCGAATGGCTGATGTAGCTCAGTCTCCTCCATTGGCTCAACTGGCTCCGCCGCGGACTTCTTGGCCCTCCTCTTCTCCTTCTTGGAAAGCTTTCTTCCAACAAGTGCTGTACTTTCAGCGTGGTCTTCTACAAGGTTCTCAACATCCTTCTCTTCCGTATTATCCGAGACTTCAACTGGCTCAGCTTGAACAGTATCACCTTCTTCCTGTTCCCTCGATAGCACTTGATCCAGTTGACCCCCCGCATTCAGCACCTCTCCTGTTGTCCTGACTGAAGCCGAAAAGGCGTCCATAGGGACAGATTTCTCGGTGTTATCGACTTGTTTGCCTTGCTCTTCTAAAAGATCCGGGGTAGGAAGATACTGGGACTCTTTCAAAACAGCAGGCTCTTCTGCAGCAATGGATGTGGCATCCGCATTCGTGTCTCTTTCGGCCTCAGTAGCAACCTCGGCAGGATTGGGGGCAGAGATATCTTCGTGTTCTTGAGTCTGCTTCTTGCCCTTCTTCTTTTTCTTCTTAGACTCCTTGCGGCTTAGTGGTGCAGGTGCAACAGTAGCCTCTGGTGCTTGAAAAATCTCGCCCTCGGGCTTCTCCTCAGTGAGCAATGCCTTTGCAGTCAACTCCGAGTCTTCCTTAAGCGCCTCTTGTTCAGTCGGTTGCTCCGCAGCCTCTACTACCTCGACAGGGTCTGAGATCGGTTCTTCTTGGCTTCTATTATCCTCCTCGAGTGCCTGGGTTAGCGCCGTGGGCTCCTCAAGCTCAGGATCTTGGTCTTTGTCGACTCTCTCGCCTTCCTGTCGAGCAGCTTTTTTCTTGTTTTTCTTGTTCTTCTTCTTTGGCGTAGGCTCCCAAGGAATTTCAGGTTCTTGAGTTTGACTTGGTACCTCTTCCCTCAGAGGCTCAGATCGAATGCTCTCATCTCCAGCCTCCAGCGTGGTCGCCTCCGTGGCAGACTCTACGGCCAGAGGCGAAGTCTCTTCATCTTGGTGGAGATCATCAATAGCTTTGATCTCTGTGCTCCCTACAACCTTCTCATTATCTTCTGAGGAGACAACGGGTTCCACCTTAGTAGTTGAATGTTCGGTCTCGTGAGTAACTGGTGTTTCTTCGGAAGAAGTTTCCTGGGGACGCTCAGGCTCAACAATTAGAGGTTCAATCTGCTGGTCAACCGAGGGTGAAACAGCCTTCTCTCCCAGCTCAGGCTCATCCACCTGCTGAGATTCCGCAGCGGCCAGTTGAGCAAGGCGCTCCTTCTTTTTCTCCTTCTTGCTTTTCTTTCGCGAAGGAGCTGGCGCTTCTTCAACGTCGTTCTTCGCAGGCGCTATTCCTCCACCCTGCCCCAGTGCTTCTTCAGTAACTTTGTCTGCGGCCACAATATCTTCGGCTGGTGTCTCTTCGGTTTCTGTTGGGGCCTCTTTCATATCCAAAAACTCATTGACAGACTGCTCTGTAGCAGGCTCTGGCTGAGACTCAGGAGTAGGTGTCTCGACATTGCTCTGTTCTTGGCTTTTCTGCAATATTTCCTCTGGGATATCCAGAGGAAGCTCCTGCAACGCCTCCTCGGCTTTCGCCCCCTGGTCTTTTTTCTTTTTCTTGTCTTTCTTTTTCTTCTTGCTTGATGTTGGTAACGGCAGCTCTTCGTTCTCGGGTTCAATAGCTTCATCCAAATTTGACGGTTCAATGATGTCCGCGACGCCGGTCATTGGATCTTTCGTCGTAGGATCTTCGCAGTCTCTTGAGATATTGTGGGCTGGGTCTTTGCTTCCAGGCTCGTCAAGTTCGATATCAACAAGTTCTCTTGGCAACTCCCGTACTTGCTCTTGGCTTTCTACCTCCTCGGCAACCTCGCTTGAGTTCGGAACCTCTTCCTCCTCTTCTACTGGAGGGATCCCAGCAGCACCATCATCCGACGTCACTGAAATTTCAACAGCTTGCGTATTCTTAACGCTCATGCCTTCCCCGCTGTCTTTTTCTAGCTCATGGTCGGCGGCCGGCGAAGCGTCTTCCGCGTCCTTAACATCCTCTCCTACATCAATGGTTGTTTCGTTGGCGACAATCGGATCGGCTTCAAGCACGGGCTGGGACGAATGATCGAAAGATGTCGTCTGCTGTTGCTCTACCTGCGGAGATATCATGTGATCAGTCCATGTCAGATTTTTATCGTTATCGCCGTGCATTTCGGTGCCGTGGGACTGATGTTCTTTACCGTCATCTTCAGCGGGCGCGAATGCCGTCTCAGTCGATGGCTCGGAGGACTTTGCTTCGGTAGAGACGGCTTCGCTTGTTTCTTGAGAGAGATCTGCACTCGGAGTGGTTTCGGAAGTGCCGGCGGCGTCGGTGGCGCTCTCAAACAGCTTGGAGATGCGCTTCTTTCCCTTTTTCGCTTTCTTCTTCGCTTTTGCCGACATGGGGCCGCTGAGCTCCACCTCGAGCTTCTCCTCTTCCTGACTCGCCTCTTCTTGTTGCTTTTCTTCTAGTTTCCCCTCTTCTGGTACCGGCTCTTGCTGAGTAGGTTCCTCAGACACCGTCGTGTCAGGCTCGGTAGTATCAGGAGCCTTTTCCGCTTCAACTTGAGAATCGTTCACAGGTTCAGGTAGAGCTGCCGGAGCATCTTCGACTACATCTGCCGTGCTCTTCTTCTTCTTCTTCTTTTTCTTCTTTGACTTTGCGGAACCTGTGCTTTGTTCGGTGTCGTCAATAGGAGTTTGTGGCTCAGACTCGCTCAGTTCGCGCGCAGCCTCATCATTTGTTTCTTGATCCTCTGGCAGAGTCTGGGGGGTTGTAGCTTCGTCCTTTTTCTCTCCGCTCTCGACATCTTGACGATTTTGAAGATCATCTGTGTTGGGTTCGACGCCCTTTGCGTCCTCTGCCACATCGTTTTGCTCTTTCTCTTGAGAGGGCTCATCAGCCAATGGCAAAACTGCGGTTTCTTCCAGAACGTCTATGGGTTGCTCCTCGGTGACTGCTTCCGGCGATGTCTCAGCAATATGCTCTTGTTGTTCGGCGACCTCAGGCTTTGGCTCAGGTAGCTCAATCCCAGTATTGGCAAGCACTGGTGTTTCTTGCGACAGGCTTTCCAAGGTTTGCTCTGTGGGCTGAGACTCTTCAATATCGGTTTTCTGTGTGGCAGGGGCCTCCTCGGACTGTTTTCCATCTCCTGGAGTCATTTGTTCGAGCACTTCATCCACAGGCTTGTCTGACTCGCTCGTCTCAACAGAGGGTTCCTCAACGTTAAAGGAGACAGATTTGCGCTTCTTCTTCTTGGCTTTCTTCTTGGATTTGGCAGTTTGAGGCTCATCTGTAGACTGTGAGGCCTGCGTCTCATCGGCAGCAGACTCTTGTGTGATCTCCTCAAGAGCGGTGTCTTTAACCTTTTGCTCTTCCTCAGGTGCAGAAGAAATAGAGACAGAGTTCTCGGTGCTAACTGCCTCAGGTACTGCCTCAGTTGTTGCCTCAGGTACTGCCTCAGTTGTTGCCTCAGGTGTTGCCTCAGGTGCTGCCTCAGGTGCTGCCTCAGGTAGGGTCTCGGCTGTCCCTTCCGTTGTTGAAGGAGCTTGGTCATCGTTCAAGGCGAGTGATTGACGTTTCTTCTTCTCTTTCTTAGATTTCTTCTTGGACATGACAGGCTGAGTCTCCTCTACAGGCTCTGTGGTCTGAGCTTCCTCGGCAGTCGTGGTTGTCTGAGCATCTTCTGCGGCTTCCTGAACCTGGCCCTCACCCACAGCAGGCTCTTGCGCAGCCTCACTTAGCGGAACAGCTTCGGGCTTCGCCTCCTCTTCAAGTGCAGAGGGTACTGGTGACGTTTCATCAACGTTCACAACCTCTAGGACTGAATCGGACGGGTCGGAGGGCGTCTCAATAGTCTCTCCCTCCTTGGGAGAAGCTGTCTCGTCATCCAAGGCCGTCGATTGTCTCTTCTTCTTTTTCTTCTTGTCTTTTTTCTTCGAAGAAGCTGACTTCTCTTCTCGGACTGGTTCTTGAGAGCTGGTCTCGGCATCCAGGACTGTTTCAATCTTATCAGGGTCTGGGATGTCTTGCGCACCGGTTACTTCAGCTTGGGCTTGTTCCATTGGCGTTTCCTCCTTGGGGTTTTCGTCGTGCTTTGGCTTTTCCTCTGCAACTGGATCGTTTTCCAACTGCGCCTTGTCTCCGCTCAATGGTTCCTCGGCGACAATATCCTCAGATACTGGAGCGACGCTCACTTCTTCGGAGACAGGCCCAGTGTCAGCAGCTGGTGTCTCAATTGAGACAATGTCTATATCTGTGGTCGGTTCTTGAGGCTCCTGTTCTTTCTCCGAATCTGCGGTAGCCGGTGTTGGATTCTCTTCCGTCGCGGTAGGCTCGTCTGGAGTCTCCTCCTTTGCCTCGTGTGCCAGTTGTTCTGGAGCCATTACGAATTCTTCATCCGCAACGGTGGGCGATTCCGTCTGGACAGGCGGATCCTCTTTAGATTGCTCTTGCGGGAATTCAGTTGTTGCTGGTAGCTGTTCAGCCGCTGCATCCCCAGGTTGCTCGGACGGTTGGGCATCCGAGAGCTCTTCAGGTGTTGGCTGGACATCTTCTTGAGAAATATCCTTCGGGTTGGTCTCCTCGATTGATTCAAGAGGCGCCTCCTCTACCAATGCAGATTGGCGTTTTTTCTTCTTGTCTTTCTTCGCCTTTTTCTTCTGCGCTGGCGTCATGGGGACAGTTGTCTCCGCTGTAGTCTGGTCGTCTAGGGTCTCAGGTACAGCTTCAGTGGAGGCTTCTTCAGAGGCTTCAGCGGTCGGCAAACTCTCCTTTGATTCCTCCTGAGCTAACTCCTTGTCGTTATCAATTGGTGGTTCTTCAGGAGCGACGGGCGGGTCTGCAGTTGTATCTGCAACATCCGCGACGGGCAATGACTCAGAGACTGTCGCTTCATCGGGGGCAGCAGACAGGCTTTGCTTCTTTTTCTTATTCTTCTTGCTCTTTTTACCCGCCGGTGTAGTTTCCCCCACACCAGCCTCAGGCTCAAGTTCAGGCACAATCTCTGTATTGGGAGCCGGGTACTCGCTGGATTCAGACACATGTGGTTCCCCGCTATTGGCCTCATCTTTCTCCACTGGTGGATTTAGTTCGGCTTCCCCTGCGGTGGAATCGGGCGCAACGTCTTCAATCCCTGCAGCTTGTTCTGCGATATTTCTCTCCGGCGGTGCTTGACTATCGACAGCGGGTGGCACCTCACCGCTTGTTTGGGGCAGCGGGGTCTCGACAACATCAACAGATGGCGACTCCTGAGTCTTCACCTCGGGTTCAGACTCAGCCTGGGTTTCAGACAAAGAAATTGACTTGCGGTTCTTTTTGTTCTTCTTGCCTTTCTTTTTGGGCTGCTCATCGACAGGCTCTTCCGAAATTGTATCCTGATTGTCGTCGACGGGAGCTACTTGGAAATTGTTTGCTGGTTCAGTTGCGGTGGTTGAGACAGGTTCGTCAACCACGTCCTTCTGGAGTTCTTCAGCCACTTCCTTGATCTCTATGGCAGGTTCATCTACTGGCTTCGATTGAGGTTCTTCTTCATTCGTTTTTGTAACCTCGGTCTCAGCATTGCTCTCAACATGGGGTTCCGGTTCGGTCGCAACCTCAGCTGAAGGTGTTGGAGGCGCAGTATCAGCAGGCTCATCTTCAACCGGTGTTTCGGCAGTGCTCTTGCGCTTGTTCTTTTTCTTGTTCTTCTTGCTACTCTTGCGCGACAAGGACGTTTCCGGTTCGGCCGCAATTGGAGTAGACTCCTCGTTCTGTGTGGGCTCAGAAGGAGCCGCAACCTGTTCCGTAGGGGAAGGCTCGTTGGCTGGGATAGACACTTCGGTATTTTGCGGCTCATGCTGCTCGGACGGAGAGGCATCAGGAATGACAGTGGAAGTATCTACTTCGGCCGGCGCTTCTGTTGCCTCAGTCTGTTCCTTTTCGAGGGATTGACTTTCGGACTCGGGCGCTTTCTCCTCAATTGATTGCTCTTCGGGCTTAGGATCAGCAGATTCAAGCTCATTAATATGTCGCTCGGTAGTAGCCTCTTCGAGTAAAGCTTCATGAGTCACTTCGCTCACCGCTGATTCCATACCATCCTGGCCAAGATTGCGATTGCTTTCAGAGACCTCGTGCTCGGAGACTAGTTCAACACTCGAGTCTTGTAGATCATCTTCCGCTAGTGGTAGATCCTTTGCTTGCGTTTCGAGCTCTGCAGAAGGTTCTGGGGCTTTGACGGACTGGGAAACATCTTGCAGAGTACTTTCAGTAGCTTCGGGGGTGTCAGCCTCCCTGTTCACCAGCTCGAACTTCCCTGTTTCTTCAGGCACCGTGATAACACCTTCCTCAGCGGGCTTCGTTGTTTCCTCGGCAAGCTGTGCAGTGTGCTCTGTAGAATCTAGCTGCTTGTCTGCACTGTCCTGCACGGCGGCAGCGGACGGTTCTGGAAGCTCCGTAGAAACAGATTCATTCGCAGTCTCACCAACAGAGGCGTTCTTGTTCTTCTTCTTTTTCTTCTTGGACTTCTTGGAAGGTGCGGCCTCGGTGGATTCAGCAGGTACATCGGCGGCAGGTTCAGCGGCAGGCTCAACGGCAGGCTCAGCGGCAGGCTCAATGGCAGGTTCAATGGCAGGTTCAACGGCAGGTTCAACGGCAGGTTCAGCGGCAGGCTCAGCGGCAGGTTCAGCGGCAGGCTCAACGGCAGGTTCAATGGCAGGTTCAGCGGCAGGCTCAGCGGCAGGCTCAGCGGCAGGTTCAGCGGCAGGCTCAACGGCAGGTTCAATGGCAGGTTCAGCGGCAGGCTCAGCGGCAGGCTCAGCGGCAGGCTCAGCGGCAGGTTCAGCGGCAGGTTCAACGGCAGGTTCAACGGCAGGTTCAACGGCAGGTTCAGCGGCAGGCTCAGCGGCAGGTTCGGTAGACACGACCTCGAATACACGAGTGACAGCCTGTTCAGTTTCAGGTGCTCTGCCAACATCTCCAACTTGAGTAGTCTGTTCCGTGCCGACCGGAGCATCAACTGGGGCCGCATGTATAGCAGGCGCCTCTCCAACCGTAATGGACTGCTCGACAGGGTCCTCCTGCTCAGCAGGCGCTGGCTCAACCGACGGCACCACATCGCCAGTTCCATCCTCGACTTGCGCCCCGCTCTCCTTGCCCTGGCCCTGATCATCCTTCGAGTCTTCGGCAGGTGCCGCGTGCTCTTGGCTACTTGCATCCATGCTCTGCCGCTTCTTTTTGTTTTTCTTCTTCTTCTTGGCGGAAGAGGAAGAGGACGGCGCGGCAGTCTCGACCGGTGGGTTTGGTTCTTCAGGCACGGCCGGGCTGGACCCGTCTGCTTCTTTATCTGTGGTCTCGAGGGTCAACTCGGCGGGTTCCTCAGTAACCACCGGGATTACGACGTCAGCACCTTGGTTCTCCGTCTCGCGGGGAGCTTCTTCGGGCACCACGGTTTCCACTGGGTCCCTTCGCTTATCTTCCAAGGGCGCCGTATCCTGCACAGCTGTATCGGTCTTCTGCTGTTCATCCGCCTGTGAAAGCGTTGGCTCGGAGAGTAATGTCTTCAGTCTCTCCTGGTTATCCACAGTTGCTTCTCCGGTGCGTGGCTCGTCCACCACATCCGCCTGTGGCATTTCTCTGGCTGCATCTGGCTTGTCTTTGTCGGGGCTCTCCGCAGGTTCGGCCTCGGGAGAGAACAGTGACTTATCTATTTCAGTTGCTGGAAGCGTTGATTCTGCCAGAACAGGGGCAATCACGTCTGTAGCAGGCGCATGACCTTCACCAATCACAGCACTCTGAGGCTCTTTTTCGTTTCCCTTGTTCGAGCCCGAGAGATCTGAGAGATGAGCGAGACCAGCACCAATAGCCGCTGGAACAACTGCATCCATTACACCGACAGCTTCAGAATCCTTCGCAAACTCCGAATGAGCGGCAGGGACGGCTCTGGTCTGAGTCGGCGTGGTCTCCATATCTTCCAGGGTCGGGATCTCCTTGTTCTGCGGCGTTGACGGACGAGAAGGCAGGCCTGCTGGCTCACGCTCTGCAGCGTCCGTCGCATCAGGACTCATATCCTTGACGCCTACCGCTGACCCTTCGGCAGACGGGAGATCGCCCATGTCCAATGACTGTGGTAGCTCCGCATACGTATACGGATCCTGGAGGAGTTCCGAGGGCGAGTGGAACTCATACTTTAGCTGCTCCTTGCGAGAAGGAGGATGGGGGAGCATCGGGCTGAACATCGCCGCTGTGGGAGTCAACTGTTGGGAGTCGAAGACATCATGGCCATGCTCAAGGCCTCGGCTCTGAGGGAGCTCAATTGCGCTTGGTCGTCGAGTATCTCTGATCTGATGGCTCAGGTCGACGGCTTCCCAGCTCCGCTCGTCTTGGAGCGCTGTTAGGTCCTCAACAGAGTTGTGCGCGGAGGAGGCCTTGCTTGATGGGAGCGATGGCAGGGTTTCCTCGGGCTTGTGCTCTGCATTCTCGCGGCCGTGACGTTCTACCAGCCACAATGGTCGGATCTCCCGCGAGTTCTTGAACTCCATAGAGTTGGGCCGACGTTGACGGCCGGCAGTGGGAGATCCAGGAGACGGCGCAGCAGATGCACCGACGGATGATGAGCGATTCGTGTTCGGGGACGTCGGAGGCCGACGAAAGTGAATTGGCACAGCAGTGGGTGACTCGGTCAACCGCAGCACTGACGATCGTCGCGAGGACTGACCCTGGCTACCCATCTCTTCCCGACTTGGCTCGGGAGAGGCTTGCCTACTCCGGGGCCCGTGAGCTGCATCCACGATGTTGCCTGCCGCAGATGGGGATCCCGAGCGACCTCTTGGCCGGTCGTCGAGCACGTTTATTCCCAGTCCTGCGACAGCCGCCTCCGTCAAAGGAACACGCCCCGAAGCACCGCTTTCTCTATTGCCGTCGTCTACCGGGACTGGCATTTCGGGGCCTTCTGCTAAAAAAGATTCGTTCTCGTCGTTGTCTTCCGATACCTTCCGATCCTATACATGAAAGCAACGCAGAGAAAAAGCATTTAGCACTCGCACCTTGTAACTTGCTCGCTTGATCCATCCAACTCTGGGACATGAACCGGACACAAGACAGGAAACCAAAAACAAAAAAGAAAAGAAAAGAAAAAATCATTTCAGAATGACTATACCTTCTCATGCTCCGCTGATCTCCCCGATTCCACAATATCCCCATATCTTCGACGCCGTCTCTCTTCCTTCCGCTGCCTGCTAGATTTGTAGTTCTCAATGTCAATACCATCTTTGTTTCTAGCCTTACTGTTCTCTTTGTCCGAACCACTCTCTTCATCTATTCGGAAGCCCTTATCCCCGCCACTAGAGCTGCGACGACGCGAGGCTCTTTCCTCTCTTCTCCGTCGTCTCGATTCATCGTACTCAGAGCGGCCAACCTCAGACTGAACTTCGCGCGACGAGGGTCTGTCGGCGGAGGACGATCTCTTGCTGTCTACGGGTTCTGAGACTCTCGAGCCAAAGATACCGCTCAAGATACCGGCCAGTTTCTTCTCCTTGTCTTTATCACTTGTGCTCTTACGTTTCTCGGAATCTTCAATTCTGGCCGGGGACGATGTGACGGAAGCAGAGTCAGCGAAGGGGTCGCTCTCAAGCTTGGAACGTCTCTTCCGTCGCTTTTTTTTTCCCTCGTTGCCGTCGGCTTCGGTTGAAGGAGCAATATCTTCATCATCATCGATCTCGTCTCCTTCCCGTCGGAAGTCTCTTGGTCTTGCTGAGGAATCGTACTCTCCAGCAACAGGAGCTGATACAACAGATCGGTAGTCATCTTTATGTGTATCACGTAACTCCTCTGGCATTGGTTCCGTGGGCGAGTCGAAACCGCCAGGCATGGAGAATTGGTCCCTGGGACGCGAGTCAACGTCATCGCGTTTTTCCTCGGGTGCCTCCTCCCAGGTCGGCTCATCTTTCTTTTCATTCAGTCTGTCGATGACCTCTTGCGCAATGGAAGGGCGACTTTGGATCTCAGGGCGTTGTCCGACGTTGGATCCTGGGGACACAGAACCTGTATCAGTAGGGTGATACTGTTCGGAGACAGCACGGTCTCGCGACTTTCCTTCAACCTCCGGCGACTCAACTTCACCTTCAACGAAGCCATGGAAAGTTGTAGTATCTGATCCGATCTCAACCCAGGGAGACCTAAATTCAACACCGGCTCGGGATCCAGGAGGAGATGAACGTTGATGATATGTAGGGTCCTCGGTCACGAGCGCAGGGTCAAATCCTGCGGCTGCGGTTGCAGCGGCCAGAGCAGCGGCGAATTCGATGTCCGCATCCGGTTCGTCCACAGCATGCTCGGGAATATCTCGCTCTTTGACTGCTGGCGAGGGGAGATCTTGCTGCGTTCTGGGAGTGTCGTGATCGACTGAATCAACCTCGGAGGACGTGGACGGAATTTCGTACTCGTGCGTCTCATGCTCTCCCCACGAAACTCGGGAACCAGTGGTTTGCTTGTCAGCCGGCTTCACGTCTTCTTCGTGAGGCATATCCCGAGGGCGTACCACGGGGGAATTAGCGTCTCTGACGGAACCATTCAAGCTCTGAGGAGGAGTTGGCTCGATGAGGTTCAGTCTCGGGACCGGCCAGGGCAGATCACGATGTCCCGGAGCGGGCTCCTCAGGCTGCCTCTCACTTGCCGGTTCGATTTCAACAATTGTGGGCATCGAGTGATGATCCCTGGGGGTATATGTGTCTGGGCTGTGCCGCAGCTCCTCTGGGGCGAAGAATTGGGCGTAGTCATCGTACACGCGTGGGCTGCGAGGGCTAGAGCTTCGAGGACTGGAGGACTTGGCACGCTCCGGCTGGCGCTGCTCGGGATGGTGATCATCGGTCACTTCAGCTGGCACCTCGGACCGACTACGGCTGGAAACCGGTGATTCTGGCTCGGAGCCACGGCGGTGCTCTGCCCGACGCTTCTCTCGGCGTTCATCATTGCGTCGCTGGCTAGTCTCGGAGGACCCAGCTACCGAACCCCTTCCAGAGAGCGCGGCATCAGCGGCCGCAGCGTCAATGGTACCAGCAGCGGCAGCGGCAATCCATGACGATGAATCTTTGTCATTCCGGGAATCTGTATAATAGCGATCGCGGTCAGGCGAGTGTTCCTGGATAGAATCCTCGTAACCTCGGTCTTTGTAACGGCCAGCGGGGTGGCGATCGGCATCTCGGTCTTCGGGTTCGTGCTCTCGATCAATGAGTTGCACACCGCCGAGCTGTGCAGCTTCACGCTTCAGCCGCTCCAAACGGTCCGCGCGTCGCTCCTTATCGGCTTGCTCCTCTGTCAGATCAAACGAGACTGAAGCCTGGTCTTTGGCAGTCGAGCGGCGCTTCACGCCTGGCGTTGGCGCACCATCGATTGATTCCGTGGGGAAAACGGGTGAGGAATCGCTCCTGCGGTGCGGTCGGTCAAAGCCAAGTGCAACATTTTGACTATACTCTGGCCGGTAGGGGACGTAGGAAGTTGGAAATGCTGGCGGGAAGGCAGGAGGGAAGGCATGCGGCACAGCGGGCGCATTGTAGGCTGGGATGGACTCGCCTTGAGTGGCGAAGACGGCCTGGGAGACAGGTGTGAAGGGTTGAGGTTGTTGAAGAGGAATAGGACCAGGTCGAACAAGCGCGGGTTCGGCAAGAGGCAAGGGCGATGAGACATTGACCACATCGAAACGTGTGGGGTCACTGGTTGGAATTGGTGCGACTCGCTGCAGACTACCTGAGCTGCTCGAGTGAGATACCTTGGAGTCCCTGTGTCGGTGAGCAGCCAAGGCTGCCGTTCCCACAGCACCAGCCGCAATGGCGGCACCAGTTGGGAAATGGCCATTAGAGTCGGCCCTCTTCTTCTTGTTCCTCTTTTTATCCTTCTTGCTACCCCATCTCCAACCCCATTTCGACGTACCAGAATCCGAGGAGTTGGAATCGTCACTACCATACAAAGCACTTCCTCCAAATGCAAGGGCCGAGCTAACACTCGAGGAAGACTGGTCACCTGAGTCCATATCCTCCCAGCCCTCATCGTTAGTCGCAGACGAGTAGTAATCAGAGTGCCGAGAGCGCGAATCTCTAGCGGCAAGGATCTCCCCCGTTCGTCGATTGCGGTGATGAGACGTAGCTGCGAGGGCGGTAGCTGTGGCACCCAACCCCAGCAAAGCTGCATCGACGTCGCGGTCCTTCTTCTTGTTGTTCTTCTTTGTCAATTTACCAGCTGGCTTTTTTGCAAATCCACTCCCGAAAGCAAGATCTGCGTCAAGCGACGAAGAGGACGAATTGGTAAACGAGAAGATACTCCTGCGCTTCTTAGCACGACGCTTTCTACGGTTCTCAGAGGATGCCGTGAAGAAAGAAGCGATGCCTCCACCAACAGATCTCCGAGACTGGTGGGAAATATCCATGAAGGAGGAGGAGGATGATGATGACGACTTTCGGTTTTTGGCTTTCCTAGGAGATCGACTGCGGCTGCGACTATGGCTTCGATCTCGAGACTTAGTCACAGCCATGGCGGCTGTACCAACTGCAGCACCTAAAGCGGCATCTCTGAGTGCTGAGTGACGGCGTGCGCTGGATGAAGATCGGGAACGGGAACGAGAGCGGTCGCGTCGCTGCTCGTAGTGCCGTTTCTGGGGTTCCGCATAGGCGCTGCGCCTGTCGTGTTCTCGAGAGCGGCTACGACGCCGGTAGACCCCCCGCGAGGTCTGGCTTTGTCGTGTTGTCGAGACGCTCTCATTGTCATTCGTTGAAGTCCGCACATGACCAGATCGGACGCTGTAGGTATCCTCAAAATCCTTGTTACTGAAAAGCGTCTTGGCCGCGTATCCGCCGAGGAGGCCGGGTAACCAGGAATTCCGAGCTGACTTGTTGCGTCGGCGACCTTCATCTTCGCAGGACGTGTAACGGCCCGACTTTTCAACCCTGGAGCCGTTGTTGTTATAAAGCTCGGCAGAGACCCGTCGGGGATTGTAATTGTGCTTGCGAGGTGCGTCACGTGAGCTTGTACCAGGCTCGAAGCAATACTTGCAGACTCCAATGCTCTCTGTATATTCTTCAAACTTACCCACACCTTCTGGGTCACGCCAGAAATCGATAAACTTGTCCAATGGGCCCTGCTGGCGTTGCTGAAACGCCAAGTTGCCAGAAGGAAAGGGAGCTCCGTGATGAACAGCGGCGTGGTGGGGATGCAGAGGGCTTGCAGCGTATGGCAAGTCTGCCGCCGCTCCAGCAGCGTACCACGCTGGATTAGGCGGCGCATTGTACATGGACGGTCCTGGATAGCCGATACCATTTAAAGAGTTTTCCTCGTAGTTCTGCATGGTATATTGCGATAGATGATCGGTGCTCGACATCGATTGATGCTGGTGATGGCTTAGCATGTATCCAGCAGCTGCTCCAGCGGCTGCGACACCTACGGCAGCACCGACGCCATGGGAATGGGGCGGACTGGTGGTGTGCGAGGTGACAGGTGGAGCGTGGGGAGCAGTCACCGGCTCCATGGGTGTGAGAGGTGATGTCGGACTGGCAGCCGAAGTGGGAAAGCTGCTTCCGACTCCATAAGCAGCCGTGCCAGCTGCCATTGCTGGAGCCACTGAGGCTGTCGTGGATGGCTTGGGAGGCTTGGAAGCGGGGACAGAAGTCGCGTGTCCTGCTTGTCCGGTTTGCGCAGGGCTCACCACCGGGTCCGCGTCATCCGTATAGTAAGCAGCGGCAGCACCTACCTGGCCCATGCTGCTTGGCTCGGGCGGTGGATTTGCAACAGGCGACGCAGTCATTAAATGCGCTTGGCTATTGGGAATGACGGATGGGGGCTTCGGGCGCACGCCTGGCTGTTCAGCAACAGACTGCCCTTGGTCGCCGTAGTAATCGGCCGCTTCACCAGCAGGGTTCGGCGGACGATATGGCTCGGCGACAAGAGCAGGAAACTGGCCCGGGAACTGCTGCTGGACATGAGAATCATAGGCCGCGGGGGAATTCGGCTGCGCCGGCATCGAGGTCGAGACGGGGTCTCCGGTGGCTAGAGGTGGCAGGTATGTATCCCCGGATTGAGTGCGCGATCGTTCCCGACGACCGTCACGAGAGTCAACAGCTTCCCTCTCCCATTGCGCGCGGCCATCTCTGTCCGACCGAGGTTGCTCACGCTCACGCTCTCGACTCGGCGACCGGTCCCGGTCGCGTCTGCGCGTATCACGCCCGTCCCTGTCGCGGATATATGAATGCCTATCGCGAGCGCTGTCTTCATCGGTATCTCTGCGTCGGGGAGCCCGTTCGACAATAATGGGATCGAACTCGTCGGGGACGCCCGGGTCAGCCGTCGCGTAGCTCGAAGCGACCGACTCGCCCGCCGCGCTGGGAGCATACCGTCTGTTGCGGGAGCCCGAGGACGTGTAGGCTGCCAGATCGCCCAAGCCACGGTCACGGTCGTCACCCCGTGTGGACTTGCGGCTAACAGCTGAGGACGCCTTGGAGCTGGTTCGGCGGCGGCTACTGCTCTTGGAGGTCGAGCTGCGGGCATCAGAGGAGCGGCCCCCGCCGCCCATGAGGGCCTTGAACATGGTATGTGGTAAAGAGCGATCAAAACGATGCTCCTAGCGACTCAGACGACCATGTGGAAGTTGGAATGTGGATGGGGAGTCTGAAAAAGCTGTATGGTTCAGGTGGAGCTGGGGGGGAAGCGGATGGTCGAGGTTGAACAGCGTCGAAGAATGCAGTACCACACTCTAGAATCAATCGAATCGTGAGAATCGTGGGGGACAATAAAAAATAAAAAAAAAAAAAAAAAAAAAAAACCAAAGATCCGATCAACAGAACTCGACTTACCGACAGAAAGGAACGGAATAAACTACTAGATATTAGGATGGTAAAGAACGATGGGTGTTGTACAGACAAGCAAAGCACGATGAGAAGGAAGACGGGCAATGTTTTTGCGAGGTAAACAAGGCCAAACAACAGAGCTGAACCGTGGTTCTCTTTGGTTCGGCAGCCCCAGTGCTGAACCGCTCGGTTGATAGCGCTGGGTCGGTCGATGGGGAGTAAAAGGTGAGTAACTGTGGTTACTGGTGACTGGTTAGTAGTAGTGGTTAGTGGTTAGTGGTTAACTACTTGGAGTTGCTCCAGCGAATCCGCCTGCCAAGCCGATCCAGCGGGCGGTTAGCGCCTAAGGCCGTGCTCGTGTGGTTTGTTGACTTGCTGTTCGATGAGATCTCAACTCTCAAGTAGTAGTATCTATGACGGGATGTCCTGTCCGCGAGAGCTATGAAGTAAAAGAATGAGGACAAAAAAGAGAGGGGAGAAGGTGACTGGCGGGGGCAAAAAAAAAAAAAGGAATGTGGGGGCAGTGGAATTGATGCAGATGATAGATGGGATTCTTAGTTCGATGATGACGACTGGATAATAATCCTCCTGGATGTGTGTTTCGCTTGAGATGGAGAAAATGCAGAACGAACCTGAACTGTATGAGATGAGAGTGAGAACTGAAAAGTGGGTGAGAGAAATCGCGGTGAGGCTGGAAAGAGGCTGGCTGGCTGCACGTGCCAAGCAGCGAATAGTCGATAGATACGGAGTACTCTGTAACTCCGTACTAGCGACGACATTCGGCGACGAGGGAAGCTTGGAGAGAATTCAGAAGGCTGGTGTTGATCTCTTGATTGTGGCAGAGTATCTGTAATTAATTAATCAATAGATACTTCAGATGGAGTAGCTGCGTATATCATCTTCATCCTTGCATCTTCTGGTCTCGGCTCTTGAGTCTTGAGACTTGAGAGCTCACTGAATAATACCTCTACAATTGCTGCCTCAGGTGTCACTTTGATTACCCAGCTAGATTGAACCCATACAAAGAGCAAATGATACATGGACTACTCGTCCAAAGAAGCCACTCCAGACCAGAAAAATTTCTCATCATTCATAGAAAGACCATAGTGACTCCCTTCATACCGTATTTCCCCTCGAAGAAACTCAACACTCAACAAGCAAGAAAAATCAAGCCCCAGAACCAACCACCTAATCAGCCCTCATCAACCGCTCCAACCTCACCCGCAGCAAATGCTGCATCCACGGCGGAAACCCCCTCAGAACTCGCGCAAAGCACCCCGTCGACCCCGGCACAAGCACATGCCCACTACTCCCCGACAGGATCTGCGCAACCAGCGCCTCCGCCACCGTCTCCGGCCGCAGCAGCGGGTTAAACCACGTATCCTCCGGCGTGAGACGGCCGATGAGCGTGGTCCGCGTAGATCCCGGCGTGAGGAGCACCGTCCGCACACACGGAGCACGGTACCGCGCCACCAGTTCCGCCGCGAGGCCCTCGTGGAACGAGATGGCCGCGGACTTGGTCGCGGCGTAGTCCACCAGGTTTGGCGTGGTGACGTAGCCCGCCTGCGACGCGACTGTGACCACCATGCCGTGGTTGCGGGTGACCATCGCCGGCAGGAATTCGCGCGCGAGCCAGTAGTGGGCGAGCGTGTTGACCTCGAAGTGCAGCCGGGTCTGCGCTTCGGTGGAGCCGAGGATGGTCTTGCCGCTGCAGATACCGGCGTTGTTGATGAGGATGGTCGGCTCGCCGAGGCTGGAGCGGATATCTGCCGCGGCGGCTGCGATGGCGGATGGGGAGCTAATGTCGCATTCGTAGAAGCGGACGGTGGGCGCGAGCGGCTGCGACTCTGGCGGCTGGATGTCCAGAATCGCGACCTTGATGCCGCGCGCGCCGAGCAGCTCAGCGACCTGGCGGCCGATTCCGTTGCTGCCGCCTGTCAGGACGACCACCTCACGGTGCCAGTGGAACCGATCGGAGACGCCATTGTTCAGTGCGCGAGTGTTTAGCCAAGCGTTGAGCCGGCGGAGAACGGCAAGTGAGGCGAGGGCCTGTAGGAACCAGAACAGTCGCGGATGCTGTTCGGCAAGCTGCGTGCCTTCCGCAGTATACCGTGCCAGAAGGACCAGGGGGGTTGTCGTCCAGGGTGTGAGAAGTGTATTCTGGAGCACCTTCCCGAGCACATCAGCAGTAAACCCTAGACATACGTAGAAATCCCTTTAGCTTCGACAGTTCGAAAGCTGAAGGACGCCCGAAATGGGCAAAAGACAAACTCACCTTCTCGCGAGGGCCAGGTTCGTGGTGCTGCCATAGTTGGAACTGTTGAGGAGCAGGTTCTTCCCAGCGGATTTTGCAGTTCAAATTATAATCAAATCATGCCTGACCATTGCTGAAAGATCCAGCTTCAAAAGCCGAAGACAGCCTCGCTGGGTGACATGCATATATAGGACGTGATGGCAGCATCTTGGTGCTGCCGGCTGACTTTGGCTTCAGATGGAAATACACTCAGGCATCCATGATGAGAATGCGGGGAACGCTTCAAGTCAGAAGCTGCCGAGGTCGGTGCTCACGGATCTACTTATTCACAGCTGCAACCAATTCGAGCTGTGGATGAGAGTGCTGTCTTTGTCCTACATTTTTCCCGGCCTAATTGGCGTGCTTGACACCCTCCGGATACTTTTCATCCGGCCAGGCTGAAAGAATGTGCCACATAGGCAAGAAGGCACTCTCTGCCGTCTACGGTCAAGTTCTAGGACATTATCCGCGTTGTGCAACACAAACAGCGACGTCAATAACAGACAAGAATCAGATACCAAATGACCAACACGGATAAATGAACACTGCCACAGTCATTGCTGACACGGGCCATAAATCTCAGTGAGTATGCAATGACTATATCGGCCGTCTCTTTATGTCCACGATTGTAGGTAACCTAGTATATTGAAGGCCATAATCCTGGATTCGCTGAAAATGCAACGAAACGATCCCTCCTGTACCAAACCCCCTCCACAACGGTAGGGTGTAATCGGCGCCGTTTAAACTCCTTGGGATCAAAAAGAAAGGGGGGGGGGGGGGGGGGCAAAAGACAGACCAATAATCAACAGAAAGGAAAACAAAGCTCCGAGGTCAGACAATGCCAATAGCGAGAGAAATAATTTCAAGTGGCCACCAATCCGTTCCAAAATGCGCAGTGCTAATGAGAGTACCCAACCTCTTGAAGTCTTATCAAAATTAAATGAGACCAGGGCAAAAAGGAAAAGCCGCCGTGCAAGACACCGGTGTATGTATATTATCAGGAGCCCGTGTCGCACAGACATCGGTATGTGCAATGGAATCAAGAGCAAAGAACACAAATCAATCGAGAGGACAAGGTACAACGAGATCTGAAAGGAATATAATTCGAGGCAGAAGTGGACAGAAAAGATAGGCGTATAAGTATTCCGCGACAGTAGACGCACTGACCTTCAGCTGTAGGCGGATGAAAAACTCGCTGCAGGCTCGCCGAAGATTTTCTCATATATTTCAGTCAAGATTCGTGCGTCGGCACGGAGAGTGGGTGAGATATTCCTACTCTCCAGAAGGAATTTGATCGTTCGTTTGAGAAGCTTCTCAAGGACAGTCCGGTCCACTAGCTCAGAGAGACAAGACATGTACGTCGCTGATAATACAAGCATATTGCCAAACTGCGCATGAGCAGTGCCAAAGATGTTCGTCACGATCGGGCGACCCTCCACTCCATCAAAGGCCTCAGTGCTCAAGATAGCAGAATCAATGCATACTTTGCAGGCCCGTCGTAACTTGGTTGGCAGATCACGGTAGGCGATGGTACCCATCGATCCCGCCGGGAATGAGGGAGGTGCGCTATGGCCTGCTAAACCCATATCACTAGATAATCGCGCCATGTTCGTAGCCCGCTGGCTGTGTGTCAAGGATGGCGAGACCTGTTGAGATTTCGGACCTGATAGAACAGAGCCTGCGGGTGAGTCCACCGACGTCAATGCTGCGTCGGGAAGTCCAGCAAAGTGCAGAGCATGGTACAAAAGGGGGCGATGAATGATATATCGCGCGCCATAGTATTTAGCCCGCATGCGAGCAACGTTGATATCTTTGGAAGGAGGGTCGCCATCCTTCCATCTCATGACTTCGGGCAGACTATTGCGCCATAATTCGAGATTCATGCTTAGGATCTCCTGCACATTGGAAGTCCATCGGTTCCCGTTGTTTGAAGCGCCTCCCATGCTAGAGCCTGTCGTGGAGTTAGAAGCATTAGCCGTGATGGCGGCAATTGCGGCGTTAACAGCGCTCGCAGAGCCTGCGACACTACTGTTATTGGCAGCATTCGTGCCGTGGGCACCTTGAGCTTGTTCTACAACATAGGATTAGCAGCGTCAAAGTGAGATTTTAGATCCCTTGTTCTTACTTTCAACTTTGTACAGATCGGTGTGAACGCGGTTCAGGACCTTTCGGAGATGAATCTGCGCGGAATAGAAGAACATCATCATGGTGCTGGGGGCACATATTTCATTCGGCAAGGCAAGCGTGAAGCGCCCCTTAGGCAGGCCAATACGCGCTTCTGCTCGGGAAATGCCACTGGCTGGGAGATCCAGTTCTGCAAGAATGTCGCTAGATTTCAGATTAACTTCTATAGGTGCTTAGGGACAAGGCGGGTTTCAATAATGTACCTTTCGAGCTGTAGGCATGTCCAGTAGGCGAAGTCATAGAGATCTTTCATTGGGCCATCCTGCATCTGGTCGTAACGTTTCCTAACACTGCAGTCAGCATTTCATCCACGCAGGATGGCACGAAGTCAAAACCCACGATCGGATAAGGACTTGACAGGCTCGGGCGGCTTGATAAATCCATCCATGGCTCTGGAACGGATGTGCAAGTTGGCCAGCATACAGGCCCGCCAGCAGAGCTGCTTGAACATGTAGCAAACCATTGGCACCTTGAAGATAACCCATGATCTGAATTGCGTAGGCGTAGTAAGACAAGCCGGGAATAACATCCACGTTTCGGGGTTTCTTGTTGGGCGGTACTTCTCGACCAGCCGACGCAGATCGAGCTCCAGTACTTCTCCGACCATCTATGGTTGATGGGGACAGGACAGCATGAGGATTTGATACCGGTGCATAGAAGCTCGTCTGGTTTTGCAGGACAGCGTCAGATCCAGCAGGCGATAGGATATTACGAGTGGGCGGGCCAGGAATCCACTCTTTGCGATAGTCCGGGGGGAAGTCGGTGGCAGGGCCAGGGACAGGTTCGCCCACTTCACAGATGCTTCCCAGAGCTAGAACAAGAAGTAGAACAGCATTATCGATCGATTTCTCAACCCGACGGCCAGCCCCTTCTGTTCTGACACCAGTGGGTGTCGGAACATCACATCCGGCACCTTGTAAGGTCTCGCAGGAGCGTTTTCTTTTGGCACCTCGTGGCAGATCCCCTGCGCCCGTGCTGGTCTTCGGTAAGCAATATAACCTCACAAAGCTCTCAACCTTGTTTTCCAGTTGGTTCTGGTCGAGAAACGGATGAAGTCTGTGAATGTGCTCAAGATAGCTTCGATGATAGAGACGAATGGCGTCAGGGTCAGCCCACAGAATGCCAAACTCATCAACACCCTTGTCTTGAAGCTTTTGTTGGAATGCGGGCGGCTGGGAGTGTTGCGTCCAGGGGCTACTGGGTGAGGCTCGGGGAATGGGGGTCCCATCCCATCCCGAGCCGGAACTGGTGCTCGTTAATGGTGCCGATGCTATGAGTGTTTCACTCGAGTCATCGCCTTCGCCACGGCCGTAGACACGAATCATGCCGCGCTGCTCTTCGAGTCGCATCACATAGTCCTCATCGTATTCTCTTGGATACAGCAGGTTCTTGATTGAGGGCCAAGAAAGTAGCTTGTGAGCCGCCGTCGTATGTTCCACGGGAATAGAAAGTTCACCATCTTCCCTCTCCACAAAACTCTGGTTCGAGGACGGATCATTTGGATCTGCAGCTTCGCCACTCTTGGGTTCCTCAACCAGGTCTGTGGTGTTCGGCTTCAACAAGCGGTCAAGCGACGGCTTTGGGGCCACTGAGCGAGAAGTATCTTTCAATCCGACTTCATTGTAGAACCGACTCAGTTGAATTCCATGTTCAATCTGCACGGTCTGGAAATGCGTCAATCGCTCATCTAGTTTATCTTCCAGTAGTTGGATCTTGTCTAGGATCTGTTGGGTGGCCTTTTCTTGTCTGTCTTAAGAGTCAGTGTCTAAGAGCTGACAGATCGAAAAATTGGGGCTCAAGTAGATCACGAACTTGTGGGGTGGCACTTCTTTGTACACGCAAATTAAGTTGTTCTCTTTGCAATGGCTGCATGCTGGGCGCCCTTCATCGCACTTCGCTTTTCTTGCTCTACATTGATCACACGCCTTCGAGGAAGCCAAACAATATGTGTCAGCCAAACTCCATGTTGAGATATCAAGCATTCTGCTGTTCTGAAGATAGACAATCCTATACCTGTTGAGCACGGGCAGCCTTGCGCTGGCGCATACCAAAGGTTTGATTTTGGTAGAAGCTCGGTTCATATGGAGCGGGCGTGTGTGAGATATGCGGAACGGGCGTCGGAAACTGGGCCGGAGGCATCGTATGGGGAGGAGGTGGAGGGTCTCCGTTGTTGCTTGGTTCCTGGGGCGCGAATGGCATCCGCGATCGGTATTCAGGAGGCGCCGAATGGGGAGGAGCAGAGTGCGGCGGTGCGGAATGAGGATTCGCATCGTGCGATGCTCCGTTCATGGGACGGAAAGGTGGTGGTGGATGCGCTTCCGTCGGGGTGTGACTGGGACCCGGCAGACCATTCGGTCGACCATACGGTCCTTCCGGAGGAAGCTGGGGTAGCTCACGATTCGGGATGACGGGATATGGATGGGAGGGCAAGGGAGGCTGGGGGGCAGCAGAGGTTCGGCGCTGCTCTGCATGGTGATGGTCGAAGGGCGGTGCGTAGGGGCGCCATGACGCTTCGTAGGCTCCTGGCGCATTTGGCACGCTATGCGCCACGTCGGGAGGGTGCATGCGGTGATGCATAGAAGGAGGGGGATGGCCGGAGTAAGGAGGGAGCGACTTTGGCTTATCGTCCGTTCCAATCATTTCCACGAATGTAGGCCCGTAGCCCCGATAGGCGGCCCCAGGTTGCCGTGGATCCGCTATGGACGGTCGATTCAGTGCGACAGTCATACAGTCATGAGGACATGTTGATGTCCTGCAGGAACCCAAGGTGCGATGCCAATTGAGGAGAAGGAGGGGGGCGCGGAGGTGATGGGAGTTGGACAAAGCTCAACAAATTCCCGAAAAAGGTAATTCGGCCGGGAAGGTCTTGGATCCGCGGTAGTTCGGGCGTTACCTCACGCTTTTCTTTCTTTCAGGTTTTCAGGTCCCTCTTGCTTGTTTGTGCTCGAGATGTTTCTCGACGTGGTCCTTGGTAAGTATCAACAAACCAGCTCGCCGTTGGGGAAAAGGCAATGTGGTGCAGAAGCAATTGAGAAGGAGCAGTCTTCGGAGAACTATTCGGCAGCACAAGTTAGCGAAAGTGAAAAGAAAATGAAGAAACAGAAACTAAACAAGAGATCGCTAGAAGAGACAACAGCTTAGCAGGCAGAGGAGGCGAGCAAAGGAGGGGGCCAATGCGATATGGATACCCAAGGAGATGGTGAGAACAACAGAAATGGGCAGCAAGAGCAAGACAAATGGGTAAATAGTACCGAATACTTGTTCAGAGGTACCGAAGGTACCAGTTTAGTTGCAGTTCAAAACTTCAACGGGGGAAAGAAAGAAAGAGAGAAAGAGATCTGCGACAAGACTAATTGTAGTGGACACATGCAAGCCTGGTGGCAGCTGTACTCCGTATGTAGTAAGTAGTCGGTACTCGATCTGTACAAGCTGTAGGCAACGAATGAAGGTACTTTCTTGGTACAATAGCAGTAGCATCAGATCGAGCCGACCAGGGTTGGAGACTTGGAGTACATGGTGTCATCATCATCATTGGGGCAAAGGCTTCCAGAAGGTGATGATAATGTTTTCACTCATAAAAAAGAAGGGAAAATAAAAGGCCAAAAAAAGCTGAAATCGAGAAGGGAAAAAATAAAGAAAGAAAAAAGGTAAAAAAAGGCCGTCTCAAAGACCCATCTGGCACGGTCCAAGAGCAGACTAGGGCAGGGATCCGGTAACAATAGTACGAATTAGGTACTGATGAAATGATATGATAGTCCCCCCGTGATGCTGGTAATGGTAATAATAACGATGATAGTAACGACAAGGGACAAAGGGACAGGAACAACCCACCCAGAACGATCAACCAGCCTCGGTGGATAGATCGACGGGGAGGAATGAAAAGAAGGACAGGCAATGACGACGATGATGAGAATGACGGAGTAGCAGTACTTAGTAGTAGTAACTAGTGAGAAATAGTAGGTACTTACCTAGGTAAGAGGTTGGTAGATACCTAGGATGATGGTAGGTTAATGGTTCATGGGTATGAAGCAGAGCATACAGCAGACGTTTGTCTTGTTGTACTCCGATCCGTCGGTAGGTAGCTAGCGAAGCCAAGCTGTCGGGTCACTTGGTGCGTTCGAGAAAAAAAAAAACAGAAGAAAAAGGTTGATCGAGATTCGAGAGCTCGAGGAGACGGAGTAATGCCAGATAGAGGATGGATCAAGTAGAAAAAGGCATTCAGGATTTCAGGGACCAACCGAGATGGAGGTAGGAATGGAATCGAATAAACGCGGAGATGATCCCCAAAGAGGAGACCGAAGGGACCGGAAGCCTTGGGAAAGACGGGACTTTGGGACTCTTGGGGATTTGAAGAGAAGATGGAGATTGGAGACTGTCGAGGAGCGGAACTGTTTAAGGTAGAAGCAGTCGCAGTAGTTCAGTGGGCCACTGAATACCTCTCAGGAAGGTAAGAGTAATAATCAAAATTAAAAGCCAGACAAAAAAAAAGAGAAAAAAAAAAAGAAAAAAGGTCAAATGAAAAATAACAATAATAATGAGAAGAATGAAGAGGAAGAAAAGGACCTAGAGGATAAATCGATCCCCGTGATCTGAGATAGTCAAGCAGGAGGAGGGGAAATACTGTCAGTTCTGTCAGGGCGGGATTCGGTGGAAGGTCAAGAATCAATCACAACTGCTGGATCTCTCGGGAAAGGGTGTCAGAGGGAAGCCAGTTAGAGGAGAGCTCAGAAAGTCTGTTGTTGAGGACCAAGTAATTAGAAGCCGCGACATCTGAATAAACAACGATGTTTTTTTTTTTTTCTCTTCTTACTTACTTACTGTGGTGCGTCGTTGCGTGTTGTTGAGAGTTAAGGATATAGATTGAAAGGAAGCCCAAGAAAATTAGGCGTGCCCCTCCTAAGTCCTAGGTAGGCAACTAACTATACTGCAGTTGATCTTTCTTCGGTGGTACTCGCGGTTGGAAGCAATGAGTTGGTAAGTATGGTATTGTGTATCTCCAGATGGTTTGTGCCAAGGATAGTAGTATGTATGTGTGTATGTATGTATGTAGATGGTAAGGTTGGTTAGATGCTAGGGTCGATACACTACTAGAATAGTCTACTAGTAGACAGCTGACAGACAGACAGACAGATAGATAGATAGATAGATACTGGGAGAAGATGGTAATAACTGATCAGGCGAGAAATCTGTCTCTATGTACTGTCTTCTTGCATCTTCTTTTGTTTTTCTTCTGCGTTGACGCGCGCGTCCTTCTGACTTTGACTGGGTCTGGGTCAGTTGTTAGTGGACTAACCTACCTTAGGTACCTAGCTAGGTATGGATGTACGGAGTAGTTACTAACCTACTGATCTAGTAGGTTGTTGTTACTTGTTACTTGTAACCCGAACCAGGATTCTGGTTTGCAGGAATCGTTACCAACAGCTTAACAAGCCACCAGAAAATTGACAGATCGTTTTCTGTCCTTGTTCAATGATATTACATTACATCGGTCCTATCTAATAAACTACCTACACTACCTTGGGTTAGTGTTTGTCTCGGTCTGTCGCCATCCTATCTACCTATGTACCTACCTAAGTTCCAGAGTCCTACAGTACTAGTCCAGTGAAGATGATTGAGAAAATTCAATCATTTATTGATTTATTTATTTCAGCAGATCAAATATCAATGCAGTAATCAAATAAGAAATAAAGGGGGGGGAAGTGGTCAGTGGACACTGCCAGACACAACACAAAGTGGAGTCCCAAGAGTCCAAGAGTCCAAAAATCCGTGGATTGAGAGCCAAAAAATGGAAAATCAAAAAAAAAAAAAAAAAAATAAGAATAATAATATTAACTAAACTAAAGCGAAGCTAGAACTGTCTGCTGATATGCGGGACGCAATCGTTTACGAATCACGAGAAGATATCCATCTTCCACTCTGAAGAAGCTAAGAACCTATTCTACGGTACGAAGTAGTATCATAGTATGATCAGTATCTCATCATCCACACAAGCTGACTGGAGGAAACTCCACAGCCACGGAGCTTCCCTGGAGCTGTTTGAAAAATGCCACATGGATAATGGAGTCGGACTACGGAGGTCGATGAGAGACTATTGAATTTGAATATGTCTTGGGAGTTGGGGCTGAAAAGGGAAGGGGGAAGAAAAAAAAAATAAAATAAAAGGAAAAAGAAACGAAGAAAGGAGGGTACATAACGGGAGATATTACATACACTAAGGTATCCAACTCCCAGAACCAATCCCGCACCGTTGAGGAAACACTGATTTGATAGTCATGTTGCTGATGTTTCTTCGGCGAGGCAAATTCTGACCGACATGTTTGGGGACGGGATCATGGAACATGAAAAACACAGTGTGATTGAACCACTTACAGTCACCACAAGGGAAACGATCGGTGCCCAAATTCCGGAGGGGGGCGGATTGAGCGGTATGAGGAGCAATCAGGAATGATAATACGAACACCAACCCTCTTGATTAGACAGCTATCTCATACGCCATTTATCCTCTTCATGACTTGAGTCAGCAACGATGAATCAAAGTGGTCAAATCGTCAAATTACTCTGACTGGACCAGGTGTGTGAGGTGAGGCTGGAGGAATGACGAGGCAGATCGATGGAGAGAAACGTCTCTTGATCTACGGTGGATACTGAACAACAGAGCGGATGTCAACATGGTCTATCAGTATCAAGAGTCAAGACAAGACTATCTGCGTCTAGGAATCACTTGTGCGTAGGTCGACTACTAGATAGGTAGATACTTGGAGGAGCCTTGCTATCGCTCTTCCAGTGTTCCACTCACTGTCTTCAAACTCAATCTTAAACTATATACTACAATACGGCTCTCCAACTCTCCAGTCTCTGCTCCTTTCTCGGCGACTGGTTCGGGATTCTGATCCAAGGCTAGAGAGTGGCTGATCCAGCAATCTGAAGCTCAAGCAGCATCCTAAACTCTGAAGAAGAAGAATACTTACTTGCCCACTAAGTATCTATCTAGTCAGTAGTGAGCTGAGTACTACGTACTCCATAGTAGTGACTGTCGACTAATATTCGAGGGGGAGGGGGGCTCCCCACCATAAACCACACAGAAGAATGCATGATGTGACCCTGGAAAGATTGCTGCATCGCTGCCCCACGTCAAACGGTAAATAGAAGACGGTGAGAATCACCAAGTGGCGGAGGCATTATCGGCGGACTACTAGTAGTAAGGTGGTAGATTCCAGGGTCATTCCTTGGTTGTCAGTCCTTATGCACATGTGCTGTATCTAAGCTTCTGCAAAGTGCAGTCTGACTGGAGTTGCTGGAAGAGGGAGAACAACAACACCTATCTTCAGCAGGGATGTTCCGATTGTCTGTCTGTGTTTCTGTCTGTCCAATTCATCCACGGGAGATTTGAGGACATTATGATGGTAAAAGAGACTTCGAGTCTGTCTACTCTACCCTATAAGATCATATCAGACTATATCAGATTATACGAGAACTAGATACATAGGTATCACTAATCTAGTACAGAATGTGCTCTAATCTCTGATATCCTCCTCCATCTGCAACACATTATTAATTACCTGCTTACATGGTGCCCTGCAGGCAAAAATGAAATGCCAGCTGTTCCCTGGTTTCGTCTGCGTTTTCTTCAGGCACCGTCCGCTGTCTTCAAGTCTGGGTAAACCATGGACAGCGAAATGACGGTAAGTTACGGCACGGAAGTCACGCGTCCAGACTGAGTTCACCAC